AGACAAGGAATGGATCTCGACGGATACCTGGAAGCTGATAGAGGAGAGGAGGATGGTGAAGCAGAAGATAAACCAGTGCAAGGATGCTCAACGACAAGAGGAACTGAGCACAATGTATAAAACACTGGACAAAGAAGTGAAGAAGAGTGCACGCAAAGACAAAAGACACTTCTACGAAACACTGGCAAGTGAAGCAGAACAGGCTGCAGGTAAGAGAGACCTGACGACATTGTATCAAATAACCAGGTTGCTATCAGGGAAGAGACCAACACAGATGAAACCAATAAAAGATGAAGAAGGAAATTTAATTACAAAAGAAGAGAAACAGAGGAAACGATGGGCCGACCACTTCAAGAAGCTCTTGAATCGACCACCACCTGCACTTCGTCCAGAAATACCACCTGCAGCCGCTGAATTACAAGTGAACATTAATCCCCCAACGAAAATGGAAGTCCTGAACGCCATAAAGCTACTGAAATGCGGGAAAGCAGCAGGACCAGATGGAATACCGCCAGAAGCACTGAGAACAGATGCAGAGACAACAGCGGACATGCTCACACCACTATTGCAGAAGGTGTGGAAGGAAGAGAAGGTACCTGACGATTGGAAGAAGGGTTACCTTGTCAAACTGCCGAAGAAGGGAGACCTCAGTGCTTGCAAGAACTGGCGCGGAATCACTCTCCTGTCCACCCCAAGTAAAATATTAAGCCGCATCATCCTGGAGAGGCTTAAAGACGCACTGGATTCAAAACTGCGACCGGAACAGGCAGGCTTCAGGAAGTACAAATCATGTGCAGACCAAATTGCAACGCTTCGTATCATCATAGAACAGAGCATAGAATGGCAATCAGCTCTCTACCTCAACTTCATCGACTTTGAGAAGGCCTTTGACAGCGTCGACCGAGAAGTAATTTGGAAACTGCTTCAATACTACGGAGTACCGCAAACCTTTATCCGCCTCATTCAACAACTATATGAAGATGCCACATGCCAAGTAATCCACAATGGGAAGCTCAGTGATGCCTTTGAAGTGAAGACAGGAGTGAAACAAGGTTGCCTACTATCCCCCATGATATTCCTTATTGTGGTGGACTGGATCATGCAGCAAACAGTAGGCAGCGAGAAGAGGGGGATACACTGGACGACGGAAAAGAACCTAGAAGACTTGGATTTCGCCGATGACTTATGCCTAATGTCACATAAACTTGAAGATCTGCAGGCAAAAACTAACAAGTTGATAGAAGAGGCAGCTAAGACGGGACTTCAGGTGAATATAGAGAAGACAGAAGTGATGAAGATACCGCACCACCACCATCAACAACAACAACAAACTCCAATCACCGTCAACGGGAGAAACTTGAAGGAAGTAACCTCCTTCACTTATCTAGGAAGCACTGTTTCAACTACAGGCGGGACGGACGAGGACGTCAAAGTCAGAATCGGAAAAGCAAGACAGGCGTTCATTAGCCTGAAACCAGTGTGGAGATCTTCTGCACTCAGCATGCGGAACAAGATACGGATTTTCAACACCAACGTCAAGTCAGTGCTCTTGTATGGCTCAGAGACTTGGCGCGTCACGAAAGGCATTTCCAATAAACTACAGACATTCATCAACAACTGCTTACGCTCGCTGCTGAAGATCAGATGGCCAGAAAAAATAAGCAACAAGGAACTCTGGGAACGAACCAACCAAGAACCTATCACGCAACAAATATGCAGGAAGAAGTGGAGATGGATTGGCCATGCACTGAGAAGGCCGACTGAGGACATCACGCGTCAGGCCCTCGAGTGGAATCCCCATGGGAAGCGACGAGTTGGACGTCCGAGGGTGACATGGAGGAGGTCATGCGAGGAGGAAATGAGAGCTTCTGGGCTGTCGTGGACCAGGTTCAAAAGATCTCAGAGAACAGAGGTCACTGGAGGCGTGCTACTGAAGCCCTATGTTCCACTAGGAACCCAAGGGACTAATAATAATACTAATAATAATAATAATAATAATAATAATAATAATAATAATAATAATAATAATAATAATAAGAGTGACATCAAAGTAGATGAAGTTGTGTGAGAGAACAAACAATCTGAAGATAAAGGTCAGTGCAAATATTCAAGCTTTATAAGATGTCAAGGAGTGGAGTGAATACATCTACACCATTGTGACCAATTTACAACCATATCACCAAGAGTGACTCAGTCATCAACCACTGATTCCTATCGTCTCGAAGACCCCAGCCAGACAGTCTACATCTGCCAACACAGCTCAGACCAACAGTCAGTGACTTCATCAACTGGTTCCATGTCTTTGTTTGGCCACACTGAACCCTCCTCTTCCAACCTAATCCATCTTCCTCTAACATATCACATCGAGGTAGGTGTGGGTTCGGCATGCGTATTACATGTCCAAGTCACCTTAGTCGACTAAGGTGGTTAACAACCTCATCAACTGCCTAGTAGTACCCTTTGTCTAACCTCAACGTTCATTACACGATGATATCACCAAACGCGACCAATGCAACGAACAGGTCTGTGATCAGAACTCTGTAACAGCTTCTTGTATACTGCTTTCAATAGCCGTTTCTCACAGCTGTATAACACAGGAGGACGGACTACAGTACAGTATATTTATATCGTTGTTAAGTAGTCGGATATCTCGCCAGTCGGTGCCACAGATGAGGCAGGTTGGAAAATGTCAAACGAGGCTTCTGTATCTCAGATAAGATTTCGTCATCAATCAGCCTGTTCGGAACAAGCTTGCAGAAAGTAATCAACTTGATTAACGTCAAAATAAAGGAAGTGTAAAGTAAATCATAAGCTAATGATAAATGTTTGAATCTGATGGAAAGTGGCTAAAACCATTCTGTCATAAAACAATCACGTTTTTGTAAATTAGGTGGGAGCAATGCTGTTATTGTCATAAAATAAAGTGATATGCCTTGATGTCACATATTAGAAGTGACAACTACAGAATGTACGACTGTCAGTGTCACGTGTTGCCAACCTTCTACAAGCACACTTCTCTGAATATCGGATTGACTCTAAAGACCACGCTAACAATTGATGGGGTGACCAATTACACAGGGGGCCTTTACAGCCAGTCGAAATGACCAACCAGATCTCACTATTTCAACGGGGATGGCTTTTTTAAAAATTACAGAATTCGAATGGGTTACTAAATTGTCATCAGAATATTGCTTTATCCACGCTTATGGATACCAACTTGACTGAAAGTAAGACAACGTACTTGTAACCCGTTAAAAGTCAGTCTTTCTTTCACTTCTGCTATCGTAGAATTTAAGTTAGACATGTATATCAACTGCAATTATACGACCACAAAGCACAATAGTTTACAACAATGTAGTCACTAATTTCATTCACAGAAATTAGGATAAAGCATGATAATAGTTGGTTTCACTTTGGATACAATTAATTTACATTCAAGGATGTTACGCAATCGTCTCAGAAGCTGATAGAAAGTTCTTGAGCTGAGCTATGCAATTATAATATAAGTCTTACGTACAATGTCTTTCAAAAGATTGGTAGAAAAATAAGAACATTTAAAAAAGAAATAAATGATCGTTTATTACTATAAATCAAATGCTTGCAACATTGAATAATGTGCTCTATATTTTGTATATCAGCCAGCTAGACCGTACCCAACTTAATATTTCTTCAATGTGTAAGCTGGTATCTACACATACATCGGAAACACTCATCCTGTCTCTTCCTCATATTTCATATCACAAGATTGTAATTTATACGCAATGCATGTGTATGCATCCATGTGAACAAATCATCGTACACTCCAGTTACTTTGTACCACAGTTAATACTCCTTTGCTTTATCTCCAGTAACTAACGTTCCTTAACAAAGGTGGGAAACAACTAACTCATGAGTGGATTTGGGTGACTTTTAGGGTCACCTTCATAACTGATAAGATAACCAATTACGGTTCTTCATTTTATGAAATACTACATTTTCATCCGAAATACCAAAGCCCGCTTGGTTATTGCGAGAGTCATTTGGGTGACCCCCAACATGATTATACACGATGGTGGTATCGATATCTTCAAGTCTACAGGTATCTTTTTAGAAAACGGTAACTGTCATGATCTCTGGAAATTATGTATATATACATATACAGAGGAGTGAATGCGTACGACTTCAAATGTAGTACTTTATAGGAGAAACAATAACTTCCTTCTTGTATCACGTGTATAGATAAAACTGTCAGAAAATAAATATTAATGTGTATTTCCATGTCCTCTATATTTCAAAACATGTGCACATATTAGTTAGTTTCTTCAGTTATCACTTGACCCAGTGTATAAACACACACCTACATTCCCTCTTTCCTTACCTAATCCAACTGGGTCAAGGGGGGAGCACAAGAACATGGACGAGGATAGGTATAAATCATGCACTATGTAATGTGCATCATGTGGGATATACATATTACATGATTAGGCAACAGATCACATGGTGTAAGAGAATTCTTCACACGAGTATTTTTCCTGCCTATCTATCTTACCAAAAGTGATTCTGCTAATCGATTTGGTTACTATCAGCTGTTTCCTTCTTTTCATCTGCCTTCTTCTTTTTCTACTTTTCCCCCCTAATTAGACAATGAATTTTGACAACAAACAGAGAATCAGTATTGATAAAAGATACTAAGATTTTATCATTGTCCAGTTCAGTAGTTTGTATGAAGGTAATTTTAAAGACAGTTTACAAAATGAAGCAATAGTTATAAGCTGTTTTGTCGTCATAGTTCGACAATCTTCAGTAACGCACATCCTTAATCCTACTATAAACGAGTAGATAACAGTATTAGATTGAAAAGTAAGCTGAAGAGTACAATCTAAACTCAACCATTTAACTCACCTAGCAAGCAATATAATCCACTGGAAATGTATAATCACTGCACAATAACAATAGACAGAAAGGGGGAGGGGGTAAATGGGAAACAAAATGTATCTTATAATGAATGACCTAAAGTTCACCTGTGTTAAATTATGCGCCAGCGGTGCGATTTCCCCATCTGACGCAGGCTGTCTTGCACGCAACTGAATAGCTTGATTCAGTCGGTCCATATGTCGAGCTATTCTTAGCATACGTGTTTGATAGTCAGAAAAGCGTGCATCCACAGGAACTTGGATTATTTCTTCAGCCTAATCAATAAAAAAAAAATAACAATATATACAATTTCGAGGTGGGTGGGGATTTGTTTATTAATTTCAGGTTGGTTTTCATAACGGACTGACAACAGTTGGAGAATCACTGTAAACTTGGGAGCATTAAAGAGCTGTTTCGTTCTAGTACGGGAGTCCTCAGCAGTACGCGCCCACGACCTGGCTAGGGGTTGAACTGAGGACCTTCAGTTTCCCCGGCGGACGAGTTAACCATCCAGGCACTGAATCAGAGTTCAATGGTCTACAATTTCCAACTTCTATCAATTCGTGATATAGTGCGACTATCCACCAAGGTCTTCAGTTGGCATCCGCTTCACTTCCAACTAGTTGAACTGTCCAGTGCTCCGAGGTTTTTAATGGTTCTCCAACTGATATCAGTCCATGATGAATACTACCTTATAATAATAGTGATAATAACAATAACAATAGTAATAACGATAAAAACTGGTGGGGAAGGAATACAGGGGTATGTCTATGCATGCTCAAGACATTAAAGAAATATGACCAAAGTGGTATAAATCTAGCCAAAATTGATTAGTTCCTTCGGACTATACAGCTGGGAATTTATCGATGTAGACCGATTATTAAAAACCAGTACAAGGCAAAAACAAAGAATGACCGAAAAGGAAGGCGTATTAAAAGAAATATAAAAAGAGGAGTAAAGCTATACGTCTATCACGGGATACAATTTTGGTATACTGTGACTATGGACAATGAATTATGTCCGAAATGCAATCCAGTAAATAATACTGATCCACCATATGATACACCTAATAAATCAACTAAAATGGAATTACATTCTACCGCAGTGCTCAAGTCTTACTCTCATATTTTTGAAATCTGGATTCTGCCAGAAACTTTATACCTAGGTGTCATTTATCGCTACACGTAATTTCTTATCGATTATGATACTGGATCGATTTAATCACTCTCTGTTGCCACATGGGCTCTTATGCAGATGCTTCAATACCGTCAGACAATTCATTATGATGTGATTTACTCGACAGTGGAATTCAGAGTCTGTGTTACGTCCTAGCAGGAGCACCATCACTAACTGTGATGCATATTACATCCAGCTGACGAACTTCGGAATGGGGCGAAACACGCATTCTGGATTTCATTACTATATATATATATATATATATATATATATATATATATATATATATATATATATCGTCAGGTTGGTGAATGTGGCATAGAAATTACAGGTGAATGCAAAAATCAAACCAATTCACACTATAAATACAGTGGATGATTTTTAAAAAAATGTGTGTTTTGATTTGAAAGTCAAATGGGGACAAATGACTAATTGACAATAGGAAAGAGTAAGTAACTTATCATGTAGACAGACATTGACACAAATATATGAATAACAACCACATATTACTACTGATGATCCTTTTCAATAGTTTTAACAGTAACCGCGATAATTGATTTTAAAATCTGTCTATAGCTTGGTAACTTATTAAAACTATGACTGACTATTATTTTTTTCCGGATTTTTAGAACACTGATATTTCCACTCAGGTATATTACATTCACTGGTGTACTTATTGTGCTCAATACTGCAGAAAAAGTATACCGTTAAAATGACAGTTTATTGATACAACTTCTCTAGTCGCTATCATTAATCAATGATATTTACGCTTCCTAGTTTACTTCACATAACATAGAAATGAAGATGAAAGATGGACACTCGAATAAAAACCTAATTTACTTCAATTCTGAGATTTTTGGGGATTTATTTATCGATTTCAGGTTGGTTTTTATCATCCCAGTGTTTCTCCAATGTTATGTTTCGGGAATTGCTATGGCCGCTAACGATACACGGATATCGAGGGTCATCCACCAACCTTCAACAAATCCCTAGTTGATTCCAGACCGGAACACTTAACACAGAAGGTATGATGGACGTGTAGAAACGTGTATTGGGGTGGAAAGACCGAAGACAAGAACAACGGAAAATATATCTAATATATAGCTAGTTCGTTGGTTCAAATAATAATATTGCTTAGTTGATCCACCGTCTTTCTGTCTAACTGTAGACGTGATCACATCCAACTCACGTCAGTCTGTAATGAATACCAACTAGAACTTAATTTACAGTCAGAGTAACAGTGATTTTTAAAGGACATCCTAGCAACGACTATTACTTCAGTTGGAAAGTTGAATCTTTTTATAAAAGAAACTGGTTCGTTCAGTGGTTCCTAAAATAACCCTCAGAACCAATCATTGAAAAAGTATACAACTACTAATTTGTAGGTTCAACATCTTTTACTAGGTTGAGAGATGAATAATTTTCGATTCTATGTTGTATGAATGATATCTGCTCAGATTTCGTGACAATAGCTACCCATTCTAGTTACTTCAATCCCAAGTCAAGCTAACTAGGATTGTTCAAGTGGAGAAGAAAACTGATTATTGCTAAAATAAGCAACCGGTGATAACCTTGAATAGCAAACTCATATTATCTTGTGATGAATGATTGTAATCGATAGTCACTTTTCCCCTCTACCTAGATCCAACAATTTGAGTCTGTATCATAAACACTCAGTTAAGAAGTATATCTATCATTCAGTTGACAACTTGGGGCAACTACACAACAGGATTTTGAATTTCAATTTCAAAATCCAGTTGGCAGTTGATTCGTGTAGTTTTGTTTATCATTATCGGAGTAAAACAGTAGATAGTCAATGTATACACATTTGATTGGTTCATCGAATAAAAATATTGATAACTTATTCAGCCCGCAGTAGGTGAGAAGAGAAATAAATAGCAAACCACAATATATACCTAGATTACTGATTTATTATCCTCTTTAACATGGATCTAATGGAAGCTGAGCGATTTTTAAGAAAACAGATAGGTTTAGATTGTGTAGAATTGGTTAACTTGGTAGAATTCAAACGAGTACAATAACAGAGATATATACGGTGTTCAATAGAAAAAAAAGCTGGTAAATTCGCAGGCAAAACTGAATGCACTCGGTATTAGCAATGAGAATTTGAAGATTAGTATCATTTAAAACACTTTAGCTAGAAACAAATCAATCCCATCAATTCATATAGTAAAATATATGATAACGAGAAAGAGTGAATCGAATCGGTCTGATAAGACTAACAGCAGAGGCATTAAAATTTTTGTAAAAAGACTGAAACTGAGACATTCGGTATTACTTCGGAAACAAGTAATTGTTGAACAACAGGTGAATAAACTAACTTGATAATTTAACGAAAAGTGGTCCATTTATTTGAAGCTATGCATACATTGGGAGGGAGTGGCTGCGGTTACAGTTAAGTTCAAATATGAACATGTTCACAATCCTCAATTCTATAGATAGTCATCGACAAGTGATAAATGACTGGCTGACAAAATCAATGTAGAACCACACACACACATACACAACTGCATCGGCTCAAGTTACGACACCTCACAGTAATGTACAAAGAACAGGTGGATAGAATAAGAGTAAGAGTGACATCAAAGTACATAAAGTTGTGTGAGAGAACAAACAATCTGAAGATAAAGGTCAGTGCAAATATTCAAGCTTTATAAGATGTCAAGGAGTGGAGTGAATACATCTACACCATTGTGACCAATTTACAACCATATCACCAAGAGTGACTCAGTCATCAACCACTGATTCCTATCGTCTCGAAGACCCCAGCCAGACAGTCTACATCTGCCAACACAGCTTAGACCAACAGTCAGTGACTTCATCAACTGGTTCCATGTCTTTGTTTGGCCACACTGAACCCTCCTCTTCCAACCTAATCCATCTTCCTCTAACATATCACATCGAGGTAGGTGTGGGTTCGGCATGCGTATTACATGTCCAAGTCACCTTAGTCGACTAAGGTGGTTAACAACCTCATCAACTGCCTAGTAGTACCCTTTGTCTAACCTCAACGTTCATTACACGATGATATCACCAAACGCGACCAATGCAACGAACAGGTCTGTGATCAGAACTCTGTAACAGCTTCTTGTATACTGCTTTCAATAGCCGTTTCTCACAGCTGTATAACACAGGAGGACGGACTACAGTACAGTATATTTATATCGTTGTTAAGTAGTCGGATATCTCGCCAGTCGGTGCCACAGATGAGGCAGGTATGAAAATGCCGAACGGCTCTTGTTTATCCAAGCTAAGATAAAAGCTAGTTGTATTATAAAAAGGGATTGTCTGACACTAAAATTGGATAGATAAAATTGTAAGCACATACCTGAGCTTGAGCACGATTCAGAGTGTCTATTAGAGTACTGACATGTCCTTGGCGAGAAGCAACATCGTCTAGGATGGTTAAAAATTCTTCACAAGAAACCACTAAACCACGGACGGATTCATTCAAGCTATCATGAAGATGTACGGCCTAAAATATGAACAATGTAAGAAGTTAAAATCAACAAGAACTTCTATATTGTTTGAGGATGACTACTGTCGATAACAGATGATGGAATCAGATTAGCATAAAAATCACATTTGAAAAATACAATGTTACTCACTCTTGGATTGCCACCAGAATCTTTAGCAACAGTAATCAGTTGACTAGCAGCCTCCAAAACAGTGGATGCATGATCCAAGTAAACCAACTGTGTACTAGGCAAAGGAGAACGTGATGCAGCCGCTATGGAACCAGAAACTAGACCAGGAAGATAAGAATCCCATGCAAGTATAGTGCGACCAAGTTGTTCTGCTTCAGAGGAAGCTGCACGCCCTACAGCCGGTGCTGAATCCAATAAGGCACGAACACTCGTCGCTAGTTGCTGTTAATAAATGTACAAATAAGCTATGAATATAAGTATGAGATAATTATATGATTTTAGGTGACTATGCATAAATCTCGTTAGACAGGAGAATACATACATTGGAAAGAAGAAAAGTGCCACGTAATGAAGAGTCAGCTTTGTCTGATTACGATACGTTATCGAAATGTGCATAATAGTCATTAATGCAGAAAGGTAACAAATCGAAAGTTGATGCCATCATTGACAAAGTAAATGTTACGATTAACTGGCAGAGTGGAACACTACAAGTATGCCCCCATCATTAGTAAATATTCAAGTGAAGAAAAAAATATTTTCTTCCTTAACTCTGACTGATGATTGAGATAGGCAACAGAAGACTTGATTCGACAGTTAATGTGGTGAACGAAGTGCAAACATATTTACATATTTCTCATCCTCATAACATCTGGACAAAACAATCAGTGATTGAGATGTGATTGAGATGTAGTTGGTTAGTTACCAGTTGCATCGTGTTACCCAGTTTGTAGAGCAACAAACGGCTTGAAAATTGCCAGTTCGAATCTTATCATAACCAGAATTCCCGTTGAATTTTATACACAGATATTTCTTAATGATCAATCTTCTATTTCCCCTTTGTTTTCATTTATCTTTCACTATATGCAGTGATATACCTTCTTCTACGAAAGCTTAGAATTTACTGTATTGCCTATAAAAAGTTCCCATCTTGTAGAATTCTGTAAATCTTTCAGTCACTTTCTAAAATCTTATAAAATTTCTTAATCTTGTAAGCCTAAGTATACTTCAATCCTGCGTTGGTAACTTGCTTACCATGTAACAAATGGTGCGTTAACATAGTGTCTAATAATAGATTGTTTTAAGCCATCTGTAACTATGGTGAAAAGTGCACAACCTAAAGAAATGAAGTTCATGAAGACAGAAATTTCTTTGCTAGAATGGCCTTTTCATAGTTGTAATCAATAATGCACTTATTTCCGAGTTTCTCTATACGCGTATTTGACTAATAGTAGTTTATATGTTCTACGTAGTAAATAATACTGTCCAGAATATACATAATTACTAGGTAATTGTTCTCACATTAGATTAGTTAGTAGCCAGTTTATAGAAGGAATGAATCAATAGCCTTAGGGATTCGCTACATAATATTGACAGTAAAACATACTCAACTAGTCAACTATTAAAGCTTATTTCTAACTTCTTTTTAAACACTGGATCTGTGTGATTCACTAGTCCAAGAATATTTATTCAGTGTGGTTCTACCAGTATTCATCACTCAATTTCTTCTGTTAAACAAAATTTCCATATTTCCTGTAATACACATTTGAAACAATTAATCAGATACTTTGTGAGTGCTATGTCTCACTACCCCAGTGATGTTAAATTCTTCTCATTTATTCTTGTTAACATGGTGCATCACAAGTTTCGAATAAGAGGTGGCATTAATCCATAAAGTGAGTGGCTTATTAGTTACCCTTCGTGTATGTGTCTTTTTCTCTTTCCTTTCAATTATTTATTGTTCATTTTAATTATCGTTTGACTATCTGAAATAGCTGTAGTTTGGCAGACTAGTATTTATACTGGGTGATGATTGAAGGTGAGATGAAAATCTGAACCGCGGCCGGATTCGAACCAGCAACCACTGGATTTATTTCGATATCATCCATCTTTTCTTCATTTCCTCTGTTTGTACAGTTAGTAAAGTGTGACAAATTGAGCTGTTGCATTTTTATGCTGGTCTACTAATCTATCTGTCTATCGTGTGATCATTAAAGGTCGAAAACTTGAAATGATTAATGGTGATTGATAGATAATACAATAAAAACAAGGTTTAATTAGGTGCTTGTTTAGTCCAATTCGATGAATATGCACAGCTGATACGTTGGAAGAAGAGACAAAAGTAATGTTAGAGATACTGGTTGAGAACAACTACCCACTGAAGTCTATAAGTCGGCATAAAGTGAACAGAAATATTGTCCTACTTTGTCTCTAAGAAAGATGTATTCACCAAGCTACGAATCACTGGTGATACAAATAGCCTCTTGTGCAACGGGTATCGGTTGTTGTTGGCTGTTACTCTTAATTTTCTGTTGCTAAATAAGGTCAAATTCCTCGACCTTTGTTGGCAGATGGGCTACTATGCAGAGGTCTCGATACTACCGGATATTCAAGTTGTTGTATTCATCCTGGTGATCAGTAATGGGTATAGCAACAGGAATTTATAAATATCAAACAACAACAAATCTGAAAGTTTACATAAAATATTTGTAAAGGATTTGTGTTCACTAAGAAAATAAGATGAGTAGAACTCAGATAATTAGGTCAAGGGTGCGAAGTGGAAAAAAACGTGTATGGATCGATAATGATGCGTAAAAAATGATGATTGTCAACAACACAAGTCTCTGTTACTGGAAGACGATTGATGGTGAAAATCTAGGCCGCGGTATGACGCGAACCGGCAACCTCTGGGTTTCCCGCCCGGTGCTCACAGGTAAGTTGATACAGCACCGCGCTGAAAATCCAGAGGTCGCTTGATTTGAGTCCTGCTGCTGCCCAGATTTTCATTTCACCAATCATCCCACAGTATCAATATAGGTTTGCCAAACTACGGCTATCTTGGATAGTTAAAATGATAAACAAACGTTTTTACCACGATGCCATGACACAGAGTGGTAACTGATTCTTTCTGAACACATAAGTTCAGTATTATCGTTTGATGACTACCACTTCAGCGAAAGGTAACAAGAAATAGGATTCATCTGTTTATTAATTCTTTTGAACAAGTTTTGAGTATCGACTTGATGTTCTGTATCAATAAGGTGACGAGCAATAGAGCTGTTGGTAACTTTCCAACCTCTTAGTGGTATTTCATGTTAACTGGGCTAACTGTACAGCGAAGAAGATAAATGAGGAATTCTAAACAAGCATAATTTACTGTTAAACAGTCAAGCTATCGATTGCAAATTTGAGTTGGTAAGCTTATTCCTTTAGATTAGAATGGAATAGTGATTAACAATCAAGATGATTCAGAAATTTACAGTCAACTTTTGAGATTCCGCAAAAACTGAAGAGCGACCTTGGATGACAGTCGCGCTATATCGCGAGTTGGGAACTGTGGACCGTTGAATTCCGACCCAGTGGCTGAATGGTTAACGCGTTCACCGTGGAGCTTGAAGGTATTCACTTCGATTCATAGCCGGGTCATGGGTACGTACTGATGAGTCCCATACTAGGGAAAAAAGATCTGTTCAGCGCTCCCAACTCTTCAATGGTTCTCCAACTGATGTCAGTGTGCAATCAGTATTACCCTAAAAATCCCAATCAACCTCGAAATACATTCTAAAATAAGTGTGAAAGAAAGAATGCAAACCGACTGCTTAAACTGACTAGTAGTGAAATTCGGGAGGTGCGTTCCGTCCTGTTTGGGACTCGTCAGCCGCATGTCTGCACGCCAGTGAGTGATGTTCCCGCTGGGGCTCGAACCCCGTACCCATCGCTTAAAACGTCAAAGCGTGTAATACATTTCGAGTGGATATAGCGTATGCACGCCTAACTGACAGCCAACTCATACTCAAGAGCCAGCGACTTCAACCCGGGACGAACAGAGAAGACTGAAGCTGGATGGGCAAGTTTATTCCTCCGAGAATAATAATTAATTGGCCAAAACATATGAGATAAGACCTTGTCCGCAAATTGACGTATTAACATAGTAAAAGTAAGCATTAATCAATCAGCTAACTATATTGTAAATGGGGGCAGAAGATGAACTACTACTAGTAGAGTGTCGGACCGAAAACCTGGTGGTTGCTGGTTCGAATCCGGTAGTGGCCCTAATTATTTCACCTTCAATCATCACCCAGTATAAATACTAGTCATGTTGTTAAAATTGGCGTGAAAACGACAATGTTAGAAAAAATGTTCAGAGCGATAACAATGTTTTATGCAAACTGGGGCCTTACAACAAAGCGTTATCCATATGTTTTTATTGGACGAGTAATTTTTTTTACTTGGCAATACAAAGGAAATATTGATTAGTGCATTCAAATAAATACCCAGAAGGATATAAGAATTGTAAAGAGATTAAAACAGATAGAGTATATTAGATTATATCAATTATTAAAACCTACTCTTTGAAAGCCTTCTTCATTCAATTCACGTCTTGGTGGCAGTCGATTCTCCATGCTAGCAATACGTGCATCTTGTAATTCATGGAGTAACTTTCTGATATTATTAGAAACGCGCTGACATTCACGTTGGCCAGGAGCATTTTCACTGTAAACAACACAAACCTATATCTTTAGTCCGTTAAAAGGTAATTACGAAACGTTTCCAGTTCTATAGTAGGTAGGATATACAAGAGAAGTGAGTGAATAAAGAGTCTGATATAAAAATGATCATCGCATTTGACTATCAAACATGTAGCGATTATGGTTCAGATGTTAGGCTGTTTATTCCAATCTTGACAAACAGAGAGTAAATATCATCAGCTTTTAGCCCCACAAATGTTATTCATAATCTGTTAAGTCATCATGCACAAGTTTACTGGGAATGATTCAATGGAGGTCGAGAGAAACATACAGGTAGAACTTGTAAGCTGGGGATACAGTCTAATTGCATATTAGGTTTTTTAAAATATTAAATTAAACAGTGAAACATTACTGTTTACTGGATACCAAACTTGAGACTCACTGTTTTCATAGTTTCACTTCAGTACGTCTCTTTATGCTAAGGATATTAAACTATTTCAGCAAAACGATAAGAAGGTGTGATCTATATGATGAAAAGTGCGATGTACTAGCGCAATACATTTACAATAATCTGGTCACCACTTCAATTCTCAGTCGAATGAATGAAGCTCAGAGTAGTGTATCCTTAACATATGAAACAGAAAAAGGTGACAACTTACGATTATTAGACACTCTCATTACTCGTCGGCAAGATGGGTTACTAAAACAATCCATCTATAGGAAATCTACATGGATAGGACAGTACCTAAATTATCATAGATTTTATCCACATCAGTATAAACCGGTATCGGTCGAGTGTTTGCTCAGCTGGATTCACAAAATATGCACAAATATCACTTTAGAGGAGGGAAAGTAAACGCTCATCAAAGTAGCATTAGACAATGATTATCCCCTGGTAATTTATTAATCAGTCAGTTCCAAAGGAAGATGTGTGTATCATGCCACCGTGTATAGGTAATTCACAGAGCTAGACAACCAAACAAAGACTTAAGGCAGTAAAGGTCAGTATCATAGAGAAAACGAAACTTATGTACTCTTGTAAACTCTCTCATCATTTGAACGATGCGGTCACATCCAAGTACACGTAAACACACATATATGGAGAGGATCCGTCAATGTATTCAAGTAAGGGTCACAAAGCAAATTCTAAAATGGCTGCAACAAGAAATAAAATCGAATGATCGTAGTGACCCACCAGGGCAATAGATGCCCAACTTCTTCTATAAGTAAACATATGACTGAAACGGGTCACAAGGTTGATTTGTATGCATCTTTCCAACCCACTTAAAAAATCAACTAGGGACATATACAAAAGTTTGTTAAAGCTCTAGCTATATGGAAGTTTCGACCACTTTTGCGTATTCAGAAACAGTTTGTTGTTACATAAAACCTGTAGTGACAACTTAGCCTTAATACTTTTTTGCTTCCTGTCTAAACTAAAAATTTCACCCTTTATCATGCCGATTATTTTTAAACCCCTTTATCATTTGTTATAACTCATATGTCTGACAAGTAAGCGTGTATGACCAGACAGTTCGAAATGTTTTGCGCTAATGCAACACGCGTTTCCAACAAACTAAATCCTTTGGTTAATAATAGATAGGGGCTAGTAGTGGAATCAAGGATACGCGTTTCGTCCTATTTGGGACTCATCCTAAAATTGGAAATTACAGTAATATAGAGGCATCCGTACAGGAATCTATATGATAACAGTGGCCGATCAATTCGGTCTAATCAACGACGGGACAATACAAATAACAACATAAGTCTTTCGATTGTTTTGCCGAAGTTCATAAAATTGACTGTTTCTAGTTAAACTATTTCAGGTATCCAGCCATTCCTACTGGATGCGGTCGATATTGACAACCTTACCCTCTACCATATCACTAAGAAAAGGAAAGGATTAAGACTATAAAAGTTAGGCGTCAAAATTGTGCAGTTACTTTGATATGCTTCAGAACAATAAATTATGTCTGAAACACTAATTATCCAGTGAATAATACTATCTGTGTGTGACATATTTAACAAACTAATAAACACGAAGTAAAAAAAAGCCAAAGAAAGAGAATTTATAATTGCATATATATGTTGATAGTCACGGTTAGTATTCATTTGCCAACTTGAATCATCTGTGGCGCTGACTAGTGAGATATCCGACTACTTGTCATAAGACGAGTAAACTAGGCTGCAGTCTGTTCTATCCTGTTATATGTTTGTGGGACATGACCGTTGAAAGTAAAAGATATGACGTGGTTATAATGTTTTCACCACAGCTGTCTTCGCGGCATGGCTCGCATTCGGTGAAATCATCGTGTGAACATCGTTGAGGTCAGGCGAAGGGTACTAGGCAAGACAGATAAGTTGATTATTGAGGTTGTGAACCTGAGTCGACAGAGATGCATTGGACATGTACTGTGCATACCGATCCACCGCCTACTTCGACGTACCATGTTCTTAGGGAAAGTTGGATTAAGTCAGAATAGTGTTCAGAGTGAACAGATGAGGATGTCCTACCAGTCTATGAGGTCTCTTACTGTTGTTCTGAGCCATGTAAGGACGGATAGACTGCCTAGCTGAGGTCCCCGAGACAAATGGAATCAGTGGTTGAGAACTGACTCTTCCTGATTTAGCTGAAAATCGGTTACAATGGCGCAAATGTACCCACTTTTTGGCATCTAAGGCTTGATTATTTGTACTAACCTTTATCTTCAGAATGTTTATTCTCTCATCCAACGTTGCCTCTTCTAGTATGCTTTTACCATCAACCTGTCCTTTGTGTACTATTGTGAAGTGTTGCAACTTGAAGTGATGTACTTGTGTGCGAGTTTCAGCGTTGGTTTTATCAGTGTCAATCAGTCAGTTATTTTTCTAATTTAAACTATTTACAGGCCATAGTAATATTCAATAGTCTTATGATTATAAAACCTGTTTAGTAGAAGATGTATATTACGTTCTAATTGAACGTTGGATGACTGGAGTTACTACGGATTTTTATTTTATTTGGCGGAAGGGAACAACATCAGTAACACACAATCATCTTTCTTTGTGATGTATGTAAATGGTTGCATAAATCTACCAAGCTAAGTTTTTTTCTATCTTACAGCAGTCTTTAAATCTGCATATTTTATCAATATTTCAAAAGCAGGTTAAAGAACTTGAAGCATTTAACTAATATCAACTACAAACTTTTTTCCACTTGTGAAACGAATGACTTCTGAATGGTGTGTCGAAGAGGCTACACTGCCTACCGAAAACCAATCTCTTTGGAATTTTACGCATAATATAAAGATCATCTCCCCAATAAACAGAAATAGGAATGACTAAAATGCATTTCATGCACCTCATACTTCAGCTGATTTAAAGACATTAAGATAGTAGATCGTTTGTGAAGTGAAAAAGACAATAAAACAAAAGAGCACAATGGACTTCGATGAGTGAAAAATATTTTCAACTAGGAATTGATGCACTTACCGCATAGCAGTGGCTAATACTTTAATACTATTAGAAAGATCTTTACTAGCCGTTGAAAAGGCAATAAAACTATTCTCTGATGATCCCATTCTCGATGTGGTTACCAAATTTTGAGCGGCGCGTAACACAGTCTGTGTGGCATTCAAACTTTCAAGACCAGCAACACAGACCGGACGTTGAGCCTATTTATCAAAGAAAAAAAGCTATTAGGGTTAATATGCAACAGCAACTTTATTTTTGTAGACTATTTTGGAAAGTAGAAACAATAGCTAAGATATATGTCAATAATTTCTTCATCAAACCTCACTGAGATCGAATTCTAAACTATCAAACTTAGCAGTTCAATGCAGATGCAACGCGCAATAGGCGATTAGTCACATTCAATCCATTGTACAAGTCGAAGTACATTTGACATTTGATCCCAGGACCCATTGTTAGGGTGTAAGCCAATGGAGTAATACTTCTAGGCATGATCTAATAAAGTTTCGTAAACCATTCAGTGAATGAAGACCAACATCTAATACCGACTATGAATGGCATGTATTCATTTTACTTTCAGCTGACAGTCTTGGTATTTGTTTAGTTTGAAGACAGTTCTTTTGAGTGAAAACTAGAAAACACTGGGGCAATTAGATTAATTTTAGTTCGAAACCGAAGGGGAAATCAATTATTATTATTATTTGTCCCTTGGGTTCCTAGTGGAACATAGGGCTTCAGTAGCACGTCTCCGGTGCACTCTGTTCTCAAAATCAAATATACTTAGCAGTAACATTTCAGGGCCAATTCACTATACTTATGAATTGACTGGTGCTCATTGGTGACTAGCTTCGAGAGGTATTCCCAAGGTCCCAATGAGAAGTCGTAACTGGTGGAGTCAAAGCCTGATGATCGTGAGGAAAGTTACTCAACGATGACATTGGGTGGTGGTTGCGCTATGTCGTGAGCTAACAGAAGTTGGAAATATGGACCATTGGATTCTAACCCAGTAGCTCAATGGTAACGCACTGGCCGCGGAATCTGGAGGTCGCGTGTTCGATCTCTGGCGGGGTCGTGGGTACGCACTGCTGAGGAGTCCCATACTGGAACGGAACAGCTGTCCAGTGCTCCCAGGTTTCCTTTGTTCCTCCAACTCATGTCAGCCTACGATGAATAACAACTTGGAATTGACTAAAGGCTGAAGATCACTGATCATTGACTTTGGACAAAATAGCTAGTTTTGAACAGATGGCGAAACCTAAATGCCATGGAGTTTTCTGTAGACGAGTCGCAAGACAATGTCATATCAAACTGGAAGGAAACAATCTTAAATTGATCTTTCATTCTTAGTTGTTTTTATTTCCAAATACAGTCGAGTAGAGAAAAATAACATCTAAGAAATTGTTACTATTTCTAGGAGTACTTAAAAAATACCTTTAAGCATAATGTTCACCCAAAAAACGTTGTCATTTTCAGCTTTAACTACGATAAAAGCAATTACACAACCCTATAACATATGCGTTACAGACATCCTAGAGATAGTATGCAATCATTTTCAAAGGTTGATATAAATCTTGTAGTTGAGAATCATGTCTTAGTTGAGAAAGGATGATAAATGCATGGTCATGAATTTTAACTCTTGGTACTCAGTGAGACCTGAACGAAATTCGCCTCCCATGTTGTCACATTTAGGATTTACATCCTTTAGTAGTAAAGCCAAATGCGGAATTTTTCATGGTATTAACTGATTTTCGCAGTATGAATATGAACCAAACTGACTAGTTATTGTGTCGATGTTACAAGGTGCGATAATAATAATGATAATATTAATAACAACCAAGAAATCAATTCAACATTCGGCTATTTTTACCAGCCTCTCTAGGACTCAGAATAGAATAAGAGAAGATCTCCTTGAAAAAGACCCTTAGAGATCTTTTAAACTTATGTTGGTGATGTTGCCTGGAGGGATAATGGAATCTCTACAATTAAACCACCACATTCAAAGAATGTACCACACCAGCATCAATGAAAGTTTTAAAATAAAAGAATTACTTCTTTAGTTGCATTGGTAAGTTGTTTGTGTGAGATTATTAGATCAGAAAATTGTGGTTCAGTTGTTATGAGCTTTACCAAGTTGGCCACATTAGCACTGACACCTTGTGCATTCGCCCATGTCTGCTGACGATTACATTCAGACCATTCACCGTTGACATCGGTAGCCACAGTGCTACCTCGATGTTGAATAAGCGATGTAATTGATTGCATAGTCTGTTTAGTTAGATTGTTTAGACGTTGCCGAGCGTCTATATTAGTAGTTTGATTTGAGACTTGACTGCAAGCTTCACATAGAATTTTGGCGCTACGCGCCATTTCAGTTGATAAAGCAATCACCTAATCGTAAAAGAGTGGAAATTGTAACGGGGTGTTAAAATAATAATAATAATAAGCATAAGTGCAGAAACAGAATGAGAAAGATGCAGAAATTTAAAAACGGAGGTAGCGAAGTACTAACATGATGACAAGAAAAGGAGCCTTCGAACCTAGTTAATGAAAGTATGGCTTCGAAGTCGATAGTACACATTTTAGCTTAAATTTAAAGTAACCAGATCAGTGATCAACAGTTCGGATAACAACCATCCAAACGTCTTACATGGCACGTGCTTTTAGCGAATCTAAATTATCTCAAGTTTTCGTACCACTCCATCTAACATAAGAAAAGAAGAAATGATTATAACACTGCACTTGATCTCCAGACAGACAGATGAAATCAACATGGAACCTAGCACAGAAATTTATCAGCTCAAGTTGAAATACTTCACAATAGTATAAAAAGGATAGGTGGATACAGAAAGGGCGATGTCAACGTAGAAAACGTTGTGTGAAATAATAAGCAATTTGATGTTAAAGGTCAGTGCAAATATTCAAGTCTTACAAAACGTCAAGGAGTGAATAAATCTGCACCACCATCACACATATTCAACAATGTCACCAAGAGTCAGTCCTCAACCACTGACTCCTTTCGTCTCAGGCACCCTAACCAGATAGTCTGCATCTCCAACAGTCAGCGACTTAATGAACTGGCACAACGTCCTCGTCTGAATACCCTAAACACTCTGTCAACCTTATCCAACTTCCCCTAAGAACATGGCATGTCGAGGTAGGCGGTGGATCGGTATGCACAGTACATGTCCAATGCATCTCTGTCGACTCAGGTTCACAACCTCAATAATCAACTTGTCTGTCTTGCCTAATACCGTTCGCCTGACCTTAACAATGTTAACACGATGATCCCATCGAATGCAAGCATTGCTACGAAGACACATGTGATCGAAACCTTGCAACTGCTTCATGTCTAAACGCGTTCAGAAGACCCTGCATTTTATCAGCTTACACAATATCTTGCGCGTACAACAAGTCGACCAGATGACCTCCAAGGAGCAGATCAATTTCTGAGAAGTCAAAAGTAACTAAGGTTATGTCCTTTAGTACATGTATAACATAGTTAAATAGGGACAGTGACACCGTTTCCGTGCCGAGCACCACTAGTTGTCATCAACTCTGACCAGTATATAGCTTTGTCTAAGTTTCTGTACTTCTTCGTTACTAATTTCCCTGTCATAATCCACCACCACACCTAATGGTCAACAGAGTTGGATACCACCTTCATGTCAAGAAATATGGCAAATGTCAGCCACTAGCCGTAGGTATGCCCGTATTCCAGGACCTATCGAAGGGTGAAAATATGACTGATACACTCATGTCTAGGTCTGAAACCTCCATGGTTTTCTGGAGTTTGCTGTTTTCCAGCTCCAGTATGGAGCCGGATACTTAGTTACTCGAGGATTTTGGACATAGTATTAGACAAACCAATTCCTCTATGGTTGTAACAGGAAGACTTCTTTCTGTTTTTATAGACTCGGATGACTAGGCAAGTAGACCAGTCTGACGGAACTACCTCTGATTAGCATACCTAATACCTGCATCAACCTTATCAAGACATGGTGGCAAATCGTTGAGCCCAGCAGCTTTGCACCGTTTCGAGTTCGATACAGCCTTCTCAACTTCAAGGAGAATTGGAGGACCGATATCTACGTCCCATTTATGTTTGCACTGGATGCTGCAGAAACTGAAGCGTTGCTGAGGACTAGTTGGACTGTGCTTCAAAGTGTTCTGCTCAACGTTCTAGCCACCAGCCGTAGCAGGTTATCACCATCCCATTGTTTTCAATGATGATTTCACTAACCACCGTTTTTTTCTCATCGAAATCCTTAATAAGCCTGAATAGTTGCCAGGTATTACCTATCCTTGATGCCTTCGTCATCTCCCACGCTCTCGCCATCCACCACTGTTTGCTATTAGTATGAAGACTCTTGGTCAATAGATGTTTACGTTGCTTTCGCTCTTCATCGTGTTCAGAGACAGCCAGCTGGAATCAGTCTTCTTGCATCAAACAGTTCGGATAACGTTGAGGAAATCCAATGGTGTTTGATAACCTTCGGGTGTAGGTTACCAAAGGCCCCCACAACTGTTTCTACAACAGACTTAATATCACATCAAATTTCCTCAGGATGAGCATTGCTCTTACGTTCTGGTAAATGCTTAGCTAACTCCTCCATAAATACGTATTTGGGGTCCTCATCTTCCAACTGACCATAAATAGGCTTCACTATAAGCTGTTTCCTGCCACAAGTAAAGCGCAGATATAAACAAGACTATGCTAACGCGTGATCGGAGTCCAAACTGGTACTCCAGAAAGAGCGGCAATAATTCTCCAACGATTCTCTTCAACGGTGGCTTATAACAATAAAATCTACTTCTATCCGTTGTTCGTTTGATACCGCGTGAGATAGTGTTTCTCCTTATGCTTAAGGTTAGTGCTTACCAGAAACAAGTGATTGTTGGAACAAAATTGCAACAAACAATCGCCGTTGTCGGTTCCGTAAATACCTCCAAGAGGCGTTTCCGGTTGGCTGAATTTCCCTACTTCAGCGTTAAAACCAGTCACCTACCACTATGGTATTTGAACGTTTGACTTTCAGTAGCAATATTGCAGCTGATGATAGAATTCAATCTTTGCATCATCCAAACTACAGTCAGTGAGTACGTAAGTGGGTGAAGATTACGAATCAGCGTCGATTGGTTTCACGATCCTTCCTGGTCCTACACTGGATCCCGACCCAGTGGCTCGATGGCAGGTAATGTGCTAGCCACGGACCCTGAAGGTCACGGGTTCGTAACCTGGCGGGGTCGTAAGTGCGCAATCCTCAACAGTCCCATAACGGGACGAAATAGCTGTCCAGTGCCCCTAGGTTCCCAATGTGAGTAAACCCATTTGCGGCTAGGAAGAGCGCTCTACAAATAAATCCTGGGTCTCTGCGACCTCCCCACGACTTGAAGCACATCGGACCATTCCGGCAGATAGCAAGTACAATGGTTCGTATCTCTTACACGAAAGGTTACACAACGCTTACACAGGGACCGTAAGGCTTGGTGGTCAGAACGCGCAAGTGAAATGGAAGCAGCACCTGCACCTGGCAATAGTCGGAAGCTGTTCCAACTCATCCCAGCTACCGGCAGCAAGAAGCCTTCTGTCAGTGAGACAGTCTGTGAGGTAGATGGTACGCCGATTAACAATCTTCAAAGAATATAAACATCTAGGCCATAGTTGTTTTCCATCTCCTAAACAAGTTAGGATTATATTAAAACTTAATTATACAATAATAACCATCAAAGACGCCTTAAACGCTGGGCGGAGCACTTCGAAAAACAGTTTAGTTGGCTCAAGGCTCCAGAATTGTCAGCACCAATGTATCGTGTTCCGTGGTCAGTTAACATTGACCTACCTAACGAAGTGGAATTCCATGGGGAACTACTCCAAGTTTTGAAACGCCACAAAGCACCTGGCCCAAACAACCTACAGCTGGCTCATTTTAAGGACTGAAAAAAGACTATAGTCAGGGAACTGACTAGATTCTTTGAGAAGGTATGGCAGACTAAGAGTGTTCCATCACTCTGCAATGAAGCCATCATTGTGCCCATCTTTAAAAACGGTCTACGTAATGCATGTGAAAATCATCAGGGTACTAGTCTGCTACCAATCGCATCGAAAATATTGGCTCCTACCATAACTTCCCAGACTTTGCAAAACATGTGAGAAAATGATTCACGAGGAACAGGCCGGACTTCGTTCAGGTCGTAGATGCATTGACCACGTGTTTACCTTCCACTAGATGTTTAAACATCGCCACACGTATTGCAGGCCAACAGTCGTTGTGTTTCTTCACATTAAGGCTGCCTCCGATTCGCTGTACTCTGCAACTTTCTGTTACAGAAGAGCCTGTCTCAGAAATTTATCAACATCTTAGAAGCCTTGTATTATTACAACTCAGGTAGAGTGACGGCAAGCAATCGTCTCTATCCACTGTTCCCAACCAGCAGTGGGGTTAGGCAGACTTGCCCGATTTCTCATTCCTCTTTAACTTTGCCATCGACGACATTCTTTCAACAGCTCTGAACGAGCTGCATGATGGTGGTGTGGGTCTATTAACCTGAAGACGGCTATTCCACCTTGAATATAAGGACGATATCGACATACACGACGATAACACATAGGATACTCAAATCACATTCAGTCAGTTGGCGAGTAGTGTCCGTAAGTATGCTATGTGTTTTTCACCATTGAAGTACAAAGTTCTTTTGCAAGTTTGACAGGACCCCGTATCTGCCCTCACCCTTGATGGTGAGCTGTTGGAAGTAGTCGGAATGTTCATGTATCTGGATAGTTGTGTGAGTGCTGGTGGAGGTGTGAGTGATGAAATTTCTAACCGTATATCGAAAGCCAGAGTGACATAAATTAATATGAGCCACCTTCGATGCCCTCGTGACGCTAGTCTGACTGTAAAAGGTCAGGCTTATAACGCTTCGGTACGAGCAGTTCTGATCTACACTTGTAAAACCTGGCCTCTGAGCTGAGGATATGCGACGACTCCGTGTGTTTGATCATCGTTTTCTTCCTAGGATTGCTCGTATTCAGTGATAACACCATGTAAGTGATTCTGAGGCACGACAGTGTGTGTTTGGGCATGATAGAAATCGTCATTCACTAAGTGAAGCCATCTTGAAACACTGGGTTACGTGGTTTGGACATATGTAATGCATGTCTTCCCAACGGCTTCCATACAATTCATTTTTTGCTAGCCCTGGACCTGAGACTGGATGGAAGAAGCAGAGGGGTGGTCAATGTACGAAGTGGTGCCGTGGGATGAGGGATAGTTGTATCAGGTTAGCATCTATTGGTGCATCATGACTCTCTAAGTGAGGTCCAAGAGGTCACACAACTCAGTGGCTTGAGACGTTATCATATATGGCTTAGAATCGAAACCAGTGGCGGTCATGCTGTAGCTTCCTCCTATCTTCTGCTGTTGAAAAGTAATGGATGTTTTGTTTTGAATGAGTCTTATCGGACTGCCTCTTCAATCCTTCCATTTTTATTGTATTTTTCGTTTTTCTTTATCCATTTCCCGTCGCCTATGTCTTCAGAGTGTTACTATACTACTTTGTGTGGCAAATTTCCTGGTGCTTGCGCTGTACCATTTTTGTGTTCTAATAATAATAATAACAATAATAATAATAATAATAATAATAATAATAATAATAATAATAATAATAATAATAATCAAACTTTGTTAGACAGAACGAGTTTAAAGCTTGTAACTAGCTTGATGAGAATTTATCGTCTAGAAGATTATAGCATAGCTGCTTCATATGCCATTCAAGTAGGAGAAAAGAATTAGGGTATGAAGTTGAATTCATTTGGTGATATTACCACATCGGATAATAGAATCCTAACAAGTTTGCTTTTCCTGTTTAGTTCAGCCTTGCAATTTGATAAGAAAGAAGTATCATTTATAAAGAAGAACATTGAACCTCACCTAGGTAACTAGTTCACTAGTTACCAATCGGTCCTAAGCCCGGATAAAGAGGGGAGGTTGGGCTTAGGGCTAGCAACCCAACCCCCGATAACCAATCCAACCACCAAAGAAACTTCAAACAACAGACAAAATATAAAAACATAAAAACAAACTTATTCCTCACTAGAATCGGAGAGACGAAATGACGCCGGTTGGTGAAAGCCTTCCTTCGGGAAGCCAATTGGCTGTGTCTTCTTTTCTCTCGATGAAAGCGAAAGTAAACATGGGGACATGGAATGTTCACACTTTGTTTGAACCTAGCAAGGCAGCCCAGATTGCAAAGCAGATGAGAAGGTATAGCATTGAAGTGCTAGGAATCTGCGAAAGCAGGTGGAATGGAAGTGGACTCTCTAAACTGTCAACTGGAGAATCAATAATCTACTCCGATATTGTCACCCAGACGACAATCATGAGCACACTGAGTTCTGGAGTGGCTATCATGATGCCCCCCCAAGAGCATCGAAGGCTCTCATGCAGTGGGAACCAATCTCCTCCTGCAGGATCATGACAGCAAGGTTCAACTCAAAAGGAAGGGAAGTTACGATCATACAATGTTACACTACGCACCTACGAATAATGCAGATGAAGAGAAGAAGGAGGAATTCTACAGACAACTGCGAGGAGTGCTGGACAAGACTCCAGTTGGCGACATCAAAATTCTAATAGACGGGGTGACATGAATGCCAAATTGGGAGCGAATAACACAGGAAGAGAAATCATCATGGGTCGAGAAGCACTCGGTGAAATGAATGAGAACGCAGAACTGTTAGCAGATTTCTGCACATTCAACGATTTGGTGATTGGAGGCGAGGCAGTGTGTACAAACACAAGGATATTCACAAAGCGACATGGACTTGATTTCACCAGATACCACACACACTAAAAACCAGATCGACTTTATCTCAATCTGAAGAAAGTAGAGACACAGCCAGCCTACTCGACACAAGATCAGATCAAGAAGAGGAGTAGAAGTAGGTTCACACCACTCACTATCTAGTGCAAGGAACCTACCTTCCAAATCAAGTTGAAAGCCTTCAAGGAAGTTGGTGATAGGCCACAGTTCAAGTTCAACACCCAGAACAGAAACTGAGCTGAATGACGAAACTACAAAGGGAATCTTCACGTCAGCCATCAAGACAAAATGAGAGATATCGAGCAACATTCCAGAAGAAACCAGTATGGATGAGCACTCGGACTCTTTGAAAGCTATGTGGAAAGAAACATGCATAACCGTTTTACGAAGGAAGAAGAAAGAAGATAAGGAATGGATCTTGACGGACAAATGGAAGCTGATAGAGGAGAGGAGGATGGTGAAGCAGAAGATGAACCAGTGCAGTGCAGGGATGAACGAAAAGAGGGACTGAACATAACCTATAAAATACTATACTGGACCGAGGAATGAAGAAGAGTGGGTGCAAAGACAAAAGACGCTTCTACGAAACACTGCCAAGTGAAGCCAAACAGGCTGCTGGTAGGAGAGACAGAGACCTGACAATACTAGATCAAATAATAAGGTTACTATCTGAGAAGAGATCAATGCGGATGGAACCAATGAGAGGTAGTGAAAGAAAGATAGTTACCAAAGAGGGGAACAAGGAAAACAATGGGTTGACCACTTCAGAAAACTCTTGAACTGACCACCACCACCACCTGCAACTCGCCCAGAAATACCATCAGCAGCCCAGCCATAGAATTACCAGTGAACACAAACGCCCCGACAAAAGCCTAAGTGCTGAACGCAATAAAACTGCTGAAATCCGGGAAAGCAGCAGGACCGGATAGGATTCCACCAGAAGCACTGAACACAGAGACAACAGCGGACACGCTCGCACCACTACTACAGAAGGTTCGGAAGGAAAAAAAGGCACCTGGAGATTGGAAGGAGGCCTACCTTGTCAAACTTCCAAAGAAGGGAGACCAAAGCCTTTGCAAGAACTGGCGCGGAATCATGCTGCTGTCCCTGTCCACCCGAAGCAAAATATTAAGCCGAATCATCCTGGAGAGACTGAAGGATGCGCTGGATTCAAAATTACTATCGCAACAGGCTGGATTCAGGAAGTACAAGACATGTGCGGACCGAATTGCAGCGCTACGCTACGCATCATCATAAAACAGAGTATAGAATGGAAGTCAACTCTACACCTCAACTTCATCCACTTTCAAAAGGCCTTCGATAGCCTCGACCAAAAAGTAATTTAGCAGTTGCTCCAACACCACAGAATACTACAAACCTTTATCAACCTCATTCAACAGCTATATGAAGACGCCACATGACAAGTAATCCACAATGGAAAGCTCAGTGACGCCTTTGAAGTGAAGACAGGAGTAAGACAAGACTGCCGCCCACTATCACCCATGATCTTCGTGAATGTGGTTGACTGGACTGGACTGGACCGCATCATGCAGCAAACCACCGTGAGGAGCGAGGAGATGGACATACGCTCGCTAGACCGATGGAAAAAGCCTAGAAGATTTGGATTTCGTCGATGATGATTTGTGTCTAATGTCTTGTAGCACAAACTCGAAGATCTACAGGCGAAAACCAACTAGTTGACAGAAGAGGCAGGGAGCGAAGACGCGACTTCCTTCAGGTGAACGTAGAGAAGACAGAGGTGATGACGATACCCAACCAACGCCACCACCAACAACAACAATAAGCACCAATCACCATCAAGAGGAGTAATCTAAAGGAAGTTGTCTCTTTCACCTACATACATAGGTAGCATCGTCTTCACTACAGACGGCACAGACACAGATGAGGACGTCAAAGTCAGGATCAGAAAGACAGCAAGACAGGCCTTCATTAGTCTGACACCAGTGTGGAGATCTACTGCACTGCACTCAGCATAAACAACAAGATGCAGATTTTCAACACTAATTCAGTCAAGTAAGTCAGTGCTTCTACATGATGGTTGAGAGACTTGGCGCGTCACGGAAAGCATCCCCAACAAACTGAAGACATTCATCAACAGCTGCCGTCTACGCTCTCTCGATACTGAAGATCAGATGGCCAGAATAATAAGAATAAGCAACAAGGAACTCACTGTGGCAACCAACCAACTGATCAAGAACCCATCGCCCAACAAATATGCAGAAGAAGAAAGTGGAGAAGGATTGGACTGATGGACATAGACTGAGAAGACTGTTTGGGGAGATCAAGTGCCAGGCCAGTTGCTCGAGTGGAAATCAAATGGGAAACGACGAGTTGGGTGTCCTAGGTGAAGGTGACATGGAGGAGATCATGTGAGGAGGAAATAAAAGCTTGTGGGCAGTCGTGGAGCGAGGTTCAAAAGACTGAAGAGGAGAGAGTGCAATGGAGACGTTCTACTGAAGCCCTATGTTCCACTAGGAACCCAAGGGACAAATAATAATAATAATAATAATAATAATAATAATAATAATAATAATAATAATAATAATAATAATAATAAAGAGCATTGACCATAGTGCAATAACAACTTTATTGGTCACAATCTGATATGGTCTACTTCCTGATAGCTAGTAGTGTAGTCGAGAACTCTCGCATTTTATCCTACCGAAGATTTGTCAGTTGCATGTAAATGTTGTGTCCCAGAGAGATAAATTAATTCGCTCCAGTATACTAATAAATCAAGGGAAGATTACAAATACGGATAAATAATAAGTGATTACTTACTTGACGATTATTCACACTTGGTTCACATATAGCATCACACGCATTTTGTATTTCTGTTTGACTTTGAATAAATAAATCCAAGTCTACTAATGAACCGGATGCGGGAGCAATACCACCAGTGCCACCTTCTCTTCTACTGTCATTACGATCAGCTGATCCAATTAAATATGCAGCCTTAAATTGATTTTAAGCAGAATAAGAATGAAGCATTCAATATTTTGAAAAATAAGGGTGGAACACTTCTGTTTTGCACTAATCTAAATTTGCAGTAGAACAAATGTTACAATGGATCTGGGACTGTCGACATTTTCTGTGAAGATTTTATGATTATTTGATGGATAAAGTTTGAATTCTAGTTGTTGATAATGCTCAAGTAGAATGAATTCTCAATATGTAATGGATTACATTTGTAACACTAATCACTACCTACATATCCTCATGACAGATGGATTTGATGCTAGACTTCATCATCCATCGAAAACATCTTTTCTTAGAAGAACACCTTGATTTCTTCTGTACACTTAAGTGATACAAATTCCTGAGGTAAGTGGTATTTTATTTTCTTAACGAAATACTGTCTCATACAAATATCATAAATGTAAATTAGCTGTCTTATCTGATACATTCATTATGATTATTGTTACCAGTCGAAATTAAATGAAGAGAATAGGAAAGTTAAGAGAGACTCCAATCGTGGAATTCTAGAAAGCAAACTTTTCAGTCGACTCTGATTGATAGAACAGAATACCGCCATTCTATTTCTGTTTATTTTAGCTTGATGTGCTGTTGTGAAGTTTAAGTAACCTAGAGTACTGCATTTTCATACGATGTACCGCTTTGAATTGTCTATCTGTCTATCGATCCGTTTGGTATTGTTGATGTAAACAATGAGAGTGGTATAAAAACCGTAAACAATTTACAGCAATTATCAATGCGATTACTCAGGCGAGTTTCATTTATCTAGTATCATTCACATCTAAGATTCAAATTTATAGACATCTGTTTTGAATTAATATATATCAGTTCGCTTAGGTAGCTAGTCAAGCGAGTAAGGTAGAGTGACCATCCTAACAACTGCTGAGATAGCCAATTACATCTCTACCTTATCAGTCAAGATACTGAAACCCGTTTGCTTATATCAGAGCTTGCTAAGGCGACCCTTAAAATCACTCGTGAAGTAGGCCTTAGCTACCAAAATTTGTTGACTGAATGTGTTGACAAAGGCCGTTAATGAGTTCGACTTCCGATATGATGAACTGTAGTCAAACTTTTAACACAGTTCAGTCCAATTAGTGAGCGTTGTTGCCCAGCTTGAATAGCATTTACATTGTTCAGAGGGATATACCATATATTTTATTAGATTCAAAATCTTAACGATCATAAAGTTGATTGATTAGTTAGTTACTCTGCGACCGATCATTTTACCTGATTCCCCTGTGGTCACAGTCAGTTATGGCTTTAAGCGAAGAGGTGTCGAGTCTCTAAGGTGGCATCAATGTTAGCTTTACCATGGTTCCAGATACGCTCTGCTGATAAGTGCACATCTTAACGATTTCTGTCAACTCCCCAGTACATAGTTACATTATGTTATAGTTTCGCTAGCTCGCTAACTGTGGAATCCACGAGGCGCATTCCGTCCTACTGTGGACTCGTCGGCTGCATGTACCTCCACGCCAGTGAGTGATGCTGTTCCCAGCAAGATTTGAGACCAGCAACCATCGCTTCTAACACCAGGGAGTTATCCACTAGACCACTGAGTCACAAGTGCCATTACTTGTGCAACGGGTATCAGTTCTTATCACTTCTATCCCACTTGAACTGTTCCTTTTTTATAGAGAAAACTATACTTAGGTTTGCCGGTCAGGTGGCAAGATGATTCACTATTTGAAAAATCGATAAAAAAAGTGGGTTACAAAGGTCAAGCTAGTGTTTCAATCTACCCTACTGTCATATAATTAAGAGAGATTAGCCTCTCATTAAAATGTCTTCCTTCTAGAGACTATGCACATACACATTCATGAGTCATGCATAGGATGGTAAGTCAGCGGTGAACACTGACAACACAAGTAGTGAAAGGACTTAGGATATGAACAGAAAGACGAGATAAATTGTTTCCACATAATCTTTATATTGTAAAGCTAGCGAGACGAAGTTGACCTGAATTATTTCTGGCTAATTCAGTTGGACTCGGCACAGTTTATGACAGAGATTCTTAAAATTGTATGTAATAATCAATAATAGGTTGTACATTTATAATTTCTGAACTTCGGTTCGCCATAATGTAAACCAGATATTTTTATTCAATACGAATGCTGGTCGAAATTTGACCAGATAGTTTCACAAATATAGGGCTCCAATTGAAAAGTTAACAATGGATGTATTATATTTGTATGCAGGTTTACATTAATGCATCGTGTATAATTAACCATTCATTGGAATGGTTAATTATCGTATTGAAAAGTAATCATGATTCAGACAAGATTGAACAATGAGATAAACTACACCATTTTGACCTGTTGTTATATATATATATATATATATATATATATATATATATATATATATATATATATATATATATATATATATATATATATCAGTACTGGGTGATGATTGAAAGTGAAATGAAAATTTGGACAGCAGCAGGACTCAAAACAGTAACCACCGGGTTTCCGGTTCACTGATCTACCAACTGAGCTACGAGACCCAAATGTTGATCAGATTTTTATTTCACTTCAATCACCAATCTGGTCAGCAATCGGGTCTCGCAGCTCAGTTGTTTATTAAATTACCCAGTAAATTGGTTGAGAAGAGCAAATGTCTACATATGTAAATGATAAAGTTATTTGAATAACAGTGAAACGACCTGCAGGAGTTTATACTACCTCAGCATAGATATCAAGAGGTTATCAGTCGATGCATGCAACTTGCAACATTTTCGTCCAGAGAGACAGAACAATTATTACGAGAGGATAACGAGAGTATACTCTTATTTTATACTACAACACTGTAGAAGAATCACTGAACATCTTACTAAGATGAATTATTCAAGTTAAATTTTAAGAGCACCCTAATCCCACCAGACGGACATCCAACTCTTGCCTGCCTAAAAGTTAGAAACTGATATTTCTTGTCACATGATGGTGAACATTTGTTCAACAAACTTCAGACGTCAACTTCACTTGTCGCTCGACCCGCCAAAAATGGTAAAACGAAGAGTTTCTATTGTGAGTTCAACGTTTGCACAAAACACTACTCTCTTTATCAGTTTACTAGTGATATTGACTGTGTTGACCTTCTATCATTAATATTTTGAGAAACGTTCAGTAGAATACCACCACGTATGGTAGGCACATATTTTTCGACTCTTCTGAGTACATCAGCTGATTCTCACGTTTTCTTAGATTCATTGAAATTCTAAAGGTATGGCACATCTTAGGAACAACAATCCAACGATATGTGAATAAAATATTAGTGCGCCAACGATAACTTCTTATTTATTTTGTTTTTAGTATGAATAACATCTATATCATCAAACATTTCCTTGTCTACAATACCGCACTTGTAAAACTCAGTAAAACACTAGAAGGAATACAGTCCTCAAATCTCTAAACAGATTGAATTTTACAAAGAGACAACAGTCAATCATTCGAATATATCCGCATATCCATACAATTCTTCCCTTTCACGAATCTGCATAAAGCAAGAAGAATAATGGTAGCATAAGTAGAATGCATTTATTTCGTGGATTCTCCTCAGCTGCTTCTTTATAACCAAGATAAATTGATTAGGAACAGGAATCAATATTGTTTGATTTTTAGATAAAGCTTTAGACCCCGGAAACGGTGAAATAATATACTGAGTAACAATATCAACGAGCTGTGAGCAGATTCAATCTTTGTTCTAATCAGAAGAATATACTACGTGTAACTAAATCTCAAACAGACCACACTATAAAAGTCTTCTTTCAAAACTGCGATCCGATGTCAGAAATTTGAATCTTATTCACAGAATAAAATTTATAAATTTTAGCCAAGAGGTCCAATTAAAAACTTGTAGAAGGTTTGAGAACACTTTATCGAGAACTCTCGAGGAAGAACAACTATGTAATGGTATTCCAGAAATCGTGAAAAGTATTCACATAACTTATTCAACTTGAAACTGAACCGAAAAGGAAGCACTTTCACTTGGACTCAAATTTCATATCCCTAAGAACTGCAAAAACAGAATAAATACAGGGACCCAGTTCGAGAATCTACACAATCAGCTGTTTGAGTTGAAATCTGTAGATGATAAAAAACAAGGTTAGTTTAAATTCCAAATCGCTGATATCGTCATTTGCGAAATTTAAATTTTTATCTAAGAATCACCAAACAGTACTGATTCCTGTTCTGTTCAATTTATCTTGGTTGTAAAGCAGAGGATGAAGAGAATCTACAAAATAAATGCATACTAATTCTGCTACTATTGTTTTTCTTGTTCTATATCCTGCATACCATAATGAATTAAAGAAATCACTTCTGCATAAAAAGATGCAAACAAGATTATACAACTATGAATTATTTAAGCGATGATATATATGTTAACAACCAGCAACTGCTGAGTCTCAGAAGTTTAAGTTTCTGACCATAATAATACTCTTGGTACTTATTCTAAATTCATTTCTGTTAAAGGTATTATTGAATTGGACAAGTTTCTATTTAATTCCAGACTTCGAAAAGTTTGCCTAAAAATCTTATAGACTGATAATTCATTTATCACAGATTTTCTCGCAACAAGTGCATAATTTCTGTCAATTTAGAGAAAATATATTGTAAGAAATTTTAGAACTATCATCTATGTAATGATTATTTTTAGTTTTTTCTCTTTTCTTTATACAAAATGTGACAAAAAAAAAGATACCTGAGCAGTTTCTTCAACTAATTGACAAACAGAATTGGCGCATTGGCGTACAGCTGAACTGAATTCATTAGGCCTTTGTTCACGAGCTGATGTGGACATGGATCTTAAACTTTCAGCTAATGGCTGAAATTATTGAAAGAAAGACAAAAGGAGAATGTAAAACTGTGAGTAAATAAATTGGGAAATAAAGTAATTACTACTACACGCAAAATATCATATAATGAAGTTGTTCAGACCATAAGTATACAAGGTTTTCCATAGAAAGTTGAAATTTCCCAAGCAGATATTAAACCATATTACTGAATCTATAAATCAGTAATAAAAAAGTCTTAAGCGAATCCTCTGCACTCCATAGGAAAATAAGTGAAAGTTTGGAAACACCGGAATATGAGCATTTCGATTAAAGGGTATGGTGAATAAAAATATTTTCAGACGTCCAACTTTCTCTGAACTCCGGTACTTACTTGCAGAAGGAGGGAAGAAAGTCTTCATTAATGAGATCTAACTGAATGACGAATTTCTGTAATTTCACACCATACAACAGCATATTTACATATAATCTGGTTACGATAAGGAAAAAACAAAATAGTTACAACCTACTTATGAGTAGTATAAAACTGTCCTGGAAAGTAAACAGTATCGAGGCGCCGAGATGCAAGTCTGGCATCTATGGCTTAAAATGTTAGTTACTAACTGGCTTCATAACTGCCTCCAGACACATGATAACACCTGACAAGGTTTCTAGGTACATACTGGGTATCGATCTTAGGTGAGATGAGAAGACAAACAGAAGGAACTGAGATTGTCATTTGCCTCAGTTGGCTCAGAGGTTCCTTATATACAGTGAATGATAAAGTTTAGATTAACCTGTTTGATCGAAGTAAGTATTCAGTTATACTGCTTCTCTAGAAATATATTCTTTCAGTTTCATCAGAACAACAAAAAATAACATTCAGAGAGAATCAAACTTTTAATTGGTAAAGTAACTATTCATGATGCACACATAGTATGAATACAAGAATAACAGGGAGATAAAAAGACAAAATCAACGTGAAAACTATCACAGAAATTCATCAGCTCAAGTTGAAATACTTCACAATAGTATAAAAAGGATAGGTGGATACAGAAAGGGCGATGTCAACGTAGAAAACGTTGTGTGAAATAATAAGCAATTTGATGTTAAAGGTCAGTGCAAATATTCAAGTCTTACAAAACGTCAAGGAGTGAATAAATCTGCACCACCATCACACATATTCAACAATGTCACCAAGAGTCAGTCCTCAACCACTGACTCCTTTCGTCTCAGGCACCCTAACCAGATAGTCTGCATCTCCAACAGTCAGCGACTTAGTGAACTGGCACAACGTCCTCGTCTGAATACCCTAAACACTCTGTCAACCTTATCCAACTTCCCCTAAAAACATGGCATGTCGAGGTAGGCGGTGGATCGGTATGCACAGTACATGTCCAATGCATCTCTGTCGACTCAGGTTCACAACCTCAATAATCAACTTGTCTGTCTTGCCTAGTACCCTTCGCCTGACCTTAACAATGTTCACACGATGATCCCACCGAATGCAAGCATTGCTACGAAGACACATGTGATCGAAACCTTGCAACTGCTTCATGTCTTGTACTTTCAACGGCCATGCCTCATAGCACTACAGAAGTGACTTCAGCCGTATGTCTTGTCAGTCGGTGCCACAGATGACGCAAGTTGGAAAATGCCAAATGGGCCTTCTGTATCCAAGCTGAGATTTCGGCAGCGACTACCCGGATCGGGTTGACGCAGCTACGCAAGTAATTGAATTGGTCGACATATTCCACCGCTTCACTGCCTATCATTAAACTGGGAGTGCTTGTGGCAGACCAGTCCTGGGGCATCATCTTACATTTGACAGGTGCCAGCGAAACACATGCCAACCACAAGAATAATATGTAATAATAACCATTTATTACGTATCAGCTTAATTTATTACGAGGACAAGACGTAGTAAATTATTAATTACCTCTAAACTTTTAGCGACAGCATCTACACAGTCATAATAACTATGTTGATTCAGTGGTCTGTTGGGATTTTGCAATAATGGACGAAGTGTTTCCAGGCGTCTGAGTGCTGCTTCGCATTCTCGTTGATCAACACTAACGCCCGACGTGCAAATTGTCAGCAATTGACTTATACTCTCTGTAACATCTCTGAATTATGCGAAAAAAGAGGGAAAGGAAAGTCTATGAGATGGAATAAAATAAGAATAGCATATAAAACGAAAAAAAGCGAAAAAAATGCGGACAAGCGTTGTCGTACAACAGATTATCACAAACAAAACGAATAAGCAGATATTACTACTGAGACATTGTTTTAATTGTAATTACATAAGTTTGATGTTTATGGGGAATTTATTTCAAAGGAGTATATTCATCGCGGACTGACATCAGTTGAAGAGGACGTCAACTGAAAACCTTGGATGATAGTCACGCTACATCGCGAACTGACAGTAGTGGGAAACTGTAGACCTCTGAACTCCAATGCAGTGGCTCAATGGTTAACGCATTCATCACAACAGAGACTTGAGGGTCGTGAGTTCGACTCCCGCGGGGGTAGAGTCATGGGTGTGTACTGCTGAGGAGTCTCGTGCCAGGATGAAACAGCTGCCTAGACCTCACGGGTTTTCACTGGTTATGCAACTGATGTCTGCCAGTGATGAATACGACTTTGAGTTGATTGATTAATTAATAATAATTACAATAATACACATACTGAAGCATACAAACAGTAGGAAACGTCAATCATTTACACAATCATGTCGATGATAGCCGATAACTATTGCGACTAAATACTAAGATTTTAAATGGAATACTGTTAATGCATAGAGAAAAGAGATAATTCAGTGAAGGAAAATTTCTTTTTCGACAATGCCATTTTCTAAAGTCATACAACCGAGGAGGGGGGATGCAAAGCGACTACTAGTTCAATTTTCGAATATCCCGTGAAGTCTTAACATGAAGGTTCGCCTCATTCCTCTTTCAGTGTTATCTACGGAGTCAAGAGAAACAAACTGAAACGAGTGTGCTGTCGAAATTTGTGCATGGCAGAAGCACTGATAATCCACCAACTCTTACCTAGTCTATAAGTCGAGAAGAAGTATGTTTCATCTCTCATCTTTCCATAGTCTTAGTCATTAAAATATGTTGATACACTTGTGATTCTCCATCGTTATACTGGATCGAAATGATCGACCTCTGTTGGCATATAGGCTTCTACGCAGATGCTTCGATATGCCTGAATATTTATTATTATGATTTACCCGGTTTGCAGCTTGAAGCGAAACCTACGCCATGTGCTTCGTCCTATTTGGAAACCGTTAGCTGGATGTACCTGCACTCCAGTGAGTGGTGTTGTTTCTATTGAGATTCGAATCCAGTACCCATTGCTTCAAACACCAAAGCATTATCCAATAGGCCCACTGGCGTACGTCAGCCACCACTGGTGTAAGAGGCGGTTATCGTCCTCTAGTAGCCTAGTGGATAACGCCTTGGCGTTTGTAGCGATGCGTACTGGGTTCGAGTTTTGGCAGGAACAACATCACTTAATGGGGTGCGAGTACATCCAGCTGACAAGCCGCAAACAGGACGAAACATGCATACCCGATTTCACTGCAAGCCACAACCAAGTAAATCATAGTTCTAATCTTTCCTTTTTTCGATTTAACTTTAACTAATCATTTTAATACTATGACCCATGTTTCTTTCTTCATCTCCATTCAAATATTGCATTTCGTATCTACCAACAATTTTCACTTTGTCGAATTCCTTGTCGTCCTCACTAACTGCACTGTCAGATAGAATATTGTCCAATTCCTTTTCACTACACTAATGACGCAACTGTCATATTTTGTGATATATCTAAATAGGGTTGTATAGCTTTAACAAATGAGATTGTCGTTAGAGAAAATCTTCATTGCTAAATTATCTCTTCTTTTCTTTAAGGTATTATTTTTGACCAAAAATAAGTTGCTATGTATGCAAAGTTGAAGGCTACAAATTAATACTGTGCTCTTTGAACTTAGAAGTGTGACATACTTGTACGATACAGATTTCACCTTCGTCTACATTGAACAAGAGTTGACAATTAAGCGTCAAAAGAAATCGTCATTTATATCAATGCATGTAGACAACTGTGAACATGAATTCAATTTTGAAAGTGTAGAGGTTTTGAACAGAGGAAACACAAAAAATATCAGAGGTTTCCTAAAGGCTTATCGTTCAGGTCAATCAGCAGACAGTAGATGTATAAACATAGATTCAGTCAATCTATCAACCAATTATTATTATTCTTATTTTTCTCTTGGGTTCCTAGTGGAACATAGGGCTTCAGTAGAACGTCTCCATTGCACTCTCTCCTCTTCAGTCTTTTGAACCTCGCTCCACGACTGCCCACAAGCTTTTATTTCCTCCTCACATGATCTCCTCCATATCACCCTCACCTGGGACGCCCAACTCGTCGTTTCCCATTTGATTTCCACTCGAGCAACTGGCCTGGCACTTGATCTCCCCAAACAGTCTTCTCAGTCTATGTCCATCAGTCCAATCCTTCTCCACTTTCTTCTTCTGCATATTTGTTGGGCGATGGGTTCTTGATCAGTTGGTTGGTTGCCACAGTGAGTTCCTTGTTGCTTATTCTTATTATTCTGGCCATCTGATCTTCAGTATCGAGAGAGCGTAGACGGCAGCTGTTGATGAATGTCTTCAGTTTGTTGGAGATGCTTTCCGTGACGCGCCAAGTCTCTCAACCATCATGTAGAAGCACTGACTTACTTGACTGAATTAGTGTTGAAAATCTGCATCTTGTTGTTTATGCTGAGTGCAGTGCAGTAGATCTCCACACTGGTGTCAGACTAATGAAGGCCTGTCTTGCTGTCTTTCTGATCCTGACTTTGACGTCCTCATCTGTGTCTGTGCCGTCTGTAGTGAAGACGATGCTACCTATGTATGTAGGTGAAAGAGACAACTTCCTTTAGATTACTCCTCTTGATGGTGATTGGTGCTTATTGTTGTTGTTGGTGGTGGCGTTGGTTGGGTATCGTCATCACCTCTGTCTTCTCTACGTTCACCTGAAGGAAGTCGCGTCTTCGCTCCCTGCCTCTTCTGTCAACTAGTTGGTTTTCGCCTGTAGATCTTCGAGTTTGTGCTACAAGACATTAGACACAAATCATCATCGACGAAATCCAAATCTTCTAGGCTTTTTTCATCTGTCCAGCGAGCGTATGTCCATCTCCTCGCTCCTCACGGTGGTTTGCTGCATGATGCGGTCCAGTCCAGTCCAGTCAACCACATTCACGAAGATCATGGGTGATAGTGGGCGGCAGTCTTGTCTTACTCCTGTCTTCACTTCAAAGGCGTCACTGAGCTTTCCATTGTGGATTACTTGTCATGTGGCGTCTTCATATAGCTGTTGAATGAGGTTGATAAAGGTTTGTAGTATTCTGTGGTGTTGGAGCAACTGCTAAATTACTTTTTGGTCGAGGCTATCGAAGGCCTTTTGAAAGTGGATGAAGTTGAGGTGTAGAGTTGACTTCCATTCTATACTCTGTTTTATGATGATGCGTAGCGTAGCGTTGTAATTTAATTAGGCAGAGACACCGCTAATCGGAAAATCCATGCAGTCAGTAACAAACAACTAAGGGAAACCACTAATCACACCATTTGATTGAGTCAGACTACTGAATCATGTACGGAGAATTCCTCTTAGCTCACTTTATATTGGAGTGAATGTTGATAAGTGTTATCTGGAAATATTATCAAAGCTTCACCACTAAGTAATCGAACTAAGAGAACACAACACAACCAAAACATACTTAACCTCTTACTAATGCTAGCTGATGAGAAATACCAGTAAAAGTGTTGCCCATCATTAAAAATGATGATACTGCAGGAGATGCTACTCTTACGAACGCATATCAGGAGTATACGTAGCAACCCTGAGTAATACAGAAAGTTATAGCCATTGCTTGGTGACGATTCTGAAGGAAAGAAAATAGGATATCGAGTACAGACGTGGGGGACAAGAAAACTGCACACGAGGATGCCGAGAAGGAGACTTTTTGCCAATATGACTTTACCGCAATGTTTAATTTTCCAATTAACATTCTCTACTGTTCCACTGGACTATAACTCTTCAATACCATATAGATGTTTTCGGTGGTTTTCCCGACTGAGAATTAATTTCAAACTATTTGTAAAGCAGTGAACAACTACGTCTTTACTTACATACTCATAGTTCAAGGATATTTCTGTAATATAATAGCAATCCAGGTTTTCACTTTATGCGAATTTATTTTTAGCCTGGAATAGCAGCATTTAAACACAGAAACACTGTTTAGCACTATGAGTATATGAAGTGAGGGTAGGCGTAAAACGAAAAGATTGTCTAGACAGATTACCTCATGATATCATTTAATAATGACAGGGTGAATATGTATATATACAGTTATAACAAAGAAGAGGGATTTGTTACATCTATCATAAACCCTTAATTTTGTCTAGCTTTTGCCTGATATTTGCCGATAGCCTTGAAATAATTTCATTATTGCTGTTTTCATGTCCACTTGGCGCTGCTTTTGCTTTTCCCACTGCTTCTTAGGGCTGAACTCTGATTGGTTGTTAACTCCTTTAACCTACCAATCAATTTAGTGTTTGTCAAGATCGTTTAAGATGTATATATTCACCATCACTCTCAACTGTTTTGACTGTTGTTGAGATAGTAAAAGCTCTCTGTCAACGACGCGTCTTCTCTTCTTGACTTCGTAAGTCGAAAGTATTGTTGCTGTGGTGGGTGACGTTCTGACTAGAGATTAGAGCAGATTCTTTTGTATGTTAAGTTCGTATCACTCGTAAATTGTAAGGTCGCATTACAGGTCATAAAAGTATCATACAAATTTATCCCTTTACCTCAATCAACTTTCAATAATCGATATGTTTAGATTTAATGGTAAATCAATCATTAGTTGAAAGTTACAAGGTTAAGAGTGACTTTAAATGTTGCCCCAACAATTGCTAAAACAACCAATCAGGTTTCGTTACCTCGGGTGAGAAGGTAGTTATACTTAAAACAGAAAAGCAATCGGTTAAGAATAACTACCGTCTTAGCCCAAATGGTGAAACCTGATTGGTTGTTTCAGCAGTTATTAGGGCGGTAATAAAGTCATTCTGGTAGAATTCAATGATTTTATGGATGACGTTAAAAGATACTTTAAAGGCCACTTTAACAACGACACAAGTAACCAATTGTCTCTTCATTTCGGTAGGAAAGGTAGATTTTTATGAAATAGAGAAGTCTAATTGGTTATTTCGCTTGTTGCTACGGTGGCCTTTAGAGTCACCCGACTTTAGAGACCACCGTAGCAACTGCTGAACAAGTCAATTACTCCTGTCTGTCCTATAAAATCCACCTTCCCAGCCGAATTTCAGAAATCTGATTGTTTTAAAAGAGACTAAGGTTGTACACTAAAGAGTTTTAATCCAAGATAAGAATGCCTATTTAATATCAGTGAATTTAAAAGTCGACCCAGTAACTACTGAAATAACCAACCAGGTTTCGGTATTCCGGCCAGAAGGGTAGTTCTTCATGAAATATAGAAACGTGATAGGTTATCTCAGCAGTTGCTAAGCTGGTCTTTGAAATCACTTGTTTCTAACGTTTCGTAAAGAGCAATAACCTTCAACTCAATTGGTTTTTCAACATTACTAACTTGAATGGAACCGAATGGCTAAATCAAAGAAAACTGGTTAAAAGTTATCGCTGATTTTCCTATTAAAACAAAACAATATAGAAATTCAAAAATTACCGAGCTGCTGATTGAAATTTCCCTCTTAAATTCTCTGCTTCAGGTTGAGCACAAACTCGACTAGCTTCATTCATTAAAATATAACTTTGGTCTGAAACATTGATGAGCCCATTCAACAGATCAGAGTTGACAACAGGCTCAGCTTGTTGATTAGCAGATGAAATTTCATTGCATGCAGACAATTCAATACCTTTATCTGTTAAATGATCATAAGCACCGGTAAAACGACGGGTTGTTCGCCGAAATGTTCCAGGTGAATATGAAGACAATAAGTCCCCTGTAGCCTAAATGGAATAAGAATTAAAATACAACAGGGATGAAACGTGAAAGTTTATCCAGTTAGACAGCTATTACTAGGATAAACTATCTACCCTGAGTGACGTTAATTTGTGAATTCAATAGACAACATGAACAAATACTGGGCATTTTGAAACATTCAACTCGGTAACTGAGCTCCATATCATCTAAGTTTTAAACATACACAAATAAGTCCTGAATGTATCATCAATATGCAACACTTCAAGTTATCATGCTTCGTAACAGCTCTAAGAATAAAGAAACAATTTGAATTGGAGAGGTAAGAAAACAAAAACACATGGTGATAAGGTTGTTTTACAGAAGGACAAAAGTTCAGATGGATAAATTAAGTCATCCTTAAGTCGTATATCATCAAGTTAACAAACCAACTGTCGTAGAAACTATTAAATTAGGCTGCAACTTTTGCTGAAGGAACAGTTAACAAACATATAGATACAGAACTGCAAGATACTCTCGTTCGATGTTTTATCCGAAAATCTGAGGAAGACCGGACAATTTTTCTTCCATTCATACCAAAAGTGTATTCATGACCAAACAGTTAGGGGGTTAACGTGAATACTTAAAATAGCTGTGAGCATCTAGATTATTTATTGTAACTTGTGGGATTAATGATGGAAAGGGGCCAGCAATTAAATCCGGGATACGCGTTTCGTCCAACTTGGGACTCATAAGCTGGGTGTGTCTGTTTCCCAATGAGCGATGTTATTTTTACTAAGATTCGAACCCAGGAATTGAAATGAGAAGTAAAAAATAGTAGTCTTGATGCACAGTTCGCAAGTTTGAAAGTATGGGCTGAAAATCAATTATGAGGCAAAATATGCACAAGATTATAAAATGACTTGGCTTCATTGAATTATCAAGTGGGAAATAAATGTTTAAAAATTTGAGACAAGAGAACAAATCATGATGTAAAGAGAAATCAAAAGTGAGGATAAGAGGAAACAGTGAAAGGCAAGAATCTGAAGAAACACAAGACACTTCTATGTGGGAAAAATGAATCATTAATTATTTACGCCGTGATAAGTTGTTAATTTCAGTAATACGAAATTCTAACAATTAATGTGATCACAGGTAGCAGAAGTATAAATTGATTCATTCCGCAATTCATAAATTTCTCATAGATATAATCAGAGTAGAGTCTGAAATAGTTGTGCATCAGTTTATGTTGCCACACTTAAAAAAAACACGAAGAGGAGCAGACCAGGAAAAGAATGATAATTAAAGTGGACAAAAGAGGAAAGAGAAGTAATAAATGTGTGATAAAAATGATCGAAATTTCAGCAATAATAATATGGAAAGTATATATTTGCACCATCGTGATCGATTTTCAGTTATATTACAGAGTTTTCTAGAAGACCGCAACCAGGTAGCATACACGGGTTTAGACTAATAGTTAGAGACTTCATGGGTTGGTGGTACCCACCCTTGATCTTTTCTAAGCCCAAGCTTATTTCAACCAACATATTGCATGTCAGGACAATAAAATAAAAATCAGTAAATAAAATTATGTTCAATGGTGGTATCATGATTTCCTTGATTAGTTATCGCTTTCATGAATAGTCTATGAATCATTATTCTTTTTCTAATTAACCTACCACAACTAGGTTAGTGTTATACATTGGGTAGCTCTAGAGCTATGATGGGAATCTAACTGGGTTTATAACTTCTAGACATCTGAAAACTTGGCATCCCTGCAGCTATAAGCTAACTCCCTTGAGTTTATAAGATGTTAAAAACCAGTGGTTGAAGATGTGAAGTGACATGGAGAAAAAAAAAACCACTATAGCGAATATGCATTCACTTTTTTTTATCCTTCTTTAAATGTTGAACATTCTCAACTATAGTCGCGAATTTTAGGTAATCCCCTTTACTAATATACTCAAGTTTTCTTTAGTGTGTGGATAAGTGAAGGTCAATCAGCGAAAACAGAACTATACATCCGAATAATGAGTTAAAATGTAGAAATTCAGGTTTACTTATTAATTGAGAATTCCTACTAAGTTTAGTACTACTCAGTTGCATAGACTCCAGTTCTAATCACCGACATTTTCGTACTAATTCAACCTTTTAGATAAAATGACTTATCTGCTGTTACAATGAAAGCTATACCAAGATTAAACAACTTGTTATTAAAGCATCAAGTAGCTAAACTACACTCGTTCATATACTTAATAGTAAGAATTGAAAATTAATTTCAAATTAAGAGATTGGATGATATTTGAACTGCGATGCTTTACTGCAGGTCTAAAGAGTTATTCAACGACAAGAAACTCACTTGGAACAGATACCTCGATATGCTGTGCTAGGGGAAGTTGGATTAGGTTTGAAGAGGGTTCAAGGTGAACAGATGAAGCTATGTCACCAATCCATGAAGTCATTGACTGTTAGTCTGAACCATGTTGGGAGATGTAGACGGCCCGGCTGGGATCTTCGAGATGACAGGAATTAGTGGTTTAGAATTCTTAATGACATTGCCGAAGATCGGTCACAATGGCGCAGATGTGTTCACTCTTTCACGTCTTCTGAAGCTTGAATATTTGCACTAATCGTTATCTTCAGATTGTTTATTCTTTCATACAACTGTGTCTACTATGATAGCACTCTTTTGCTATCCACTTGTTCTTTGTATAATACTTTAATGTGTGGCTACGTGAACCGATGCAACTGTGTGCGAGGTTCCACATTGACTATGTCTGTCTGTCTGTCTACCTTGAAACAGACGGTTTATCAGTTTTCAAAGGTTTCTCCTCTTAAATAGAAAGACAAATCTTATCAATTCAGTCTCTTCAATGAATAAGAAAAATATGCGTGAAAAACACCATCGATGGTATCCTCTTCAGCATATGAACTATCTTACAAGAAAACTGCAAAGGGTTGACTTGAAATTCGATCGATCGAAATTAATACTCAACGCTCACCAACAACTATTATACAAGATACAAATGTAAATTCATAGTTTCTTGCTTAAACATGAAGTACTGTGTAAGCAAAGTAATAAAAAAATAGAAACATGTTTTGCATTTTATCACAAAAAGGCTAGAATTAATCGCGTATACTCTCGAGTCCAATTAAAGTCCTTTGTTTAGAAGTAATCTGTTTTACCTCAAGATTAACAGTTCAAAATACGATCAAAAAAGGCTTATCATCTATACAGAATGACCACGAACAAATTTACAGCTATGTATGCTTATATAGAAGGGAAAGTAAACCAAAAAATAATATTGGCGAATAAGATGTGATAATCAGAAGCTAATTAGACTAGAAAGTGGAATTATGTTCAACATGGTTTATTGCGCATTCAGGGCAGTTGGTTTAGACATTGAACTAAACTTCTGTATAATGCAAGAAAAAACAGGAGGCTCTGTATTCACAAAATTTTTTTTAAATAAGTGTGAACATCATTAAAAATTCCCATTATAATTCTAAAGTCATTTTAGTGAACAGAGAATATTCTTTTCATAACTTCTTCAAGTTGTACAGTAACATTATATATATATATATATATATATATATATATATATATATATATATATATATATATATATATATATATATATATATATATTGAAGAATCGTGCGTCAACAATATCGAGATTTCCCTTATCTGTTTGTTAATGATAATATGCGATTGAGGAAGTCAAATTTGATAAAAACTCTAAGCTACAAAATGAAGAGTATATGTTCGGAAGATAGGGTTGAGGAGGAACTGGCGTCTTTGCGCAACACACTAATCGAAAATGACAATCCTGATAAATTTATAAAGAAACACATGATTATAAAAATGGAGGGAAAGGATATTCCGATGGCTAGCAGGAAACCACTATATATTCGAGTATAATTCAGAGGTGACGTTCTCAGGAAGATATTAATTCGCAAACTACGCAGATCAATTTAGAGAACCTTTAATGTTGATAAATTACAAACTTTGCTTTCCACACGTCGACTGGTGACACCGAGATTAAAAGGTGAATTGAATTTGCGGGTTTCGCAGGGATTTAGTGATTTTTCAACTTGGTAGTTATCATGAACTGACATCGGCTGGAGGAAGACTGCAAACTTGAGAGTACTAGATAGCTGCTTCGTCTTAGTATGGGGCTCCTCGACAGTGTGCACCCATCACCCTACCAGGGATCAAACCCAGCACTTCCAGGTTACGTGGCCAGCATGCTGCCATTGAACCACTCGGTAGGAATTCAAAAGTTCACTGTCAACTTTCTGGCAAACCTGGTGGCCGTGAGGACAAACACGCGACGACAACAGTGGGTGATGGCCGCGCTATGTCATGAACTGACGCTTAATTCCTCAATATGGCACGTACATATAACTGTAAAACCTGAAAAAAAGGTTATCGAAAAGAGTACTTTTTGATCACTCAAATGGCTTTTAAAAGTCAATATATATATGTATCACTTACTTGGTTGAATTCTACTGCCGCTTGAGTTAAATCTGTTTGCCTTTTTTGATATTCATTTGGTTCGACAAATCGTGCTGTTAATCTAGTTTGATTCGGTTGGGAAAACTGAATTAACTGAGAACGTTTCTGTTCAATTAAATGAGTGGCTTCACTGATTTCACGATGTCCAGGTAAACCACGTAGACACCGGGTTAATGTTTCAATAAGTTGTGAAGTTAGTTGCTGACTATGACTATGAACTGTTGCTGCATTGGCTGGTTGATTTGAATCACATGCAATTTGTGTGTCTTTTGCAGCTCTAACTAGTTCATATGATAGTTGGACAGCTTGTCGAGCATCTTGAACAACAGCTCTACGTGTTGATTCCGCAGCGGAACTGGAAACATGTGGTGAGCTCGAAGCCGTGCCACCGACAACAAGACCATTTTGATCGGCTATGATACCACGGGTAGCCTGTACAAGTCCAGCGATAGCTGAAGCCAAAAGATCAGCTGATTGACCGGCCAACTCAGGTTGACTTAATGTAGCCGAATCCATGTTGGCCAACGCATTTATGACAGACTCCAACTGTCTAGCTGATTCGGTCCCATTATGAACGCTTGCATTAAGCAGATGACAACAGTCCTCCACCTAAGGATAAACGCATGCAGAACAAACGAAAGGCAGACAAACAGATGAAAGCGACACGTTAAATTCATATTATTATTACTTTGTCGATCAAACTTTCTTTCTAAAAAATGATAGTGTTTTTATCCCATTTATTTTAAGAAAAAACCAACTAGGACTATAATCTATACACTTAAGAATATGGGCTCGGTAGTGATAACGATGATGATGATAAAGAGAAAGAATGGCCGATTTACAAATGATAAACAATATCCCCTAGATTCCTTAAAAAAGCCTTGACTTCCCTGAAAAGCCTTCACAATCAATTATAGCATGACGAAAATTCGCGAAAAACTACGTGATCATACGTGAGTTTCAGATTGGCTAGACGACTTCCTACAAAAGGGTAAAAAACATACCAAGGCCATCGAAAATGTATCTAAACGGTTACTTTTTGTATATGTTCGACTTGGCAATAAACATTTTGTCGTTTTTGCCGCTTCTTTCTGTTTTTCAGGAACCGAGCGATCATCAACGGTGAAGCCTCGGATACTGTTTAAGAGTCCACAGATATATATATATATATATATATATATATATATATATATATATATATATCGATTATGTTGAAAAGGTGTTAGAAGTAGGTTGAGTAAAGTGAATAATAGCTAACGATAATCCTCTAATTGAAACGCTTCCCTTTCATTATCGAAAGAGCCCTTAGAGATCAAAATCGAATGTTGAACTGGTCTCATGCAGAAACGCTAATTACTCGACGATTCAAGTAGCCAACCATCGACTTGTTGGGTTTCAGACTAGACACTAAAAAATAAGAAACGGCACAAAGAATATCCTTTCAGCTAGACAAGTAGAACTAATCAACAGAAAAGTACTACTGAGTTGCACAAACGTTTGTTTTATATAGCATTTTTGTCTTATAAGATCATTATTCATAAGCATCAAATCAACTGATTCATTTTTTTGACAGGAGATCCTAAAAGCCATTGTATGTATGTGTATAACTGTGACTCACTTACTTTAGGAACTCAACTCCCAACTCCTAACCATCATCGCAGCAACAAACCGTCGAGTATTTAACTGAAAACATTAACACCTCGCACAGTAAGTGGTTTGTAAGCTAGTAAACGCACACGTTTCCACAGTAAGTCAAGTTGTAAATTTTACTTCAGTGTAGATGACCTTCACATCCCACGACATCTACGACTGATGATTTATTTAAGGAAAACTATTCAACTCAAACATACTAAGGCATTCATAAATTTTATATTAGATTTACTTATTTGATTTATAACACACAGTGATACAGTATTATTTACTCGATGGTGTTTCGAGCATAAATTATCATTGCTCATAATCATATCAATGTAATCACACTACTTTCGATATTTGATTTTTATAATTTTTGTCACCTGATATCCTCTGTTTTTATCAGTAGTAAAATTTTCCATATCTCTGGTATGTGTTGCATCATTTCTATTACATGTGTTGGGTGTTGGTTGATTCGATGAACAAAGATTCAGTAATCAATCTCTTTCTCCCCCTCATTATATTGGACTTAGGTACGGTGGTTGTATCCCACCCACCCTATTGTGTGGTTGTGTGTTAACGCATGCATTGCGATAGTTGAGTTTTTTTCTAGATTATTGATTAGTGTTGTTGGGGTCTACCATTCTATATTTAGCTGAATTTTTACCTCAGTATTCTAACTGCCTCCAACAGACTGGTTTGGCCCGTGTATTTGACTTCACAGTCATTATATGAAATTTGGTAGATCAGATTTTGCTTTATCGGATCCTTAAGCCAACAAAGCTTATCTCTAAGTGAGTTTGTAGGTTTGAATCCCACTATAATTCCAGCTTTGTTGAGGATGCTAAGTAAAGTTTCTGATGTTCCTTCCTCATAGGATAACACAATGGAGACTGTGAACTCCTTTCTACTCATGTTATCGTTATTATTCGCACTTGTGTTACTGTTATTATTTCGTTTCTTGTATTCGTACAAACTGTAGAGGATAATTATTAGTTACTGGCGGTTGTTATATATGCTTCAGTTCCTTGTTTAGGTCTTTGCATAGACCAGTCAGTTTTCTAGCTAACTCATTTAAACATTTGACTAAGGGTGCCTTAACTGACATTGGATGAGATCACTTTGAAGTTTAGATACCTGTAAGAATGTGTCGGTTTCCTGGGGACGGTAGTACTTGAACCGCATTCTCTCCTTTTTAAGGATCCGATAGAACCAATTAAGTAAAATAATCTATCGAATTCCATGTAGTTACTGCGAAGTCAATTACACAAGTCAGACTAGTCGGTTGGGGTAGTTAGAATAGTGAGGTAAAAATTCAGCTAAATATAGAATGGTAGACCCCAACAACATCAATCAATAATCTAGAAAAAAACTCAACTATCGCAATGCATGCGTTAACACACAACCACACAATAGGGTGGGTGGGATACAACCACCGTACCTAAGTCCAATATAATGAGGGGGAGAAAGAGATTGATTACTGAATCTTTGTTCATCGAATCAACCAACACCCAACACATGTAATAGAAATGATGCAACACATACCAGAGATATGGAAAATTTTACTACTGATAAAAACAGAGGATATCAGGTGACAAAAATTATAAAAATCAAATATCGAAAGTAGTGTGATTACATTGATATGATTATGAGCAATGATAATTTATGCTCGAAACACCATCGAGTAAATAATACTGTATCACTCAGTGTGTTATAAATCAAATAAACAAATCTAATATGGAATTACATTCTGCCACAGTACCTAAGCTTTAAACCTACGTTGGTTCATAAATTTTATTAAAATAAGAAGCGTTGGTCTCTATCGTATCTCGCTACTAAATCACCTGAAATTATCAAACGATAGATTTGTGTAAGCTCCAATAAACAATAATAATAACAATGATAATAATAATAATAATAGTGATAATGTAACCAGTTACCTTTTGTTCTGGTATCGGAGCCAGTACACCTTGAACCAAACTAGTCTCCATTGTAGTCACTTCTTCAGATAGACGCGTTAATCTAGCCAATGCGCCATCTAATTGTAAATGACGAGCAAGAGGTGCAGCTCTTATCAAACACGTGACCAATGTCTCTAAAGCGCTGGCTAGTTGAATATTTGAATTTTCTAACGCTGCTTGAATAGCCGGATCAGATAGGGTTGGTGCTAATGATTTACTAGATCGTACCATTGCAGTGCATGGCTATAAAAATGCATCGAGAAATCAAATTGATAATTTTTAAAAGTATATAAATATAAACATATATTTTCAACCAGACTGTATACATGAGAGATAACTTTGATTGACACAGAATGATGATTAAAGCTGCAGGAAAGTTCTGATTGAAGTGAATGATTCGAGTTCTTGTGTCATGATCAACGTTTCCTGACACATTTCAGTTACCATAATTTTACACAGACTTGTTCTTAATGCCTAGAGTAAACTGAATGAACACGAATATTTAATACTATCACATTCACCTTAGTGACTTGCAGTGGAATTCAGAAGGCACATTTCGTCCTATTTGGGACTCGTCATCTGAATTAACCTCCACCTCAGTGAGTGATGCTGTTTCCACTAAGAATCGAACCTAGGACCAACTGGATCAAACGAAAAAGCGCTATCAATCCGTTAGGTCACTGGGGAACGACGGCCATTTCTTGTGCAATAGGTATCAGTAGTTGTTGTTGCTTGATACTTGTATTTTCCCGCTGATATACCGGTCGAAATGCTCGACCTCTAGGGTACAGGTGCATCCGCATGCGTAGTTGCAAATAGGATGAAACGCGTGTCTTGGATTCCAAAGATGAATACAATATAATAAATATTTAGCAGTACCGATGGATCTGCATAGGTGTCCATCGAGCAATTCAACCTTTCATAGCAATGGGAAATCACAAGTACCAAACCACAACTACGCGTTTAGTTTACATATATTTCAAACACGTGCTAATGATCCACATATATGTTGGAGATTTGTTGTTTGATACGCTGTGACTCAGTCATGATATATTACGGAGTCAAAAATACTACCAACTAGTGGATTTCAACACAGTATAGCTCAGCAAAACTTGAAGATGTTAAATTCAATTTCAAAATGTGTTTGGGGGGGGGGTAGGACACTACTCTTGAACACTCCTCAGTCTGAATGAAACAAATCATATATTACGTAGCTGAAATGTATATGATTGTACAGTCTTGAAAATGGAATTGTTCTAGGAAGAATTATAATAATTACTGAAATATTTGTTTCAAGTAGAAGTAAGCATAACTATTAGTATGTGTATACCTGTTCCATATGCGTTATCTTCCTCGGAAAATCAATTATTAATGTAGGAAATTTTCTTTAAATAACTTTTCTTTTTTACAAAATATCAGCCAAAAACCTAGGCAACAAACTACACATATATCATTTACACAAAAATGACAAATAGTACAAAAGTTTTCACATTTTCATTTCACTTACTTGTATGAAACGTTCACAGGCACCAATTAATTCAAGTAATGTCATTGGATCGTTTGGATTAGCGCGTGACTCTCGAATTTTAATGACAGTTTTAGGAATAAGATTAGTCACATTCCTTGTATCGTTATGCAACTAAACAGTAGTAAAAATAAACAAACAAAAAGATACTTAGTAAATGACAAAAAAAGAGGAATTCATCTTTAGGATAAAGAAGCTGACAAATGAAAATCATGCGCATTTTTCCGGTTAGTTTACATATAGTTTATAAGGTGTTTCAGACAAAAAAAATCTGCTTATCAATATAACTACCTCTAATAGCCTCAATTGATGGATTTCACCTTTTTATTCTGCATTTCTGAATGATATTAAAAACAGAATATTGATCACAATACCCTCGAGATTCAAAGCCAAACCACCACAACCAGAGCTTTTCTTCTGATTCAGTCGTTTCTGAAAGGCTTAAACCTAAAGCTACAGATTAACTCACAAAGATATACCTTAAAAAATTCATCTGAGTTGTCTTTAGAGTTCTGTTTTGCGCATTTCCCACAGCTCTACTGAACACAATACCTATGACAAGTTTAAAATTTTACAACCCTTATTGGACGGGAAACTGTCTATCTTGTATGGTAGGCGATCACCAGTATGACAGGAATGAAGCCTTGAGATGATGAGACTGGCATATCAACATCAATATATGTATGCGCTGAAAATATTGATCGAATAAGTTAAATTTTCTTAGTGAAGTCGTCGTTGATTTGCATAGCTTCAGGTGCTATTAGTGCACACAAGTGATTACCCATCTTCTGATAGGAGAGTATGAATTGCTTGATTATGCCACTGGCAGTAATTGTAATCCTTAGGTGTATCAGAGAGTGCAGCAGAAAACAAAGAGATTCACACCAGTGGATACAATAAAAATACTGAAGGAATGGGGAATAGTATAAAGATAACTTCAAATTTTATTTATTGGATAACCAGTCCAGCACTTAAGCTAATTATCTATTAAGAAGCGGGAATTGTATACCATCGTCTTGTATCTGTTTGAATAAACTTCTTAAAAACGAGTCCTCAATTCACTCTAACATTTTATAAACAGATACTATTTCAGTCAACTGATTAAAAAAGTGTCAGAAATGAACACAAAAAGAATTCAAATAACTAACTTACTTGATAGCTGTTACCACGAGAATACTTCGTAGATGCCTGGCTAATATTCACCAGTTGTGTAGCACCTGTTACTGTAGCACGAGCAGCAGTCTGTAAATTATACACTAATCGTGTTTGAAATTGTTCTGCTCCAGCTGAATAAGCAAGTGTATTCAATTCATCTGCAGTATCACGTAATTCTGTTTGTAATTGTATATTGTCTGGATTAGATGAACATGCCTAAAATATTTTATAAAAGAAGAAAACGAATTCAGATAATCAGTATAAATGGTGGTTTAGTCTAGACTCATACGGCCATTGATCTTTCATTCAAAATATAATGTTGGCTAGATGAACTACTCATAAGTAGCTGAAAAATCAAGCACAAACTTCGTGTGCGATGAAACCACACTTTTGGAAGTGTGGTGGATACGTAGTAGTAGCGCTTAGTAGCAAATGACTTACAAAGTAAATAAAGCTGTACACAAATCTGTTATGAAGTACATATTTTCTCAGGTATAACTTTTGCTCAGTATTATTGTTATACCGGTATAATGACCAGCAATTGGCAAGTAAATAATGGTATGCAAGATAGATTTAAATACTGAATAGGTCAGATCAATCAGAATTACAGGATAGCTACCAAATGACTAAAAATCACGGCTCATAGCATTTGGTATAGAATAGATGGAGAAGATTCGCAGACAATCATGTATAACCAAGAATTTAATGTTTTTTGGTACTTCTATTTATGTCAATGATGTAACATTGAATAATATCCAGCGACTGACCAGTGTACTTGATCCAATCCAATACTGCAGAGGGTTAATCGTAGCTGGATTAACTGAACAGTAGCACATTTGATTACAATAATGAATAGTGCGACTTCTAATCTTCGAGGAACATCGGCTTCCTCACTATCGCGCGTATGTCTTTTCTCATGACTGTCAATAAACACTGTTCTTACCACCACTCATTTTCTCCTCATTATTATAAGCCATAACCATTAATTCTACTTTATTGTTTCTTTCAGTTCCTTGTTTTTCCCCTGTTATAACTTTAACAATAAAGGTAAAAATTTAGCTTACAGATTCTGCCTTCTAAAAGAGTTTCCTTGGTTAATTTCCACAATTTCCTTCTAACTAATCATTTAACTTTCTAAACTATTATGAAGCATCTTTCTGTTACCACCGAAAAAACTTGCTCTTCAGCAACTTTGGGTAACGCTGAGTTACTTAAGATGAATGCCCTTTATGTTATTTTATCAATATGTATATAAGAGACCTGACTAAGCTCATGTATATGAGTTGCATTGTATTACGTGGAGAACTGAAACTTTGTACATTCATAATAGCCTTTTATCTGTTCCAGGTGAAGTGAATACCCATGACTAACTAATTAGATAGTAGCCAGTCAGTTTTAAAGCATTTTTCAATTGTAATTAATAATAAGGTGGATATTATTCTGAGTACCGATTTCCAACCAATGATTGAATCATCACTATCAAACTGAAACTACCGGAAATATGAAGGCATCCTCGATAAAGATCATGTTCTAAGAATGCCCGACTAATCCGATTCAATCAGTAACAGGATACATAAACTTCAGCATGAAAACTATGTCGATCGCATAAGGAGCAGCTATTGTGACTCAATAGCCTAATGGATAACGTGAGCTGACGTTCAAAGTGATGGACCTTGAATTCGAGTCTCAGAAGAACCACTCATTGGGAGGTAGGTGCATTTACCTAGCGAGCTCCAAGTAGGCCAAAACACATGACCTGGATTCCACTGTTAGCCGTTATTCTTCATCCCTACCATATTATTCTTCGTTAAATCAAAAAATACGAAATGGAGTTGTTACCGAAACATTAACTCCAACTTCTGTGTATTGGCACGAAATTTGAAAGTGAACAATTTTAACCACAACGAAATGACTTGAAAAACGTAATACAATGTATTACACACATAGAAGCATCTAAGTATCTTGAATGAAAGACTTTTGTATTTCAAAATCAACAAAATGTGGATTATAATTTACCTTAGCAGCACTAATAAGATTAGTCGTAGCATCTGCAAGTTGTTTAGCAGCATGGAATAAATGATTTTGTTTGTCTGAATCATCTCCAGATTCTTCAGCCTGAGCTTTAATATCAGCAATAATAAGCGCTGTGGCTTGTGCAAGTCGACGTGCTGACGCAACCATACGTTGACCATCTGTAGTGTAGTATTGCTTTAAATCTTCATATGCAGTTTGAAAACTATTCAATGCATCACCTTGATATCCCTAAGGTAGAGAGAGATAAGGAAGCAGCACATAGAAAAGACTAGACTTAGAAAGATCACTGTCATAACATTTTTTATTTAAATACGGTATATTATAAATTCTGGATTTTAGTTTCATAGATGCTGTCATACTTTATCTCATTATTTATTTCCCCCAAATACTGTAAAACAATTTCCTTCCATGTCAAGTAGCACGCTAACGACGTATAGTAGTAATGGCAATGATGAGATGACCTTAAGTAACTCAGTCATTCCCAACATAAGTAAAGATGACGCTAAGAACAGACAGCTGCTTAACGGTGGAATCACTAGCATGTTGAATGAGGAAGATTTAAAAACAAATTCGACGAAACATTCATTTCCTCAAGATTTGAAATAAGCACAGCTCATATATACCAAAAACACTACTATCCGTAGTGACTATTTCTAGGTTATTAACAACCTGACAATGACTGACAAAGTCAATATAGAACCTCGCATCCAGGCGCATTGGTTCAACTTCCCACACTTCAAAGAAGTACATAAAAAGCAGGCGGGTAGAAAAACAATGATAGCAAAGCAGATAAAGTAGTGTCAGAGAATAAACAATTTGAAGATAAAGGTTAGTGTGAACACTTCAGCTTTACAAGATGCCAAGGAGTGAACACATCTGCGCGATTATGACCTGTTTTCAGCCATGTCACCAAGCGTCCTCAACCACTGATTCCTTTCGTCTCGGGGACACAAACCAGGCAATCTGCATCTCCCCATACAACTCGAGCCAACAGCTAGGTACTTTATGGACTGGTGCCAGGTCTTGGTCTGGTCACTCTCAACCCTTTTTCATCCTAATCCAACTTTCCAAGTCATGGTACGTTGATGAAGGCGGTAGCTCGGGAGGCGCATTTCACGTCCAAGCCGTTTCAGTCAACTAATGTTCACAACCTCATCAGTCAACTTGCCTGTCTTGTCTAATACCTTTCGCCTGACCTCAACATTAGTCACACGCTGATTCCACCAAACGCGAGCAATACTACGAAGACACCTATGGTTGAAAAACTGTAACTGTTTCATGTCACCTGCTTTTAACGGCTACGTCTCACACCCGCACAACAGAACATAACGGATTGCAGCGCAACATACTCGTCCTTTGAGATAAATATTCGGATAGGTGACGCAATTCGGCAAATCTCAAATCGGCCTTCTGTATTCTAGCTTAGATTTCGTCATCAACCTGCCCGTTTGGGCTGATGCAACTCCTCAAGTAAGTGAAGTGGTCGACACATTCCAATACTTCACTCCCTATCATTAAGTTGGAAGTCGTTGCACACCAGTTCTAGAGCATCATCTTATGTTTTACAGATGTGAAAAGCATACCAAACATACTCAGATTTCTGCTTAAGGCGTTCAGAAGACCCTGCATTTCGCCAGCGTTTTCGCCTAGTAGGACAATATCGTCTGCATATTCTAAGTCAACTAGATGTCCTTCAGAGAGTAGGTAAAACCCTGTGAGGTCAGACGTATCTAAGGTTATATCCATTATTATGTCTATGACGAAGTTAAATAGGAACGATGAAAGTGGACATCCTTGGCGGGCACCACTAGTTGTTGTCAACTCACTTGAAAAATTTCCAAAAGCTCTGACACGGCTGCGAGAGTTCGAGCAGAGAGCTTTGACTAGCGTTATGTATTTTATCGGTGCTCCATTCACAGTCAGACACTACCACGACACCTCAAGGTTGATAAAGTCAAATGCTGCCTTCAAGATAAGAAATATGACAAGTGTCAGTTGCTGGTATGTATGCCTGTGTTCCAGAACCTGTTTGAGGGTGAAAATCTGATCGATGCACTCTCGTCCATGTCTGAAGCCTGCCTGGGTTTCTAGAGTTTGGTGTTCTCAAGCTCCAGTTAGGCATCGTATAACTATGCACCCTAGGATCTTAGAGAATATCATCAAATACAATACATTAAGTTATCAAAAACTAAGGTTGGTGATCCTAAGACAAAACTGATCGACAGAACTCAATCACCTCCGGTGTTAAACATTGAGCCGATATAAGTTAACCACCTTGAATAGAAAAATTCATCAACACTTGACAACACACAGGTACGCATCTCCTTTATACTAAACCAAGACGAATATTAATGTGGAGTTGTAGCCCATTGGTTTAAGGTTCCAACCAATAGGTCGCGGATTCGAACACCAACCCACCAACCAATGACGTTAAAAAAACCATGTAGTATCAATAGACCTGATAAAACAAGTGAAGCCCATTGCCTACTGGGCGAATGAGCACAAGGTTGGTAAGTGGACTGCGCTTCGATTTCGATGGGTATTATAAAATCCACCACTGTTACATAGACGGTTATCAGAAATAAAGTTTTAGATAATAAAACAGGTATCAGTAATACAATTGTTTGTTCAACTTATGCAAAAAAAGAAAAACAATAATAATAACAAAGAAATCTACTCTTCTGTATAACAGATTATGAAGGGAATGAGAAGTCCTTCATTTAGGTGATGAGATACCTATTTCTATGTAAGTCATTTATACATATATAAAGTTGAAGTGTCCAAGTATTCAACCAGAGTGAAGCAAAAATGCAGCCACAAGAAAGAATGAAACAGATAAACGTAGTGGTTGTATCAGCAAGTAGCACACACACACACACTAGTTAACTTAAAAATCACATACATATTCTTCTTATCAGTCTATGCCAGAGTGCATTTGCAAAATAAAATGATGAATAATAAGCAGGTTAATTTCCTTCTAGTTAAAACCAACAACGTTTTAAGTGTTCATCCTAGACTAACATCATTTGGAGAACCTTGGAGCGCTGGACAGCTGTTTTGTCCTAGTATGTGACTACTAAGCGGTGCGCTCCTATGAACATGCCAGGGGTCGAAACCAGGACACTCTCAGGTTTCCATTGGTTCTTCAACTAATGTCAATCGGTGATGAATACCAACCTGAAATCCATAAAGAAAATTTCACAGACCTCCAAAAAGAATATTATTTCAATTAACATATTTTCCATGTTTACCAAAAAAAAGAACAAGAATAGTGACTTGTATAGACTAGGCAAACATTGATGGAAAGGCGAAATGTTTACAACATTTCCAAAGAAGCTGAACAGATAGTGTGAGATTAATTTATAATCTGTAACTGGCAAATAGACTGTGATTGCACTTGTAAAGAAAAATAAGTTAACGAAAAATGAGTTTTATATATAGAGTAAAAAACAAACCCATTTGTACACATGTTTCTGTAAGCTGAAGATATAAATATTGACTTTTACTTCCTAATAGACAAACACGTACAGATATACACAAATACACACACTGTATTTTCAAGGTGTCATTCATCGCAAGCTGACATCAGTCGGAAAACCACTGAAAACCTAGGTTAAATCTCTGGTAGGGTCGTGAGTGCGTTCTGCTGAGAAGTCCCATATTCAGATGAAACAAGTGTTCAGTGATCCCAAGTTTTCAATAGTTCGCCAACTCAGTACGTCATGAGAACCACCATTATATGGATATCAACTAACTACTAAGGAACGCAATTATCACATGAACCATTAGGTTAAAAAAGAAATTATTGATGAAGTTTATAAGGATATTTCCTTTGAATGTTGTTGACTGGTTGATATAGATAGAAAACTGTACATAAAACATTGGTTTAGATATTTGACTTTTATTCATCGAATGATGGACCAGAAACCTTTTCGAAACATTTCTATCTAGGTAAACGAATAGTATCATCAATTCCATAACACACAGCATGTGAATCACGTTTTATGAAGCATTAAAAAACCCGGACAGTTATTAGCACTTCTTGATCATCATGGACTGAAATCAGTTGAAAAGACACTGGAGATCTGGAGGCAATGGACAGCTGTTTCGTCCTCATATGGGACTTCTCGGCAGTCCAAACCCACGACCCACCAGGGATCGAACCCAGGACCTTCAGGTTTCGTGACGTGCACGTTACCATTGAGCTACTGGGTCGCAATGCAATGGCCCACATTTTTCTACTTCTTTCGGTTCGGGATACCATGGGACCTCCATCCATCGTCATCGTTGATTTAACTTGAACGAGGAAGGTATGAGGTTAACTGATAGGCAACAGCAAAAACAATAATAACGACAAACCTTAAATGACCCTTTGATTAAATGTGCATTAAGTTGATCTAATGCATCTCTGACTTCTGTAGCTGCAGTTTCTGTCTCAATAATTGACTGCTGTACCATTTGTGGATCATCTGATGGAACGAGAACAGCAGCACGAGATGCTTGAACTACACCGTCTACAGCCCAGGTAACTTCACGAGCAGCTTCAATTAATTGTTGTTGACATGTCGGTTGGTGGATAGTTGGTGCTAAAACCTACACAAGAAAGAAGAAAGAATAATTAGGCGTAAAAAAAAGACTTCTGAAAAATATAAGTTATTTCCATGAATTCAGTGCGTAAAATAGAGAGTACAAATAGATATAGAAAACTGACAAAATCTTGCAGAAAGCTGCATTAGCACAAGAAACCAAACTTTGCAACAGTACAAAGTGAGACGGAATAAGCCAGGGTAAGTATTAAGACGAAATAGTTACAGCACATGACTAGACAGAAAGAGGGGGGGGGCAATCAAATATACTGCATAATTTGTTGAAAATTTTGAACAATACATAAAAGTGAACACAATTTTATTTTCCCAGTAATCGATTTCGAGTAGTGTTATCTACAGTCACCAATCACTTATTATAATTGATATTACTATTATTATTTTCCCTTTGGGTTCCTAGTGGAACATAGAGCTTCAGTAGCACGCCTCCATTGCACTTTCTTCGCTGCAGTCTTTTCAACCTGGCTACACGACTGCCTACAGGCCTTCATTTCTTCCTCACATGATCTCCTCCATGTCACCCTCACCTCGGACACCCAACTCGACGCTTCCCATTTGAGTTCCACTAGAGAACCTGGCGCGTGACGTCCAAAATCGGCCTTCTCAGTCTATGTCCAGTCTACTCCATCTCCACTTTCTTCTTCTGCATATTTGTTGAACGATGGGTTTTGATTGGTTTGTTCCCAGCTAGAGTGAGTTCGTTGTTGCTTATTCTTATTATTCTGGACATCTGATTTTCAGTATCGAGTGAACATAGGCGGAAGCTGTTGATGAATGTCTGTAGTTTGTTGGAAATGCTTTTCGTGACATGCCAAGTTTCTGAACCATCAACATATAAGCACTGACTCGATATTGGTGTTGAAAATTCGGATCTTGTTCACGCTTTATGCTGAAAGCACTGGAATGCAGTAGATCTCCACACTGATATCATACTAGTGAAAGCCTGTCTTGCTTTTCCGATCCTGGTTTTGACATCCTCGTCTATGCCACCTCTGCCTGTAGTTGAAACGATGCTGTCCAGCCTAGATAGGTGAAAGAGACTACTTCCTTTAGGTTTCTCACATTCATGGTGATTGGTGCCTCTTGTTGTTGATGCTGTTGTTCGTTGGGTATCTTCATCACCTCTGTCTCCTCTACATTCAGTTGAAGTCCCGTTTTCGCTAACTCTTCTGTCAACTTGTTAGTTTTCGCCTGTAGATCTTCAAGTTTGTGTGACATTAGACATAAATCATCAGCGAAATCAAAATTTTCTAGGGTCTTTTCATCAGTCCAGCCAGCTTATGCCCATCTTCTCACTCCTCACAGTTCGCTGTATGATCCAGTCCACCACAATCAGGAATATCATCGGTGATAGTAGACAGCCTTGTTTTACTCCTGTCTTCACTTCAAAGGCGTCATTGAGCTTTCCATTGTGGATCACTTGGCATGTGGCGTCTTCATATAGCTGTTGAATGAGGTTGATAAAGGTTTGTGGCACTCCGTAGTGTTGAAGCAACTGCCAAATTACTTCTTGGCCTTTTAAAAGTCGATGAAGTTGAGGTAGAGAGTTGAACTGCCATTCTATACTCCGTTCAATGATGATGAGGATATGTAGGGAGTTAACTAGCCAGCTGGCATTCAGTCATCTCCATACATTGAAGCAACCAGTCAGTAATTTCACAGACTAATGAAATGTCTTATCCTGGTAACCACTAGACTTCTTTCAGCATAATGTTGATTTTGCCATCATTGCATATCGGGAGTAAGTAGTGGTTCAGCACGCAATACGATTGGCAAAAAGAATAAATCACTGTGAGTTATTTACCGGACCCTGGTACACAGATAACAGAAATGAGGTAGTATAAATAAAACACTAAAATCTTCATATATATTCTCCTGGGATTTATTATTCAAACAAAGCATATCCACTAATTTACCAGCACTGAAAGCTAATCTACCCGTGAAATGTTAGACAGAGACAAGACCAATGCGGAACCTGGCACACAGGTGCATCCGCTCAGGTTTGAACACTTCAAAGTAGTATATAAAGAATAAGTGGATAGGAAAAGCATGATATCAAAGTTGACAAAATTGTATGAGAGAATAAACAATTTGAAGATAACGGTTAGTGTAACTAATGACGCTTTAGATGTCAAGAAGTGAATACATCTGCACCAATACAGCCGGTTTTCAGCCATATCACCGAGAGCAAATCCCCAACCACTGATTTCTATCATCTCGGGGACCCCAGCCACGTAATCTGTAGTAAAAGACTTGATCAACTGGCCACCCTGAACCCTCTTCCAACCTAACCCAACTTCCCCTAGCATGACACATTGAGTAGGAAGTGGCTTGGCATGTGAGTTACATGTCTAAGCCATTTCAGTCGACTAAGGTTCACAATCTCATCATTCGACTGAATTGCCTGTCTTGTCCAATACCCTTCGCCTGACCTCAACATTACTCACATACTGATTCCACCAAACGCGAGTAACGCTATGAAGATATCCATAATCAATACTGAATAATCGCTTCATGTCTTCTGCTTCCAACGCCAATGTCTCACAGTCATATAGCAGGACAAAAATGGGCTGCAGCGCAGTATACTCGTCCTTTGATTGATGATCGGATATCTTGCCAGTCGGTGCCACAGATGATGCAACTTTTTCAATGGCGAAAGGGCCTTCTTTATTCGAGCTGAGATTTCACCAGCACATGAGATGTTGAGCATTACAATATAAAGTGTTGATATAAAGTAGAAAACATGCAATAGAATAGTAGTTACTGAGTGAATTGTAAAGATGCCAGCCGAACAAATCTTAAAATAATGAATAATGCAAAATAGGTTTAGTTAAATTCAATGTTGCATTAGTGAATAAACTTATCCATCATGTGCTCACGTGAAAGTTATCACTGTCTACTTTGGGTATATATCTTCATATGATGAAAAAGATTTATAGCTCACGATGAAGATGATAGTGGTTTTGGTGTTATTTGAACCCTGACATTTTGTCTTGAACTTTTCATTCCTTCATGAAGTTTGTGCTGGAAATGTTACCAAGCCTGGTGGTGAAACGTTCACGGCAAAATATCATAGCTTAGAAAACACCAAACCACTAAAATCTTTACAAAACAATAATGAAACAATACCAAATTTGGAAAGATATGAAGTTCTTAACAAAACCGTAATATAATAATTGACTGAGTCATAATTCCATGCGTTTAGATCTCATGATGACTGCAGATTAGATTATTTATTCGATGTAGCACACAGTGACAGTATAATTTATTTGATGACGTTTCGAACAGAATTTATTACTCATATACGAATCCCATGATGAATTTGTACATAGCAAAAAGGACTAAAATTGCAGAATAAAATGATATCAGGATTTTATTTCACGAATTCTCTTAATCCGAAAACCGCCAAAAAGTGCAACTGTCGCATCGAAATCTATATGAAAAAGTAACTAAACCTTTGCACAAAAGGTGTCAAGTCGCAAACCGAAACACCCTACAACAGACCCAGGAAATCATGTTCTCAAAACAAGTTAGACAAAAAACTAAAATTCATTTAAAAATGTCTCAACGAAAAAATGCACATCATAAGAGATTTATTATGAAGCATAGAAAACAAAAGATTCATACAAATAAACAACCAAACATGCACAAGACAATGTCTTCTATACACCTCGTATTCAACGGAGATGCAGTATCTCACCCAATAGACATAACAATCAAACAAGCTTTTCTACACCTAAACTTCTATCACTAAACAACACCACATCATCACTATACCAGTCACACTTTAATAATCAACCTGTTCATCTCACCACCAACTGTATGTATGAATCCACATGAACTTACTTACCGTTGTGGTTACAAGTGCATTGCAAGCACTGAGATGAAGACATACAATCAGTTCGCTGGCCATATCGCCAACAATCCGTGTTTCACAGCAAACACAATTCTAACCAGTACAATTAACACACACCTCATACAAACACAACATCACCTTCAAACTTCAGGTGACTTTAGAATAATTCACGTACAGACAATGTCTCGATTACTCACTTCAGTGTAAGTGATTACAATAACACATTTTCAAACTGACATTCGCATACCCAAGGAGAATGCACTTAATCTCTCAATACATTCATTGGTGACTAGGATTCGATCCTGTTTCATTCTCACTTCAATGACATAACTCGTCATTCATTTATTCTCACTATCATCATCATCATCATCATTGTTGTTTATCCTTTCTTATAACTACACAATTAGTAATTCTCTTACACGTTATGTAGACTATCTACGATTTCGTTGTACAAATTAAGATTCTTGATTTATTTATTTTGAAATTATCTCATGTCCTAATAACCACTGCACTTTTCGACTGTGTGCAGTTGAAGAGTAGTTGTGAGATAAAATGATATCAATTTCTTCTTCGAATTTCGTTCTTCTTGTTTTATCCAAATGTATCAATGGATTTATATGCAAAAAGGCTTCGTTTATATTGTTCTTAATTAGTGGTACGAGAATCTTCAGATCTTTACAACCCTATGAAATATTAAGAAAAACTTTAAAAAAAAGGTGATAATAGTTACTAATAAACATTGAGCTTACTTTAGTACAAGCAACTAATTGGCTAGTGCATAAACCTGTTTGTGTTACTGACGCTATGACACGTTGTTGAGCCTCTGGGTCTGAGGTAATTTGTGAGGCTAACACTTTGGCCTTTACAACTAGTCCAGCGGTGGTATTTGCAACTGCTTTAGCAAGTCCCAACAATTGATCCTGAGTTAAGCATAAACACAACAAAGACAAAAAAGAAGATATAGGCGCGAAAATCTACACGTAACAAATTAATTAAATAGTTATTAATGTTATTATATAGTAACTAACTAAAATTAATACTTTGTTTCTTATCATTTTGTTAGAAACACTACTGTTTTAGGGAGATGAATCTCAGTTAATAAGTGACGAGTTAATGTCCTGTTTCAGCCACCCAGTTTCGGTAGTTAGGTAATATCATCAGCCGTCACAATACGCATGACTCATTGCCGTTCATAAGAAACATGTTTACCATTATAATATGCTTTATGGATAAAACAATGCATTTTCCTAATAAATTCCAAAGCGATTGTCGCCCCAACAAATATGCCTTAAATATGCTTTTTGAGTTACATATAAAACGGATTGCTACGTATTTGTTGATCAGAAACAAAAATAGGCATCCTAAATTCTACTTCTAGCCAAAAGGGAGAACAATCTGAATACACAAATCTATAAGAAGAGTAAAGAAACGGGGCAGCATACAAAAACAAACACACATATATACAAGCAGAGACAATATATAAAAGGCGAACCTGATAAATTCTTTCTTCATCTGTTAAGATAAGATAATTTGAGTTGAACGATTCGTCGTCATCTCCGCAATGCATAACATGACGTAGAAGATCATTGCTAGCAGCACCAACACGACTAGCTGCCTCAATAATAGCCTTACGTGAAGTACTAGATACAGGACCTTGTTGAGTGGTTGAAGTGACACGATTATTGACTTGATAATTGCCATCTTCTGATGTTGGATAAATTTCTTCATGCGACTATATATGATGAAAAAGCAAAAAAATGGGTTATTCTTTTGTAAAAGATGTCTCGTCTATAAATGATAATAATAATGAAAATAATAATAGTACTGCTTCTACTACTACTAATATGTTGGCCCTATTCTCAACCATAATTATGTTTAGAGTACAGGATTCTCAGCAAGTGATATCGCATCAGTTTAACCGTTGTACAACACTTCAAATAGGCATAAAAATTGTGCTGTCCAACAATATATAACAAAGAATAACATCATTGCTGAAATGTTTAATGACTTCAGAGATATGATAACACTTCGCTATTGCAAAGTTCTTTCATAAGACTACTTCCTACATGATTTCCTTCACATAATAAACAAGCTAAATAAAGTAGTACGGTTGAATTTTTGTACATAGTTGTGCGTGCATACAGTTTAATTTATTTGCTTCTTGTCTTCTCAGAGGATACACACATGGAGACAGCTCCAAATGCAGAGGATGCTTGTCAACAGATAACACATTTCTAGCCAGTAGTCTACAACAGTTCAGATGCCTATCCACAAAGGCATTTATCACTACAGTTAGTGGTGTACCACTCGCTCTACTAATGACCTCTTATACAATACTGAGTAGTCTTTCTTCCAGAGTTCAGCAAGGAATAAGGGAGAATAATAAGTAACAAAACATAAGACGAGAGGCTAATTTACTCCAGAAAGTCTCAGTTTCTTTACATAAACGGTCAAGTGAAGGATTCCTCCGGAAATCAGTTAAATATGAGGGGATCAAGAAATATCAGAAGAAAAGCATAAACCAATATGGACCACGCTTGATACATTCTTTACAACATAGGCGTCAATGAAGCAACAGCCATGGAAGTGAAGTAATTTACATAGGTCTTGTGCACCTAGTACACTAAAATTAACCACCTGACATTTAAAGGCATAGATTGTGAAGCCATTTAAAGAAGACCAGTGACCAATTTCGGTTAAGAAGTTATTAAACTGGGAGCAATCTGCAGAAGAGATGATCTTCATGGATACTGACTGTTAGGGCATTCGCTTACTTAAAGAATTTAGCTTTAGCTGAGGTTGGTAAGTGGTGCAAAAATAAAGAGAAAAGAAAAGGAAGCACACTGGTTTCACTAAGGAGCGGAGTGGAGCGCTTCCCCCTGTATACAGAGTACAGTCTTCTCGCAGTAAAATAAGAATCAAGCCAGTTCGGATTCAATGTGAGCTCTCGCAAGCTTGTTTAATAAAAGGGCTTCAGGGATAGAGTCAAAGGTAGTTTTACCATACTAATCACTTAATAATGCACAGATTATACCGGAAATTTCTTCACTCACTTCACAGAAGGATTCACAGCAACTCAACTTGAAGGAAGTGGTGAGTGTGAGTATTAACGTTTTAGCTAAGCACAGGTAACGAAAAGAGGGATAGGCTACCTGAGGCTAGTGAAAACTAGATGTTTGGATTTAATGATGCACATGAACTCCACGGTTTAAAGAAGTGAAATGGGTTGTAAAGTTGAGATAAAAGAAATATAATATGGGTGACATATTCATATGGGATGAAGATGCGGACATTGTAGTCAGAGTTAAAAAGGTGATTTACGTTCACCAGTCGACCAAAGTTACAGCAGAAACACTTTTTCAATTCTACTCTTGAATATTACAGTAATCATGTGACTCTATTAATAAGTAACAGACGGTTATTTGTTCCCAATACTCATAGATACGATTGTTCAACTTTAGTATATAAAGTCATAGAAAAGAACATCTTAGCTAAAATGTCTTTCAACTTCACTGCTCATAAACGATTTAGATGAAGACATCTGAAAGTTATACTAAGCAGATGTAGCCTGTGGAACCAAGGAAGTGAGAAAGTGTGTGTTTGAGACACACGCACACAAAGAACGTATTTCAACCGAAAAAGCAATGATGACCACACCATACCACGAATTGACTTGGATATTCACTGGTTTTCAATGGATCAATTGATATTAGTCTCTCGTGAAAACATAATAGAATGATGCCACCAGTGAAATGGAAAAATATGAATCAAGAACACTAATCGCCTTGAACTCAGAACTATCAAACAATTATTCCTCTTAACAAATGCAAACGACGAAATAATTTATAAATAGCACAGCTTGAGCCCATAAATATTCTTTTTCGAAAAACAAAAGTCACATTGAAACGACTCCTGAAGGTCTACACGTTCCATGATAATAACTAGTCATAGCATAAATACATATACAGAAATCTGATACTCGACACTAATCAATATCATGTATGATACAGCTTTCAGTGCCAACTGGGATTTGTCAGTGAACTGGTATGACGTGATCGGTAAGCCAGGTGACCTAAAAATGCACAACGTTCAGTATCAGGTATATCTGGGAAGTTATCAGAAAACTTTATGTCTTGGTTTTCTAAATGTGGGTATAAGATATAACCTTAGGATTCACTGGTCATGGTCAACTGACTGACTGACACAATCAACGTAAAACCTCACAGACAAGTGCATCTGATCAAGTTAATACGATTCACAGTAGTATACAAAAAATACATGGATAGAAAAGGACTTACATCATAGCAGACAATGTTGTGTGAGAGAATAAGCAGTACGAAGATAAAGGGTGGTGCAAATGTTCAAGCTTTAGAAGATGCCGAAGAGTAAATAACCAGTTCCCAGGCATGTCACTAGGAGTCAGTCCTCAACCACTGATTCCTAACATCTCAGAGACCTCAACCAAGCTCCAGTCTAACATTACGTCAAACTAGTTGTACCATAGATGCCTTGTAGACAAAAACATAAACTGATTGCTGTTGAGTGGTAGTCAATATTACACTTGAATGCCGAGCAGATATTCACGGCACTCAGAACAGTACCTTATTACCTGTCAGTAACCAATTATAACTCAGTACAAACAGTTTACCTGAATGGTTATATGGTTAACACTGAAATCAAAGGATTTTACAAAACAAATTGGAGGCAATCGGCAGGAAATCCTGATCGATCAAGGTTTCGTGCTTGATGCCACTCGTAAGCAAGGTGTACCTGTAACCTCGAAGCAACTGAGGTCTCTGATGAGATTTGAACCTGCGTCACCCATTGTTACAGTGAGCGATACTACCACTTAATTATCTAGATTTAATGATTGTTGAAATGAATTGGAAAACATTTACAGAAGTCAAAAAGAGTTGTGTTTATTGAATTCAGTACAGCTCTATTTAGGTTTTCTAACTGATCAGGAAATAGTCTAATGACATTTGTTTAACATTACATTGAAAATAAAATACGGGTTAATTAAACGAATTAACTTGATAGATTGAAGTGATAATATTCAATAATGTCTGTGGGTTGGTACTTCAAATCCTACTGTGACCCTGACCACTTTCCAGTTTTTACCAACGACCTCCGCAAATTATCACCTGTATCCAAACTTAGTAATTACAAATTCATTGGAACTCAGAATAAAATAACTCATGAAATACTATATTATTCATCAATCAATTTCTACAGTGGCATGTAGAAATACAATGAAAAAAAAATACGAGATAATAATCACCTGTCCCATAGCTAATGGTCGAGCTGATTGCAACAGATCTGTGAAGGCATCGGCAACATGACGAGCAGCTGAGAGTAAATTTTGAGTAGATTCTTCAGTTTGTTCAGCAACAATTGGTTGACCAGTTTGATCAGCTTTTAAAGCACCTGATTCACGTCTAAGCACAGCAACACGCTTTAAATCATCAACGAATGCGGGAAAGTGGATTGTAACAACACGGAATGATTGCTGCATCATCATTAAATCATCACCAGGATCACGTATTTGATCTAATGGCTGACCATGTTGCACAACGTTAACATCAACAGATTCAGCTCGATTGGCTGAACGTAAAGCTTGAGCAACAGCAGCATTCATGGCGCCAACTTCATCTGTCACTTTTGCCTGGCTAGCACCCATAGATTCACTTAACCAACGTTTAGATGCCTAGATTAAAATTTTAAAAAACAAAGAAAAGAATGCAATCCTATTGAACTGTGAGAACGTCTAAGTTAGTAACCAGTCATAAGATTTTGATTCAGAGCTCTGACTCTAAACCACTACTGACAAGCTAAAAACTTGCAACATTCAAGTACCTAAACTACTGGGTCCCATTTCGACTGCATAAAATATGCTTCCACTTATGAACAAATATGAGTTTAGAAATGACTTGGGCTATTATTCTATTCTTGCGAGGAAATGAACTTTTATTTAATATTTTCGACTGCAGAAAGGTAAGAGCAAGGCTAACTATGAAATCTCAAGTTGAACAGATCAAACACGTTTATAATCTGTTACGGAGTGTGACAATATCCTCTAGATTTCTCAGAGAAACCTGGATACCTCTGAAGAGCCTTCATGGTCAGTTATAGCATGTCGAACGTTAGAGAAAAACCACATGATCATATGTGTGAGACTAGGATTGATTAAAGGGCTCTCTAGAAAAGTGTAGAACTTTCCGATGCTATAAACAGATGTTTATAAATCGTTAATTTCTATACTTATTTGACTGAACGATAAATCTTTATCGTTTTTGCCGTTTCTTTTCTGTTTTCAAGGAACCGATCAATCATCAAGGGTGAAGTCTAAGGTTATTGTTCAAGAGTCCGCTCCTATATATATATATATATATATATATATATATATATATATATATATATATATATATATATATACCTAACGAGAGGATAAATCATAAATATCCTTTCAGTTGAACTGTTCCCTATTGTTGTAAGCAAACATACGGTGAAATTAAACAGACTCTTAAGATTCCTAACCGACATAATGAAAGAAATATGCAATATCCATCACTGTAAACAGATGCTAAGGCTATTTTACAGATACAATTTCCTGTTGTTATACTAAGTCGAACTAATCGACCATATTGGCTACCATGTACATGCCTTAAAATTAGCTGAATATTCATTATGCCATAATTTGCTTGCTGATGGGTAGCAATGAGATCGGTAATACGCATTTCATCCTATTTAGGGCTTAACAGCTGAATATACCTGAATCGAAGTGAATGATGCTGTTCTCATTGAGATTTGAACCCAGTACCTATCGATTAAGTCAGAGCTTTATCCACTAGGTACTGAGTCACCAAACTGACAAACTCAGCGTATAACCTCACAGACAAGTGCATCTGATCAAGTTAATACAATTCACAGTAGTATACAAAAAACACATGGATAGAAAAGGACTTACATCATAGCAGACAATGTTGTGTGAGAGAATAAGCAGTACGAAGATAAAGGGTGGTGCAAATGTTCAAGCTTTAGAAGATGCCGAAGAGTAAATAACTCTGCACCACTGAGACCAATTTCGAGGCATGTCACTAGGAGTCAGTCCTCAACCACTGATTCCTATCTTCTCGAAGACTTCAACCAGGCAATCTATACCTCCGTATACACGGCTCAGACCAACAGTAACAGGCTTCATGGACTGATGCCACGTCTTCGGCTGGCCAACCTCAACGCTCTTTCAACCTAACCCAACTTCTCCTGGCATGGCATGTCGAGGTAGGGGGTGGCTTGGCGTGCACATTACATTTTCAAGCCATTTCAGTCGACTAAGGTTCATAGTGTCATCAATTGACTGAATTACCTGTCTTGCCTAGCACCCTTCGCCTGACTTCAACATTGCTCATACGGTGATTCCACCAAAAGCTAGCAATACCATGAAGACATCCGGGATAAAAACAATGTACCTGACTCATGTTTTCTACTTCCAACGGCCATATCTCACAGTCGTATTAAAGGACAGAACGAACTGCAGCGCAGCATACTCGTTCTTTGATAGAAAGTTGAATATTTCGCCAGTCAGCTTTACAGTTGACTCAAATTGTTAAGTGCTAAGCGGGTTTTCTGTACCCGAGCAGAGATTTCGTCAGTCACGAGAGCTACCTCTTGCGAAAAGGAGATCAGTTGCTACGTATTTATTACCATTATTATAATTTTTCCTTTGGGTTCCTAGTGCAACACAGAGCTTGAGAATTGCTACGTATTGGTACTTATTATTTTCCGTTGTCTCATTGAAGCTAGTTGTCAGTAGCATTGCAGTCGAAGTTAGTGATAATTAGTTCGAGTATGTGAAATAACACAGATTAGTTACAAGTGGATCCAACTAGAAATTTTCAGAAAAAAAGAACTCAGTGACCGAGCGGGTAACACTTTAGCGCTGACGAGTCCCAAATAGGAAACCACGTCATGAATTTCACTGCTAGTCACCACCAAGCTTCCATGTACGACATTTAACCATATCATGCCCTACTGGTTCTAAAAAACACAATGAGCAATGTGAAATTTATTTCCCTTCGACACTCTCTCACATATTCGATACAGGGCTAATACTGACAGGAAAAGTTAATAATATTGCATATGCGAGTGAAAATTTGGCCAATTATATATATATATATATATATATATATATATATATATATATATATATTTGCACCAGTCAATATGGACAAGTGTTAACAATGCTGTTTAGTGACCAAGATAGCGTGAACATCAATGAAATAATGGTTCCAGTCCCCTCTATCCCTCTGTCTAGTAGGATTTGATCTTTAAAAATGTGTGCAAACACGCATATATTCACGTATATTTTTATCCCCACGTATATCGAAAAAGATAGTGACAACCGGTCAAAAAACTCACGTAGTTATATGATAAGACAGAAACATACACAGTTATTACAATCATAATGATATAATATAAAGAGTCTGCAAGGGAAACGTACTTCATCTTTACCAACACCTAACAGAGGACGTTCAGTTGGTGGACCAATGTCTAGTTGTTCTTTAGCTGCCTGTAAAGTCTCCAAATCTTCATTAATTGTAACTAAAAGAGATCGCTGAGCTGGTGACATTTCTTGATAGTGGAAAATATGCGTCTGTAATGCAGTATAATGGTGAAAGAAAGAAAAATGAAAATATAAAACGGATCTATGTAGAATTGTACAGTTAGTTTAAATAGATATTGTCAAATATATACACAAAATTAAAAGGATCTATATAGTCGATTGTGATTACACTCTTTGTATTAGGAAAACTGCGTACTTACTCATCTTGGGATAGTCAGGAACATTTATATTGTCCTCTAAATTGGACTGTCTTATTATGTAGTTCTAATTTCAATAATCTTCTTTATAGAACCTTTCATTTACCCTACTTTCTTATCCCTCTGTATAGGTCATTAAAAATGTCACATAAAGTGGATGCACTGTTTTAGAGTAAAGCATGACAATTTTTCATATCGGTTGATTTCCGTAAACAAAGACACAATTATTGTTTTCAGATGACTAAATGCTAATATAACAATCTTTTCTTGCCTAAGGCTAACTGCCGTTTTTGTATTTAATTGACAGAAAAAATAAAGTTTATTTAAGTCGTCGGCTAAATCTTCATTTTGTTCGCATCCACAATGTGTAGTAAAGAGATTAGTCAGTCTATCATCTGTGAATGACACCCACTAGTGAAAATTTATTCGAATTTAGGAAGAAAGATAAACATTCCATTCAGTAAACGAAAACACTAAGCTTCATGCATATACTCATTAAAAGTGGAAGAATTATTTACTTCTCCCTTTTAGACTAATTTAATAATCCCAACATTAAGACCGAATCGTTCTACTCTCTATTACATATCTTATAGAACCATAAGAAGGAGGAGAAACTTTCAGTTTACATGTGAAGAAAACAACGATGACATAACTCCACCACTGACTCTACTCATCAGTTATTTAAAAGTGTATGAGATTCGCAGGAAGAAGTCGATAAATCAGGATTTTCACAGTTGAAGAAACAAGAGTATGGAGCGTGGTTTTCTGCAGCCATTTTATAATACATTATATACATATATGTCTGAAAGAAAGATTGTCTTACTCCACCAGTCATAAAATTATCTGGTGACATTTGACGTGTTGTTGTTGTCAGTACACTTTGACCATCCACTAGTGTAGAATTTCCATCTAAACCAATATTATTTTGCTGGTGAGTAGACCAGGTATCATTAATGTGTATTTGATGATTGGATAATAATTCACTTCTTTGTTGCTGCTGTTGTTCAAAGGATTTTTCAACTACACCATTCACTAGTGAATCTCTACCTCGGCCTTTAACAGGAGCACGTTGATGATGAACAATTGTAGCTCTGAGAACAAGCGATGAATAAAGAAAGCAAAAGAGAAAAATGCAAAGAATTAACTATATAAATGTAATGATAGACTTTAAGTAAGGTAATAATTCATTTCAAACTATTGTATAACCAGACAATAAAAGTTACTTCATGTGAATACTTCAGTATTGCGATTAATCAGTAGTGTCCACTGTGAATTTGCTAGACATGAAATACAAGATGAACCTTCACTCGCATTTGAAGTTTATTCGGTTATACTGATTCTACACTTAAGTCTCGATAAAATCCATAATACTTATAGCTTTACCTTGCAAGACATCAGAACACCGAAAAGCCTACATACCTGTTACGAGTTAAGACTATCCTATTGACCTGATGAAGCCAAGAAATGGATAACTAAGATAATGATAGATTTGATACGGTGATGTGAGGTGTGGCAACCTGAACTGTCATGTACCAATATCAGATTTCATGATGATATTGATTGCATGAATGATTGGCTAGAAAAACTCGACGAAACACATATTGCACTCATAATGTTATATTCGTAGCCAAAAATAATGACAGCAACAACCAATCAATTGGGAATATCCTTCACGTATCTAACTTTGATCTCAAAGTGACTCTAGAAGTCACCAATTAAACTTCTTTATTTTATGTCAGTCTGCTGATTTCCCAGTCAAAATAAAGAAAGCTAATTGGCTATTTCAGTTGTTGCTAGTGGAGATGTACAGTCACTCATATTCGTAATCCTAAACATTCTGACTAGGTCATCTACACGTTCGAAATCATGCACAATTCTCATATGATTAGCTAAGTATAATATAATTATGCACGGTGGGAGCTATTAGTCTAATCTTGTCATCTCTTTGAGTCAGCTGATGCGACGTTAGTGATAATAGGATCAACTGGAAAACAGTAACTCGGCAAATAACAATAGTCAGGAGCATTCCTCTCAGTCTGTCGATCTTAGGAGCCAATAAGAAATGCGAAACGAGATTAAGACCGGTAACATCAATCAAACCATCAAAAAATGAATATAGTATATATTATAAAATGATGTAAGACGACATGTTTGATACAACCAATTTATACAATATTACATTCATCGACTGTATTGTAATACATATAAGAGAAGAATTAATTACAGTTCATAATGCATACTTGTTTGCAAATAAAACGAAAGAAAATTAAAACACAATACATGATATGCATACTTGTAGATTCGGCTGTAGACCTTCAGGTGAATTTACTGCTACTACTGCATCCAACAATACTATTCTACTTGAAAAAAACCAAAATCAGGCGAAGTAAAATCTGAGGACTGATGAATCAGTACTTCATGATTAGTCAAATGGCTACACATTTGATACACAATCTTTAGACACCATAGAACCAGCACTGATTTCCTTTATTGCCATTGAATAACAAGGTGTTAAGTGTCCATTTCGTTGTCATTTCGATAATAGCTAATATTTACATAGAATGGAGAGTGACAGTCTTGTTTCCTGTTGATGTAGATAACTACAGGTTACTCCATATTAGATTTGTTTATATGATATGTAGCACACAGTGATACAGAATTATTTACTTGAGATGACGTTTCCAGCATAAATTAATGCTAACAATCGTATCAATGCAATCATACCACTTTCGACATCTGATTTTTATGGTCTTATCGTCCACCTCATATTCTTTGTTTTTAGTAGTAGTAAAATTCTTACTATCTCTGGTATACGCATTGCGTCATTCTCGTTACATATGTTGGGTGTAGATTCGATGACCAAACCATTCAGGAATCAATCTCTCCACCTAATTATGAGGGATTACATAACGATGAAGGTAAATTGGATCAGAGTATGTGAACTGATGGTTAATAGTCAAAGCTTAGACAAATGAATATAAGCTCTGATATGGACGCGGATGGGAAAATAAAATGCTGTAATGAAAGACTAAATATTGACCTAGACTTAGGGAAATACCATGTGTCAAATAATCTCATTTCGTAAAATTAATTAAAAATATGTGTGATATTACTTATTTGAATACAAGTAGTTGTACTATGTTGGAAAACCTTTGCAGTTTCAATGGTCATTAGACCTATCATCAACCATCCTAAGATAACTTCACTTTCTCTTCATACTACTATTTCTAAAGAGATAACCAAATATATATTTGTAACTCATAGAATATCTGGGTGCAAGCATAAAATAACAGTACAGTGAGATAGGATAACAATCTTTGATGGAAGTCAGTCGAAAAATGGAGAGTCTGAAAGAAAAAACTGTCGGCAACATACTATTATTATATTACTAGAAATAACATTGTAACTAGTATAGACGCAGTATTTGAGCTATGCTATTGGGATAATAATGGAGGTAGATTTAAAAATAAACTCAAGTCCAGAGAGTTAGAAGTAGCGAATTTACCTGAAATGTTTTCACAACAAAAGAAAATATTCATTGTCAGCCAGTTAACACAGAGTAATTTACGGGATCAAACAGACAAACGAAAGAATTCAGTGACAAATTATGAGTATGCTCTCAAATTTAACAATGAAACATTTACTTAACATAACAACCAATTATTCTGGCCTCAGTAAAAACATCTCAAAATCCTGAAGAAATAGAAGACCCCATCTTCATCATACTATTTCTTCTCTCTGAATAGAATAATAACATTTAAAAACAGCTCTAAAATTGTGTGCATTCCATCGAAATTCATCACAAAGGGGACTAAATTAAATTAACTGGTAGAATTCATTTCTTAAGTGAATAGTTACCTTTCTGCTTGAACATTCTCTTCATACATGGCCGACTCTTCATCACCTTGTAAACCAGGATGATCAGTAGCTTTCTGTTTTTTCAAGATAATATCAATATAACCAGCAATAAGTTGAGAGACTTGTTCACCTTCTGATGTCTGTGCTGTATAATATTCATCTGGGGAGTATTCACCGAAATCCTTTCAAATGGATAAAAATAATGCATGAAAGGATAAAGCAAGAAGAACAAAATTTTGCAGAGTAAAATAATAACATACTATCGAACGACTTCTCTTCAGCTACAAACGGTCTACAAGTGTAGTGGCTAGTAGGACATAAAGTATTTCAAAATATAAGAATAAATAATCTCAATGATAAGAAAGATGCAAGTGAGTTGTTAGACAAGTTCAATCAAGTTTATTCCTAACACTAAATTCACAACACAATATCAACATGAAAACAACTTCAGTTTCCTTGACCTCAATGTGACAATAAGAACTCATGGTTAAATTGAAAAGACAATCCACAGAAAACATACATCGACCAGACAATATCCTTACTTAAACACTTTCCATCCTGCCACATATAAGTGTGAGCTCGTCAAATCAGACATTCTAAAACAGACCCAGGAAATTATGTTCTCAAAACAAGTTAGACAAAAAACTAAAATTCATTTAAAAATGTCTCAACGAAAAAATGCACATCATAAGAGATTTATTATGAAGCATAGAAAACAAAAGATTCATACAAATAAACAACCAAACATGCACAAGACAATGTCTTCTATACACCTCGTATTCAACGGAGATGCAGTATCTCACCCAATAGACATAACAATCAAACAAGCTTTTCTACACCTAAACTTCTATCACTAAACAACACCACATCATCACTATACCAGTCACACTTTAATAATCAACCTGTTCATCTCATCACCAAATGTATGTATGAATCCACATGAACTTACTTACCGTTGTGGTTACAAGTACATTGCAAGCACTGAGATGAGGACATACAATCAGTTCGCTGGCCATATCGCCAACAATCCGTGTTTCACAGCAAACACAATTCTAACCAGTACAATTAACACACACCTCATACAAACACAACATCACCTTCAAACTTCAGGTGACTTTAGAATAATTCACGTACAGACAATGTCTCGATTACTCACTTCAGTGTAAGTGATTACAATAACACATTTTCAAACTGACATTCGCATACCCAAGGAGAATGCGCTTAATCTCTCAATACATTCATTGGTGACTAGGATTCGATCCTGTTTCATTCTCACTTCAATGACATAACTCGTCATTCATTTATTCTCACTATCATCATCATCATCATCATTGTTGTTTATCCTTTCTTATAACTACACAATTAGTAATTCTCTTACACGTTATGTAGACTATCTACGATTTCGTTGTACAAATTAAGATTCTTGATTTCTTTATTTTGAAATTATCTCATATCCTAATAACCACTGCACTTTTCGACTGTATGCAGCTGAAGAGTAGTTGTGAGATAAAATGATATCAATTTCTTCTTCGAATTTCGTTCTTCTTGTTTTATCCAAATGTATCAATGGATTTATATGCAAAAAGGCTTCATTAATATTATTCTTAATTCATGAATGAAAGTTATTCAGATAATACAGGTTAGTTAGTTTTTATTATTAGGCATATTTCAGTAAATTTAAGACAAAAACATGAGAGTAGAGGAAAAAGTGCTTACATTTATGCAGCACTGGATTAAAAAAGTAATTATTTACGTACACAATGATGATTCTAGCCGCACCTGACGGTATTCTCAGGCACTTGTACGCAGCAAGATCTTAAGAACCTGAAAATTTCGTTATGATATAACCATACTGTTGAAGAGTAACTGCAATATAACTATCGCAAAAGTCATTTCAACCTTTGAAGAGAAAAATTACCCGAGTGAAAACAACGCAGTGACAAAAAAAGCATTATAGTGTATGTCCACTAATATCATTACTATTAGCATTACCATAGTGAATGCATGTGGTGATGCTGCCCATTTACAAATTGATGTAAGTGGCCAAATTTTCAAGACTTCCTTCGTCTTCTCATCTAATCGAACAACGCTGTCCTTTGTTATGCCCAGTAAACGAGGGATAAGTTTATTTTTACCTTTAATTCTTTCCTATAATAAAGTATGAAAAATAAACTAAGAAAATAATAGCAGACAAACTGAAAAAGCATAGAGAATTATTATGCATGGATTAGAAACGAAACAAACAAAAAATCTAAAAATATGGGTAATCGATTTCATAATCAATTGCTCGATTAACTCTAGATAAGTGAACCACGGAAAGACACGAAAATCATTTCTGCACGGAAATTTAAATCGGATACCATCATGTTTCCTGCTAAGAAAATTCCCAATAGGCATTAAATTATTTCCTAGGACTGAATATTTACAAATGAATTTGTAAAAACAAAAATATTAGAAGAACTGGTAAGATGTACAACTGTAAAGATAGCCAGACAGACAGAATCAGAAACAAATCCCACACACGTGCATCACCTCCACTGATCACATTTCATAGTAGAATACAAAGAACAATTAGACAGAAGAGAACCGATAACAAAGTGGAAGAATTTGTGTAGGAGAATAAACAGTTCGAAGACAAACGCTAGTGCAAATATTCAAACTTTAGAAGACGCCAAACAGTGAATACACCTTCGTCAATGTCACCAATTCTCAACCACATCAACAAGAGTCACTCATCAACCAGGCAGTCCACATCTACCAACACAACTAACACCAGCACTCAACGACTTCATCCACTAATACCATGTCTTGTTCTCCCCATCCTAAACACTCTCACAACCTATTCCAACTTCCCCTAACAGCATGCATGCATGCATGCATAGCATATCCAGGTAGATGGTGGATCGGCATGAACAACACATGTTCAAGCCACTTCAGATGAGGAAGGTTCACAACCTCATCAATCGACTGAATTATCTGTTTTGCATTGTAACCTTTGCCTGACCTCAACATTGCTCACACGGTGATTCCACCAAAGGCGAGTAATGCTACGAGGACAGCTTTGATTAAAACCCTGTGATTGCTTCATGTCTTCTATCTTTATTAGTCATGTCTCATTGCCGTTTAAGAGGACAGAACGAACTGCAGTGCAGCATACCCGTTCTTTGATAGAAAGTCGAATATTTCGCCAGTCAGCTCTACAGATGACTAAATTAGCAAGCGGTCAACGGGTTTTCTATATCCGAGCTGAGACTTTGTAAGCCGTAAAATCGTTCTTCGGTGCCGGATACAGTGAGGGCTAAAAAACTGACGTACAATTTCTCGTCAATATCAATGTTTACAGGTCATGAATGTGAGTGATTAAGGATGTTTATAAATGTGATGAACAAAGAAACTTATTTATTTGCCGTTAATTCGGTTTATTTTAGGAGGTATGAAAATCAATGGTGGGATGCACTGTCGAGAGGACGTTATAAAATACAGAGAAACCCTCCAAGAATAAGTTGTTCATTAAACCAAGACGTTGAGCTAAGACACAAAAATATATGAGCCATGAGAATGGAAAGCGATGAGAAGGATTGTTATGGATATTCGATCACTGTTTCTGGGTATTTTTGATATTTGAAGACTCTCAGTAGGTTATTTGGTCCAATATTTTCCAACCATACTTAGAGTAAAATGAAATCGATTCTAAGTTCACTGGAAGTTGAGATTTAAAGAAAACTAAGGATTGATTCATTTGAATGCGTGTTCGTCCCAGTTCAAAATTAATAATATCGCGATAACAATAATCTAGAATGACTATCAGTTATGAAAAGAAAGTTAGTGATGGTGATTCTCTTGTTAGCTCAAATGAAGACGTAAAGATAGGTCGGATTTCCCTAAGTAGTTTATCTTTTCAATCTGTTTAGTTCGCTGAACCAAAACTCAGGTATCCGCTTTGAAACAGATGATTTATTTTACGCTTATAATGAGTGGACAAAAGTGAAATTCCAACGGTTAACAGATCATTTCAATCAAAAGCTACTGATATGGTGTAAAAGGGAGGTAGGATGGAGGGATATAATCAATGGGACGAACACTTTCATGAAAAAGAATCCTAACATAGGTGAAATCATTCGCATCACTCTGAAAATTGGTTTTCCCTCTGAAATAGATCATTTCCACGCAACAAGCTAAATAATATACGTTGCTAACCCCGTTGTAGCTATGGTTCAGTGATCTAAGTACTCGAATTCCAACCAGCGGATCACACCTAACAATTCCACCTACCCAGATTTAACAAAGTGGCTAGGTAGCACCAACAGTCCTCGTGAAATAGGTGTAGCTTATTGTGCAGTGTATGAATCTGAACATGATCGCTAAGTGACCTTTTTATACAGCCTCATTGAAACAATAAATTAGGTGGACTCAAACTGGTATCAGTATGACATGGAAAACATCATCGTTTTATCATCACGTATTTTTTCGGGACGGTTTATTACTCGTGATTTTATCATTTTCCCCTAAATCAGGAAGTTAAGGTATACTTATCAGCCTTGTCAGCTGATTAATTTTCTTAATTCTACTCTAAGTAACAGGAGTGAGTGCAGTAATAGTTTGACCGAACTATACTGTTGTATATAAGGTTATATATAAGCCAAGGTATAAGGGTTAGGTTTCCAGAAATCAGAAAACCGATATAGCAATTGAGATATTTGTATACTCATTGAGAACCCAATAAATATTATGGCAGTGAGACAAATGAACCACACGTTTATAAAACATGATGGCTACAAGTGAACGATATAATTATACTCATATTTGGTGAAACCATTGATTAGTTCATGTAACATTAAGTTAAAAAGGCTTTTACGAAGTAGTACTGCGGCAGTGAATCGAATAAGATGATTACAGTGCATATATTACGCTATCCAACGTCAGTTTGATGCAAACAGGCGTGTTGTTCAGACCAAAAATGTGTTAAGAAAATGCATAGGAGTGATTGTAAGTAGAATAAAGAGGAGCTTTAAACATTCAAGCCTAATAATTAATCGAAATGAACTCAGCAACCACATGCACATTTGTGCTGCTAACAATAAGGTACACACTTATTGTATAGTGGCTAATGATACTATATGTTACTGCCTAGAACTTGTTAGGTGGAGCAGGGTTCTAATCCTTAACCCACTGGTTGGAAATCCAGTTTCTAGATAAATGAACCATAGCTCCAAATGATGTTGTACAAACAAACTAGAGTATTGTAAATTTTTTAGGTGGTAATCAGATTCAACTGGTGCGTTCAAGTCTATAATGTAAATACTGAGTTAATGAATCTCAAGAAAAAATCTTCAGTTTTATACTTATCAGTGACTGTTTAACAAAATTCAGCTAATAGCAAAGAAATAACCATTGAATTTAAGCCGAAAATTTCAAACAAACTACAAAGAAGTCACACCTAATATGTCATGTAGTATTTTCGCTTTAGATACATGACTATTCACTTAATTTATGGCGAATTTCTCGTTAATTACAAATATCTTTAATCTTGGAATGAGGAACTTAAGTTATTTATTTAGGTGGAAGGAAAAAAGACTATGGCTTAGAGAGAAAATACATTATATATGTCTAACGTGTGCCTCATGATAACACCGAAACAAAACTTCGATTACCAATAAGCAGATGATTCACCCTTAAGTGTTTGTCCACTAAAAATAAGATATGAAATAGTGTTTGCATGTCTGAGTATTTATTCATATTGAATTGCCCTATAGGTTATTCATTGTTAAGACGTATTAAATGGTTATAATATCGTAGTTATTTTTAAAGCTTATACACAGTATTCATTATGGTGAAATACACTAGAAAAATTATTGATACAAAAACAAACGAACGTCAACTGTATAGTCAATACGCTGAGAATTTAGGCATATTATAAGACGGAAAGGCACTAATAATCTCATGACAACTGATCATAATGATGATCACCTCGATAGCCTTCTATACAACCACCACTTGAACAGATGTCTACCGTTAGTCTAAACTGAAATTAGAAAAGATCTTGACGGACCATCATTTCAAGTAATCTTTAAGATGATGTATTAGAGATCATAGATAAGATGGAAGACGCTCCAATCAGGATGCATGGAGGTATATGCAGTCTCCAACCGGTTTCATTAGTAGATAATTACAAATTATAAAAACCAAACTGATGAAGTAGTATGAAAATAATACTATTTAACAAGTTTGATCCGATCACATATTGATGGTCATTAATCTGTATAGGAAAATCTCAAGAGATGAGATAGGTTTCGGGTTGAAAAAAGGACTTAACAGAACTTTTATTTTTTAGGTTCTGAAAGACATGTATAACTACTATCTTCTAAAATGAGTGAATTCTTTTATCTGAATAGAACTACGGCTTATCGGTAATTATGGGTTATAGGTACTCAACTTCAAACGGATGAATCGCGAACTCAAACCCACCTCTAATTACCGAGGTTCTGGTGGAAAAGTAATATCATCAGTCTTCTCACACTGTGGGCGGGGCAAACTGCCTGCTGCACAAATGTGCACAGTGTTGCTTATCCAATTTCGATTTTCTTTCATCCAGAAGAAAAACGTCCATTCCCTTAATGGTGTTATGCAGCAGTGTTCAAAGTTAGAGAATATCACATAGAAAGATCATACAGCAGACGACCTAGCATATGAAATTTGGTAGCTGTTTGAAGGATTATAGTGGGCCATTATTATAGTTGAACGAATATCCACTTCTTTATCCAGTAAACCACTATTTTTGGAACTGAAAAAACATCCACATTAATGATAGAGATATGTGAAAATGGGCAGTGCTGAGATTAGCCATAGAGTTTTAGATAATGGAGGTAAGTTGGATTGCAGCTTTATTACCCGGTCAGCTGCAAAACGTGACATGGTTTTTCTGCGAAACGGTTCAAGTAGCCACACCACATATCAAGGTAAAAAAGACTCACGGGTCAGATAAAGATGTAGGGAATAAAGTGGGCAGAAGAGAGACAGGGAAGCAAAATAACAACAAATTCGATACGATAATTAACATGGGCATAACATGTGCACACATATGAGCCAACTAGATAACTTCTGAAGGGTTTCACGTAGAGTCTCCAACAAACAATTTCAGCTGTCACGTAGACTCCAACCATGAAGTCTACATTCCCCTTCATGGACCAGACTAATAGTTAAACTGTTCACGCGCTAATGTCATGCAGTTTAGTCCGGTGGAATCCAACTTTTCTCCAACCTAAAACCTACTTCAACTAACTAGCAAGACGACACGGAGGGTGACTAGACATGCGTAACATCTGCCTTATACATCTGAGTCAATGAAGGCTGACAATCTCATAAGCCCGCTAACGTCTTTGACCCAAAGTTATGCACCAGAATTCTGCATTACTGAAATGGCCGCACTCTGATACATGATCTACGTTACGAATGGCATGGCTGTCGAACACTTGAAGCCTTCTCATTTCGTCCACAGGACTTTAGTCCTTTCTTAAAAACTGGGGATGTCAAATTGGAGTTTTATGCACATATAAAAAGTGTGCATGAAGCAGAAGTAGTGATAACAATTTCTCAATGTGTTACGATCAGGACGATGTATAGATTTATGGTAGTTAGGTACCAGAGGCTCCAGCTGCACTGACTTTAGTTAACATGGGGGCAAAAGTATGTAGGTTACGCTGATGCATTAAAGTTTATTATCATTTCTTCGTTAACTTGTACTCTTTGAGATAACAGAACCACATAGCCGCTCAAGGGTTAATAGAGTTAATAAGTACAAATTAATCAGTATCTTGACCACATAAGTTCAAGCACCAAGTTAATGGCCTTTCTGATAGCTGACAGGAAGTTATACTGTAAGTTTTTTGTGCTTGATTTCAACAGGCGACGCAATAAAAAGCCTAGTCATTAATGTAACCTGGTATATAAGTAGATCTGTCAACTAACGTTTCAAAGTAGCTAAAACCTACGTGGCTTGATTACCAACTTACTGCAGTTATACAACAGCAACTAAAGTGCATAAACATATATATATATATATATATATATATATATATATATATATATATATATATATATATATCAGTTTGACTACCTGCCATAGTTTGACAGACTTGTATAACTCATACTGGCTGATGAAGGTGAAATGAAAACTTAGGCCATAGCGGGACTGGAACCAGAATCTAGGTATTGTGGTTCTGTTGGTAGAACACCGGGCCAGAAACCTGGTGGTTTTTGGAAACTCAAACTTCAGCAGAGACGATGACACATACGAGTTAGCGAATAGGTGAATTACACGGCACGTCAACTATATCATGTACTTTTGTATAAGTTTTATAAATCTGAAAGATAATCAGCAGAATGTATAACTAACAACTAATAAATGATATTACGTATGTCATTGATGTCATTGCAGTGCATAGTGACATGCTTCATATACTGACAGTATTGTGAAACAGAGGTTAAACTCGGCTGACATAATAATAACGACAATAGTGATAATAATAGCAATAATGATAATTATACTTATAACATCTATAAAATAAGTATGTTAGTGAATGAATAAGTAAAAGAAAAATAAAGAGTACCAGCTTACCTTAACTAAAAAGAATGTGATTCCATAAGTTTTCAATGAGCGACAAAATTGACAATACTTCACTTTCGCTTCTACTTCAGTTAAACCACAAAATTCAGCATGTTGTTGAAAGATTTTCCGCTCTAAACTACGTATTTTTGCATATTCTTTAGGTAGGAAATCTTTTAAACTGTATAAAATAAAAATAAAGGAGAAAGATGAATACTCCCCTTGAAATAAATAAATTCTCCATAAACTTCGAACTAGATTATTGTATATTAATGATAGGGAGCCGTTAGTAGTGTAGTTCAGGACGTGCGGTTCGTCCTATTTGAAACTAGTCAGCTGGATATACCCGCATTCCAGTGAGCAATGTTGTACCCATTAAGTCTCTAACCCGGGATCGATAGCTTCAAACGCTAGAGAGTTATCCGCTAGGCAACGGCCAATTGCAAGAATCAAAACAACGAGTGATACCCATTGTCCAAGAGGTGGCTTTCATGTCCCAGTGGCATAGAGGATAATGCTTTGGCGTTTGAAGCGGTATATACTGGGTTCGAGTATTAGTGGGAAGAACAGCTCTCACTGGGAGGCAGATACATCCAGTTGACAAGTCTCAAATAGGACGAAATAAGCATCCTACACTCCACAACTAGCCACTATCCATCATTAAAATACAATAATTTAGTCTGAAGTCATGACAACCACTGTTTATGTGACGTGTTTAGTTTAAATGTTGTTGCTTGTATTATCCGTCGCTGACAGGAACAAGTTAGTCGGTTTCTATTGAAATATGGTCTCTCACCTGGATGCCTCCATACCGACTGCATTTATATTTATCATGGATATTGCTCATTCGTGACATACTTCAGATTTCCCGAAGTTCTAATGAGAATACGTTACCTGTGGTGAGGCAAACTAAATCGAACGTGAAGAAAAATACTCGGCGATAGCGTTGGATGAAAGTTGTCCTTTACTGTGAATTCTCAGAAAAAGGAGGATGTTGACCAACGGATTTTGATATAGTGCCTCAATGCTAAATTGCTCGCCAAGAAACTTCAAGGTCCCGGATATGATCTCTGTCGGGCTCCTGGCTGTGAAATGTTGAGGAGTTCCATACTAGGGAAAAACAGCTGTCCAGTTCTCTCAGGCTTTAGTAGTTCCCAAATGATGTGTCTCTGCGAACTACAATAAAGTGAACCTGTTAAGCATCACGATTTCATATATAAGTCAATGCAGAATCAAGTCCGTATTTTAACAGACAATGGTTCGAATCCAATCGTGATTTAAGCCATTGTTTGTGCTCTAATCATCATACTTCTGTAGTGAGAACAACCTTCCAACTTAGAATATTTCATGTAATGTAATCGACAAAAAAGATCATCGATAATAGGCTCACTTTACAATTTGCAAATTTTACAGTTCATATTGACGTTCTGAAGAGTTGTGCATTTATATTTTAACACTTGTGTAAGATGCTAACAAGATGGTATCAATCTATGCAAACCAGTCGGTCACGTAAGATTCCCTCCCTCTCTCTCTTTCGCACACCATACCTTTATTCATACGTATGGCAAAGATGATTTGAAAAACGCTGTAAGCACAGAAAAAGCTAACAAAACGTATTATCCAGCAGCATAACTGACTTCCAATTTCCGACTCTGAGTAATATCATTCAGGTGATCAAGTGAAAGACGAAATGCATGCATGCATGGCATATCCAGGTAGATGGTGGATCGGCATGAACAACACATGTTCAAGCCACTTCAGATGAGGAAGGTTCACAACCTCATCAATCGACTGAATTATCTGTCTTGCATTGTAATCTTTGCCTGACCTCAACATTGCTCACACGGTGATTCCACCAAAGGCGAGTAATCGTACGAAAACTATCATTCATGTATGTATATGTGTAGTACTTCATTTTATAAAACTGAATTAGTATGGAACACCAACTATTTCCAGAGTTATTTCATTAAAAAAGTGAATTAACTGTAATTGCTTGGAAAAGCCTGAAGTAAGCCCATATTTTAACGTATTTATTGCGTTTCAGAAAAGCATTTGTTCTATACAAAGGATTCTAAATTTTTTTTAAGTATTATTCTTAATATATCAACTAATATCCCGGTGAGAACAACATCACTCACTGAGGGGCAGGTATATCCAGCTGACGAGTCACAAGTAGGACGAAATGAGCATCCGGATCTCACTGCTAGCCACTACCCATCATTACTATACATAGCTAATACCTGTTACACTTTTAATTGTTATTTACCACTTGATGGAGTTTTCTTGTACACTATGAAATGTACGCAAGAAGAGTACTGGTTCATAAAAACAGAGAATACCAGTTAGTATAGTTGATTTTATACTATTATAAAAACCTTTAGGCGATGTATTCTACCCTCCGTCGGTAAAAAGCTACACAAATACCATGTTAGTCATACAAAAATCTATTTGTATTTACAACTTACTCTAAAAAATTTGGTTTAAATTTTTCAGCAACATAATTTCCAAATTGAACTTGGCATTGTATACCAGCTAGATAGATAGCTTCTTCCAAAGAAACTGGATGAGTGCCTTTAAGGATAGCATCCTTAAGCTAAAAATATAAAGTACAATTCTATGCAATTAAAGGAATAAAGCAGGCAGTAATCAACAATCAGTAATCAAAATGAAATGAAATATCTTAAGAATTGGAAGGTGTATCAGTAAGAGGATATTAGTATCTATTAAAATATGACTTATGTTACGGTTGTAAATAAACAAAATGAGCATTCTTGAAAAGTGAGGAAAGTTCATCAGGTCAAAATTTCAATAACAGGAGATTGTACTAATAAATATTATAAAACTTTGAGGTGAACTGAAAACAATATAATCTCTGCAAAGCGAACAAAGTTATTCGGTAGGCAAAACGCTAATTACTACCAGTCTATGTCATCAGTATGAAGACTTTTTTAATCAACAACTATGAGAGTAATTGAATAGTGTTATCAGACCTTGTACAACAGCTAAAGCCTGTATTGTATCCACCGTTCTGTATTCCTATACGACTATGAGACATGATCAATAAAAATAGAAGACATGAAGCAATCACAGGGTTTTAATCAAAGCTGTCCTCGTAGCATTACTCGCCTTTGGTGGAATCACCGTGTGAGCAATGTTGAGGTCAGGCAAAGATTACAATGCAAGACATATAATTCAGTCGATTGATGAAGTTGTGAACCTTCCTCATCTGAAGTGGCTTGAACATGTGTTGTTCATGCCGATCCACCATCTACCTGGATATGCTATGCATGCATGCATGCATGCTGTTAGGGGAAGTTGGAATAGGTTGTGAGAGTGTTTAGGATGGGGAGAACAAGACATGGTATTAGTGGATGAAGTCGTTGAGTGCTGGTGTTAGTTGTGTTGGTAGATGTGGACTGCCTGGTTGATGAGTGACTCTTGTTGATGTGGTTGAGAATTTGTCACATTGGTGAAGATATATATTCAATTCAATTAAGAGAGCAGAATTGAGCGCCTTATCGTGTAGGTGAATTGAGTCTAAGGGATGGGACAAATATATTCAAGGTAACTCATTTTTAAGGTAAGAGATAACACTGAATATGCAGAATCACGTGCTTAAGTCAATCGCAACCAGACAAAGTTATAGCGGATTAGCGACTGGGCTGACGCAGAAATTGACCAGCTTGTGAATAAGTCTGCAACAAATTGATAAGTCGTATTCTAGTTGGCGTTACTTTTATCATCTTAGAGTTCGGTCAACAGGACTTAAAGATAATAGCAAAAGCTTCTTTCCTTTCAATTATATAATGAGATATGGGAACTCCCATTTGATAATGAGTGACACATTTGTATACACTGCACTCCGTTGGAAATTTTCTAACCAGAACAACATTATTCAGTGGTTCAGCTTCCTCTAATACTCCATACACCACGATCATTATGTAGTCGCGTCATTCTAACTCTCACATACACATGACTTCAAGGGAACGGTTTACCACTGAAGTCTCAGAATCGCCTGTATTTATCTCACATCTGATTTTGACGAACTCTCTAGCAACAACTGATGAAATAAAAGAATAGTGTAGAGACAAAGTAAAACAATGAATGTTTCGCTTTGTTATCATAAGGAAAAATCTTTTTCATGAGATTCACGTATAGCCATACACACAAAGAGAATATCACGAAGCTAGTTTATTACTGTACAAAGTACTTATGCTAGTACAAACATATAGAGATATTCAGGTGAAATCAAGATCTAGTGAGTAGAACACCAGGCCAGTAACCAATAGGTCGCTGGTTCGAATCATGTCGCAGCACAAATTTTCATTTCACTAACAAGTATCAACAGGGTAAGTATATATCGACCAAGAAAAAAATTTTAAAGAAACATGAATGTCATCAATATATTATCAGCAAATGTTCAATGCAAAGTTTACACATAATGATAGGTTTTTATCTGAAGTATGTAAAATAACACTTCGCCTGCAGTTTCTTTTTTTGATGCTTAAAATGCTTTCACATCTGATACATTGTGTTCGTTAAGGTTGAACTAATTAATGTCTAGAATAAACAGAGTTGACTAAATGAAATTATATATATATATATATATATATATATATATATATATATATATATATATATATATATAAACAGAGCGAGAGAGAAGAAAACAAAGTAGGACATATCATAACAACGAATCAGCCTAAGTCGCCTGAATTCGCAGCAGCAGTATGCACAAGGGTAACCAATAAGTAGAATATAAAATATTGAAAAGATCTAAAAGGAGGAGAAACGATAAAGTATAGTTAAAGTATGCGATAATAAGATTTCCTTGGTACTGAGGGGGAAGTAAGAAGAAAATACATTAACACACTGTCATATATTTTGAGGAATAACAAATACTTTACAGGATTAAAGAAGTAAACTTACAGTTTACTGAACAGTTATTCGGAAGTGCATTATTCTCTATTATCACTGGGATTGAACGTAAAATATACAAGTCTATTGGTGAGGATGAACGCACATACATATGAATTAATGAATGGAATCGCTTATGAGTATTATCGACAGATTATATGTCTTCATAGTTCATTCGCTGGGTCAGTTAAAACTCAAAGAAATCAACTTCTCTAAAGCAAGTTATTAGTTACGTTGATCATTCATGAGTAAACATAAGGCAACTCATCTTTATCATGCCTAACACTAGTCAGAAAATCGGCGGATATTTCTAATTTTTACTTTTTAAAGATTTCTTAACAGTGTGAACTGTAATTTTAACGCCTACAACAGAAGGCCAGTATACGTGATAAAGAAACATTCATTTTATATTGAAGTCTATTTGATGGCTAGCGGTAGGATGCAGGGCACGTGGGTCGACCTATTTGAGACTTGTCAGACGGATGTGTCTGCACCCCAGTCAGTGATGTTGTCCCAAGATACGATCGTTTCAAACGCCAGAGCGTTGTCCACTAGGATACGGGTATCAGCTGTTGTTTTATTGATACTTGTAACTTCCCGTTGCTACACTGGGTCGAATTGCTCGACATCTGCATTTCTTAATTTAAACATATTGTGACGAAAGCTGCCTACGGTTAGAAGACTGCAAAGAAATCAACTTTAAAAACAAGATCCTCAGTATATAGATAAAAACAGAGAAGTTTTAATTACCAGTTAAAGAATCATTCTGTTTACACACATGCGCACGCACAAACAGAAAAAAAAACTCAAATAATGTGGCTTCATAAAAATTATGTACCTCTCACATGTGATGTGCAATATAAGAGAGGTTCAATGGGTTTTCTAAAATGAGAGTGCAACACACGCACACGAATAGAGAGAGAGAGAGAGAGAGAGAGAGAGAGAGAGGGATAGAGAGAAGAAAAGTAAAGGAGAAGGAGGAATATCTTTTCTTCAAATGAAAGCGATAGTCATTTCATCCACCTTCAGGTGATGTACACCAGTCACAAAAAATTAAAGAGCAAATAATCTAACTCATGTGACTAAAGGCTAAAAGAAGTAGAATTTAACATACACAAGATATTTTGTGTAAATATGCACTTATCTCTTCACTGTAAAACCTCCACTTGATGATATGATTAAAAGGTGGTAGGAAAACAGTATACTGATACCAATCTGTGTAGACTATTTACGTGCCATAAAGTTGGCTTTACTTGAATTAAAAGTGATTATCAGGCATTATAGTCATAAGCTGACAGACAATGATTGTGCATGTGTGTGGGCGTGTAATGCTATATAGCGTCAGTAATGAAGCCAGTTTGTACGACCGACTGGCATGACATGCAGTTCAACTTCTTGCATAGCGTGATCATTGGTGCTGCGTGAAACCATATTAAAGGTAGACTCAATTACATTTATCAGTATCTGGCAAGGGAGTCTTAAAGAAAATATCAAGCACTAAAATATAAAACAAAGGCTAATACTTTCGGCGTTTTAAACATCCAACTTGTGTAATGCAGTAGGATTTTTGGAAATAGATAGACAGACAAAACCAACGCCGAATCTCACGCACAAGTGTTGCTTCGAGTTGACATTTAACAGTGGTACACAAAAACCACATAGATAGAACAATAGTGATATCAAAGTAGACAATGTTGTGTGAGAGAATAAACAGTTCGAAGATAAACGCTAGTGCAAATATTCAAACTTTAGAAGACGCCAAACAGTGAATACACCTTCGTCAATTTAACCAGTTCTCAACCACATCAACAAGAGTCAGTCCTCAAACACTGATCCCTATCATCTCAGGAAAACACCAAACAGACAGTCCACATCTACCAACACAACTAACACCAGCACTCAACGACTTCATCCACTAATACCATGTCTTGTTCTCCCCATCCTAAACACTCTCACAACCTATTCCAACTTCCCCTAACAGCATGCATGCATGCATGCATAGCATATCCAGGTAGATGGTGGATCGGCATGAACAACACATGTTCAAGCCACTTCAGATGAGGAAGGTTCACAACCTCATCAATCGACTGAATTATCTGTTTTGCATTGTAACCTTTGCCTGACCTCAACATTGCTCACACGGTGATTCCACCAAAGGCGAGTAATGCTACGAGGACAGCTTTGATTAAAACCCTGTGATTGCTTCATGTCTTCTATTTTTATTGGTCATGTCTCACAGTCGTACATCGGGACAGGAAGAATTTCAGCGTAATATACCCGTCGTTTGATTGTCGGCCGAGCTTTCGCCAGTCGCCATCACAGATGACGCAAGTTGGAGAATGCTCAACGAGCCTTCTGTATGTGAGTTGAGATTTCATCAGCAATCAGCCCATTCGAGCTGATGCAAGAAAATGTCTTCAAAATATATGACAGACAATTCTGAAACCTCTATATGGTGTTCTGACTGGTATGTCTGCAGATGAAGGTCTAAGAGTTTGAATAATAATTTATTGACATGATTGGTTGTCAGTTTGAACAACGTTCTGGATTACGGAGGATGAAGAAATATGAAGAATATGCATCGGAATATAAAAGATATCTTATAACCACAATACATGTTAAACCAACATCAAGGGATTCGAATTTTCTTCTCCTCCATACACTTTTATCTAATTTAATACGAATCTGTTTCCACCTGCTTGTTCTTTAAGTGCTGACGTGAAGTGGAGCAAAGTGAACCGATGCACTGCTGTGCAAGGTTCTCAGTTGATTTGGTCTTCCTCTCCGATATAGACAAAACGTGATGTAATTGTTGAACGCAGGATGTTCAGGTTATATATATATATATATATATATATATATATATATATATATATATATATATATATATATATATATATATATATATATATATATATATATATCCTTAGGTTGGTCACATGAATTGGAAATTAAGGCTATTAAACATAAGACAATGTAAAGATTGTGAAGCATACTGTGTAAACTTGCCAATATCCTACTTTAACATTCAGTGTGATTTGAAGTTTAAATGAAAATGCTTGGCGATACAGATTCAACCAAAGCAAAGGAATAATAATAATAATTCACTTTATTCCAAGCCTACCCTGGTTTGACATCTGAATGCCAGTCTGTGACGACTTCAACGTTACGTAAAGGATAGCCCAGACCAACACGATGCACCAGTGCAGGAAGTATCTGACTGTTGGTTTGAGTTGTTTAGGGAGGTGTATACTATTTGGCTGGTGTCCCCGAGATAATACGAATCAGTGGTTGAGGACTGACTCTTGGTGATATGGTTGAAAATCGGTCATGATAGCTGTGAATGCATTATAGAAGTTTAATGAGTGTTGTTGATCAAATATCGAGGGAAAGCAACTGAAATCCATTTAAAATGCATATGCGAATTTGTGCAGTAGGCAAGGAGCTACGCCTATAGTGTTTCTCAGGGCTAATGATACCTGCATGCACAAACCACCTCGGTAGGTGTAGCGGTGTTTGAAGCTGTGAATCAATCGTTGAAAGCCAATTCCCTACACCAATGAGCCACAAGCCGAAGTTCATCAAATGTGTATGTGGGAAACTCTCTCATATTTTTATCTAATGCAACCATAATCAATGGTGCTCAGAATATCACTAACAATGAGTTCACTTAACTGCAGTTTCCTATGTAACTAGTTGCATAGAAACAGTTAGACATCACAGTAGAGTAGTTGAAAAACTACTTTATCTGTGACACAGGTGAAAGTGGACTGTTCATCATTTCGCAAAAGAGAACGCAAACTGCTAGTTAATTTTTGGGACTACTATTTGATCCATTCAAGTCAAGTAGCTAGATTATGTTGGTTTGAAAAACTACTCTATGTAGATTTGAATTATTAGGTTAAGGTAACATCACTGACAATCTCTCAGTACTAAAGGAGAGAACCGTTTATTTGGAGTTGAGAGCTTAATGATGTGACCAATGAAATCTTCATATCGACACAAACTTCTACAGTTCAACCATTAAATCCACAGATGGGCAGAGAAATTCGACCTTCATCCCACTCATTAAATAATACCAGCTATGAATATATTTAGGCATCAATTTAAAGAAAGTGATAATGCCAATGCATGATATTGTGTTTCCAAATGTATTTCACACTGACTTCTTACGAATATTTATTTCCTGATCAAAAGGTATCTTGAATATTAGAAAGAAATTCATTTTTCCACAATTAAATACAATTGTACAGTTACCGACAACTCCAACAGTTATAAACTTACATTAATTCTATGCATCTACTATATGAGTATATCGATTTAGTGTCAGTAGGCAGTTATAAACAAAAACAACAACAACAACAACAAACAAACCTGTAAAATTAACTGGACTGTTCAACTTATCATATCTAACATCAGCGTATCGATAATGAGAAAACAAGAAATTGAAAGACGAAGGGACGCAAATCGTAATAATAACATAGTACCAATAATCATGATATTAGCAGTGTCTGATTTATTAACATATACGTCGAAGTGATAAGCGATGAAACGAGTGAATTAAATTGTTATTCAGTGGAATATACATATTAGATTAATGAATTTAGTTGAAATAAACAATCCAGTATGCTATAGGATGAATGGGAGAGAAAATATATGATATTTTAATTAAATGAACATACTTGAACATATAATAAATTGAGTTGTACAGGATCACGAGCATCTACATTCATATCTGAGAAGAAATATCGGCGTTTCAATAGCAGAACTTCTTTCTCATCTACACCTTGTTGCCTTAAACTCTGAGATGGATTAAGCCATTCCACTGTAAAAGAAATTGTTGGTATAAGTATAGTAAGCTATGAAGTTATTTCAACATTTAAAAAAAAACGTGAGCAGAATTATTGACAAGAAAATGGTTTAATTTTAAATATAACTTCGTATTAAGATGAGATAATTCAAAGTTTCTCAGAGTTCGTGATAGGAGGCGGCCTAAATCGAAATCAACATCAGCCGCTGAAGTAGGAAGTTTAGGATTTCAACCTTTATTTTATATCACTGTGCGGTGAAGAAAAACCTTTTCGGATAATTTTGTCCTACAATTGATCAGTTAAATAAGCATCCAACTTTTCACCTAGTGGTTTTATATGCTGATGAAAATTGTAATTAAATGATGTATTTTTGTTGAATAAAGCGTCTTCCCAACAGTCACACACTGATCTTTGTCTTCCGATTTCCGTGACACAGTGAACTATTAGTCGCTATCATATACAGTCTAAGTGTCTCATTGCTCGAGTAGGGTTCTCGTATTTCGTATTATTCAGTCAGTCACTTCAGTTCTCTATTGCAACAAACCTCTCTACAAGGCATACTCAATATTCATTTGACCTGTTCACTTATCAAGCAATTACTTTAACCTATTAATCTGTTGATGTATAATTTGTTCTGAATAGAGAACTAGAGTCGACAAGACCTCCAACTCAATCTATCCATTTAGACTATATCTCTTATTTATAAACATATCCAAAACCAAACTACTTTATCAATGTATCACCGAACGCTGTTATGACTATCTATTTATCTAAAGACCGATAGACAGACAGATAGTAGCAATATGGAACCTAGCATTACTGCAAAACATTCAAAGTGGACACATCTCATGACAGCACATCAAACGAAGATGGATCAAGATAGAAAATGAAGAAATAAAGAAGAAAGTAGCCAGAAGTGGCAGAAAGTTGTGAAAAGACAGAAAGGAGGAGATTAAGATTGATCAAATTCGGCATGACAACTAGGAGGAAAATAATGTGTTGATATATACGCGCTTTGATATTGATTCTGAAGTATATCACCGTAAGTCTCCAACCGACGACTTAAGTTATCACGCTTACACCAAGCGAGAAATCTACATTTCCCTACATGGTTCAAAGCGATAGTTAGAGACTTCATGGTCTAATGAATCATGACTACCTACGAAACTCCAATGATATATAATGACTCGTCTCAACTGATAGGCATGACGGCTATGTTAGTCAGCATCCACTAATAGATGTTGAGAAGCATAAACACCGTGGAGTCTATTACTGTGTGGCAGGCTACCGTTTGTATCATAACCTCAAACAATAAAACGTTATTGGTGGCCATAACTAACTGGTGAGTGATTAACACTGATAGATTTTTCGAGGAAAAATGAGAATGACAAAATCATTGCATTCTGATTAAACTAAGAGTATATGCCTAGGCACGTGCCGATTACGCACCGACGTACTTAACAGTAATCAAAGTGTATGATATTGACTGACTAGTATTACAAGAAATATTCTACTACTTTACAGTTATAGCAACTCCTACACAACGAAGATGAGCTGACCTGTATGAAAATGGTGACAAGACAACTTATAATATCCGAATTGTTTCGTAAGGAAGACAAGCGACTGATATAAATAATTTTGAAAACAGTTACTTTAACTTTGTGAAGAGATTCTTCCAGTTATCAAGAGAAATCGGTTAACGATTTGATACAAATGAGAGTAGTGGGGGATAAAACTTTAATTAACCAAGCGCATTATATTATCCCTTAGTACAACATTGTAATTTATTCCTTCAGCACCAATAACAAACAAGGCAAGTAACGGGAAAAGACAAGTGAGTAACTTAGAAAATACACAAGAGAAAAAGTCTAATTGTTTGTTTGATAGCTGAATGGTTGATCGTCAGTGACGCTTGAATGTCATCCTCAGCTAAAATTTCTAAAGAAAGCAGTTTTCGTTATTTCATCAGACCAACACAGGTTCAGTTCTAAGCCGTTCATGATAATGTGTAAACTCAGTGAGTCGCATGATTTCCAGAATCTCACTAAGGAAGCTAAGATGCACCGATAGATGTTAACTCAACAAAACTATTTTTTGTCCAAAATCACTTTCACTTGATCGCCTTCACACTCGTTGAGCCAGTCACGACTTTCTATCCCAATCCCAATCTGACTGAATTAAAAAGAATGAGTTATATTGATCTTAGTGACTAGCAGAGGAATCCGGGAGGCGCGCTTCGTCTTGCTTGGGACTCGTCACCTGGATGTACCTGCACCCCAGTGAGTGATGCTGTTCCCATTAGGGCTGGAACCCAGCAGGTACATCCAGCTGAAGGGTCCCAAATAGGGCGAAACGCGAGTCCTGGTTTCCTCGGCTAGTCCCCAAGATCAACATGAGTATTCAGTAGTATCGAAGCATCCACACAGGAGCCCATCTGCCAACAGAAATCGAGTGATTCGGGTCTATATAGCAACGGGAAATTACAAGTATCATAACTAGAAAGGAGGAGGATTATACTGATCACCAGTTTGACTACTTCAAAAAACCGTGGTTTCACAGACTCGTATTGATACTGGGTGATGATTGAAGGTGAAATGAAAATTTGGGCCGCGGAGGGATTAGAACCAGCGACCGCCAGACTATCGAACCAGCGCTCTAACAACCTAGCTAGGAAGTAAAACTAAGATCCAGTCAGCATTCGGGTCTCCTGGCTTAGTTGCTAGAGCACCAGGCCAGTACTCTGTAGGTCGCTGGTCCTAATCCCAGAGCAGTCCAGATTTTTATATAACCTTTAATCATCACCCAGTATCAATAATACAAGTCTGCCAAACAGCGGCAGGTAGTCAAACTGATAAGAGTATTATATCAAAAACCAATCAACTCCTGACACCCAGGGATAAAGTGAAAGGGGTAATGTGGATGTCTAGAACTTAAGCTATGATAATGTAACCCCACACTGTCCTATGAATTAAACTTGAACATGAAAGGTTCTGAGAATAGTCTTACATGATAGAAAAATAATATCAGCACTTGAGATTGATTCTGCTATGTCTGCAGCTAAATTACTACTGTTTAGTACATTCAAATGAGTTCAATTGGCATACATTATAGTAATCATTAATTACCAGACATTTTGACTGCATTCATCAAATGTTAACAAATTAGTTGAATAGATGATACAAAAGCAATTTGTCTTCTCTTACTGTTCATTAGGGATTTAACAGTTTACGCTGGCATTTTAAAGTTAGGATATATATTCAGTGTATTTACTGGACAATTCGAATAATCCAACTTGTACAACAACAAATGAACAACTCAATTTGAACATCCACACCCTGACCTACAAATATTTGCCACAATTTCTAAATACAACTTTTCTTAAATGTGGTTAATTCCACTGGTTAAGATTGTCTTGGCTTGAGGGATTGGTAATAGTGTAAGAAAATCTTAGTTGTGACAAGATTCAAACCAATTATTTCTAGGTTACCAGCTCAGCGTTCTTCAGAGTGTACTGGGAAATATAACTACTAACCAAGTTTTAATTTCATTGAAAAGACCGAGATTTTTGCCTGACCGGTATGAAAAAAAGTAAATAAGTCACAAATAAGCCATATGAGTGAACAAAGAATATTCTTTTCGAATGACTACCTCTTCTTCGGGTTCTACAGTTATATGTACGTAAATATTGAGGAATTATGCGTCAACGATATCGAGCTTTCGATAAGCAGTTTGTCAATAAATTAATACGCCTGAAGAAGTCTTCAGAAAGGTTACGTGCGAATATTAATGGTAGAATCAAATTTATATTATTATTATTATTATTATTATTATTATTATTATCACAGGGATTTAATATAAAATAACTGATTACCTAAGCGGTTATACAGCGTATGCAATACTATGAGGTGATACTTTAATAAAACAATAGGAAGGTGTTTATGAAAGCTAGTTGAAATAAACTAAGGATAATTTGAGGAACAATAGCTTGGTAGAGTGTTACCGATGTTGGGCGATAAAATAGGTTCAGAAAATTTGCTAAAAATATTTACGATTATAGGGATGGAGGGGTATCTACAGTACGCAATTGGAAAACTTGATTACCTGGAGGATGATGCTAAGGAATTTATGATTACCGAATCGGGTCATGGTATTTGTAGCGGTAACACTTGCTTTCCTTGAAAACACAACCTCGACTGTTTGATCCTGATTGCTACTGCTTCTGTAGTCTGAAGAATTTGGAGCCGGGTACCTTGCGACAAGTTGATAGGAATACGGCATAGGATGGAAAACGATTTATTCATATCCAACTTATGGTTCGTTCCAACCAAGTGTGCTAATATAGAGCTGCTAATAGTCTTCACCACACCCTTGCTTAACCATGCTGGGAGATGTTCGCGAGCACGTAAAATTAAATTTCTAGAGCAGTGGCTGACGTAACTGGCTCCACAGGGGCAGTCCAGCTGATAAACACAACAGGAAGTGACCAATCTAGACAATTCATTTTTCAGTCTCGGCATCACTAGTGAACGTGTGGAAAACGAAATTTGTAATTCATCAGCATCAAAGGTTCTCTGAATTGATCTGAATAGTTCGCCAACTTATATCTCGCCGAGAACGTCACCTCTGAATTTTACCCCAATGTATAGTGGTTTCGTGCTAGCCGTCGGAGTATCCTTTTCGCCCATTTTTGCAACCATATGTCTCTTTATGAATTTATCAGGATTGTCATTTTCGATTAATGTGTTGCGCAAAGACGTCAGTTCCTCCTAAACTGTATCTTTCGAACATGCAGGCTCCGTTGTTTTAAACTTAGACTTTTAACTGATTTTTTTTGTACTGAAGGGGAACGAAGCTCAGGAAATATGTATAATGCTCCGCTCGCGTACTTTTTTCAACCAATTCCTCTTTATCGACTCACCTTTTCGTTTGGAGAAAAAAACGGAGGGGAAAGCTATCTTACCTTGCGACTTTTTACACAATCTAGCCTAAATCTACTTATCAAGATGTTTATTCTCTAAAGAGCTAATATAGTCACAGAAAAATAATGTACCATGGAGGCTGTCAGATATTATATGACACACTACTAGACTTCCTTAAATGATAATTCGCGTTTTCTGTAAATCGCCGTATTTTTGAGCTATATACATATATATATGTGTGTTGTTTATCTGTCAAGAGAATTTTGACAAAAAAAATACATTAAGATATCATACACTGTGTGATCTCTTTGATGCCCATATGTCATGAATTAAGGAAATACGTTTAAAACTACTGACACTAATTAGTAGTAGGTTTGAGTTTAGAAATGATTTTAACATTATTTAACGAATTTTTTATTTGGTTAATTTGCTAAAGTTATTTAGTTGATGACAATCAGATTGATCTAGAAATACTGTCTTCTATATTAGATTGTTTATTTGATACAGTACACGGTGATAGATTGTTATTTACTAAATGGCATTTCAAGCAAAATGTATTGCTCGTATTCATATGATATGTAGATGATACTTTTCTAGTCTTTAATATGGGGGTATGCACTAATTTTATTCTGAATCATTCCAACAGCACTCATCCATCAATTCACTTCAAATATGGAAATGAGATCAATGATTCGATACATCTTCTTGATGTGATAACAATAAAATGGAAGTTGGCTCTATACTGAGAAATACACACACAACCCATGTCTAAGATACAATATACACACTTAGCTTTGTACCGATAAAGTACAAACATAATATAATCAGGTGCCTGACATTTAGAGTAAAGTAAATTTGTTCCAAGGGGTGTTTGGAAGAAAAAATACTGCGTATCTGTGATATTCTAACTTGGTGAAAACGGATATCCCGATAGGTTCATCAAAGCCAACAAGTTACATTGACCCTAAACGATAATTGGTGACAATGGAGCAGCTCAAGGGAGACGCTTTAAATGATATCTTATCACAAAGCCTAGCTAGAGCAGACAATAGAACATTTTATGCAGATTATCTTTGGATATCTTTCAGCAGATGGCCAATGCTTAATCTGAAACTAAATATGATAGCCTACCTAACGCTACCTCTTCATCTTGCACATATACAAATGTATTTGATAACTGTAGAACCTAAAGAGAAAATATTGAAGACAATGTTCTTCGCTGAGATTGTTGCTTTTTATTAATTTGATATGGAATTATACTCTATTAAAGTTGACGAGTTTTACTCTTACATTAGGTACTGACTTCTATAGATGAATGAAACCAAGATACAAGCAATTCTAAGAGAATGAAAGAAGTAGCTACTCACTATTATTATTATTAGTCCCTTTAGTTCTTAGTGGAACATAGGGCTTCAGTAGCACGTCACCATTCCCCTCTCTGCTCTGCAGTCTTTTCAGTCTGGCTCCACGACTGCCAACAGGCTTTCATTTCTTCCTCACACGATCTCCTCCATGTCACCCTTGGATGCACAATTCGTCGTTTCCAATTTGGGTTCCACTCGAGGACCTGATCTGGAGCGTGATGTCCTCAAATCGTCTCCTCAGTGTATGTCCAATCCAACCCATCTCCCCTTTCTTCTTCGGCATATTTGTTGGGTGATAGGTTGCTGGTTTGTTCGTCACTGGACTTCCTAGTTGCTTATTCTTTCTGGCCACCTGATCTTCAGTATCAAACGTAGGCGGCAGCTGTTCATGTATATCCGCAGTTTGTTGGAAGTGCTTTTCGTGACATGCCAAGTTTCTGAACCATCACATAAAAGTACTGACTTACTTGATATTAGTGTTGGAAATCCGGATCTTGTTCACGTTTTATGCTGAGTGGAGTGTAGTGCAGTAGATCTCCATAGTGATATCAGATTAGTGAAAGCCTGTCTTGTTTTCCCGATCCTAGCTTTGACATCCTACTCGCTACTTACATTAATTAATGTAAGAATATCTTGTCGATAGATACTGCTGATAATTATTAGGAACCATGGTACAGTAGGAAGAATGAATTACCAATTACTTTATAATAGATTTACCGCTACCAGCTTTTCAGTACTCTTTTGCAGTGATTACCGTCCCAGAATGATATACAAGTCTTACTAAAGCAATCAAATTAAGCACGATACATTTAAAGGCTTTAAGAAAGTGTAATGAACTCCTAACCACTTGACGGTTTTAAACAATCGAACCAGTAGAATGAGAGAAAATGATAGACTAGTAGATGAGATGGCAAAGAATGAAGCTACTTACTATCATCATCTGTGTGCAGTTTACGCTTTAATTTCTCCATTTTCTCTTGATCTCTCATCATCGTTCCAGTATGACCAGTTGATCGTTTCAACGTCATTGTACGCTCTTTATCTGTTTCATCTCGCTCACGAGCCAAAAGGTATTCTTCATAATTATAAATGCCTATACAAAACAAGGGAGATAAAGTATAACAGTAAGGTTAACAATTTTGATTTTCTTCAAAAAGGAGTGGTAACAATGAAGAGGGGGAATATCATTTTCACCGTGCATTTGTCAATATCTTTTAAAACAGTGTTATTCAAAAACATGATTAATATGAACCATAATTAGCAATATACATGATTACCAGACTATTCAAACTATAATGTTACAGCTTGAAGTAACCCCATAGTTGGTTGAACAGAATCAATCTGCCACTAATGACAAATCGGCTGATATACGGATGTCTCAACAATGTTGGTAATTTCAATTTGATAGTAATGACGGTTAATGGTTAACAGTGGAGTCCTGGACACGCACTTTGTCATATTTAGAACTCATCAGTTACAGCTAAACACTATTGCTTCAAGTGTCAAAGTATTATCCACTAAGCTAGTGAGCCATGGTAACCACTTGCGATGCGACAGTTATAGTTTAATATTATAGTCTATAGTATACTGTTGTTGATTGAACCGTATGTGTATTCAAATGATGTACTAAAAACAGGACGAAACGTGCGCTGTGTGTTGGTAACCAATATTGATGATTACTCTATTCAATCTTCGCTTAAAATCAACTTATGCCTGATAAAGTAGGCTTTAACAAACACTTATGCATATAAACACACGTATTATAATTTATTTGAACAGCTTAATATCTTTGATATGATTAATAAAACAGATTGTGAATCCGAATCAAAACTCCTACAGTGTTATCCAAGAAAGATTAGCATCATCAATCGATTGACTTTAAAATGACAAAAAAGCAAAGAGATTGATTTCTCTTCCAAGAATTGTTCTTAAAGAAGTCAAAATAGATTTTTTAAAAACTACCTCTAAGAAATAAGATTAAATGCAAAACAAACACAAACAGATTAAACAATATTAACATATAGCATGAAAAAGAAACTTCAGTTACTGTTAGTAACAATCTGTGTCGAGAAGTAAAGGATGTTGGTTTTTTTGTGAGCTCGATCAATCGGTGCCTGTTAGTACTTCAACTAATCTACTTATCATTAAAAATAGTAAATGTACCTGGTTTATCAGTAGTGAGTTTTTTGTAGAGATAGTAGATAGGAAAACAGTCTTATATTTATTGATGGGAATTTACTGTCTGCTCTCTTTGACTTTTTTTATAATCCTTAATTCACTTATTTTCTGTCTAGTTTGCAGTCTACAGTTGCGTTATCTCACTCGCATCACTCTTAAAATCCTGTTCTACAACGTCACCCCTAATAACTTGTTGAAGGTCGATTATTATTATTATTGATTTTATCAACTAGCTTATTGTTTTTTTTACACGTGAACATGACGGATTTTCTCGAAATCCCGGGGAGATGTATGATCGATTTTAAATAGAGTCTCATGTTCAATCTCTTTGGCTTATTAACTTATCATACTTCAAACCTTTACTACAAACATATCGCAAATGAAAAGAAATCATAATCCAAGCAATGAAATCTCAAACTCATTTCCATCTCCATTCCAATAAAAAGTAAATCTTCATATTTGACCACAGTGTATATTTTATTGAAATAATATCATGTGACAAGGTGAATAGTTTATCATTAAAACATGTAACAACTTGAATAAGCTTTCATGATATCAAGAGAGGTAGGAATTTCACATTCAATCTTACAAAGAATTTCATATAGTTAAATATAAATTGATTTATTTGTTTATTTTATCCTTCAGACGTTTCTTCCAATTTTAAATAAATTGCAAAAAATCTAAGATAGTAAGCATTACTTTATTTCAGACTGAAAGTGAACTATGAAATTTATGGTATATCAAGTAAACACACATTAATGACCATTTCTGTTTAAATGCTGGTGAATTGACCTACAACATTTTGTCCTATAAAAAAAAGCAAACTAGTATACAAGGAAGTTGAATGTTGTCTACATCTCACTAATTTAAGACTCTAACTAGTCACAATGGAAACACATCACTATCATCGGTTAAGCTTTAAGTTCAAAGAGAAGAAGCAAGTATTGTAACAAAAAGCAAGCAGATGGTCTGTTAAGATGATGTTAAACATTGGATAAATGCTTACTGTAATCCATTTTGATGATACTAATAAGCCAAATTTATTGAATGATGGTTAATCATACTATCTGACTGCCCAAACCTCGGTAGGTAGAGCATGGTTCAAACCCATGACCCACTCTTGGTTGATAGTTACCTCCCTAAACCACTGAGCAATAACCTTCACACAATTCAATAGAACAATACTAGAAAAAAAAACCAGTTGAAGAAACACTGAAAGCCAGTGAATACCGCTAAAGTGTATACATGCATAGGTAACAAAAAAAATTCAGCAAGATTCTCTACCTTAAAACCTGAAATTTCAAAATTCACGGAATGACACATGAAAAAATAAAACAACAACAACCTAATCAGTAGTTCTGAATGACATAAATTAAGTGCCTTAAAGATGTTGATTGAGTTCATACACACAACACTAATCTATAGTTAAACATAAAAACTTGACAGGTACCTTTCAGAAACAAACCAATCAATGTAACAGTATATTACATTTCATAATACTGGATACAACCCATTACTATTTGGTGATCCAACATCTTACAAAAAACTGGTCATTAGACGCATATCAAAAACAATAATAATAATAATTTGAAACAATTAGTTCCCTTCATGAATTTTAACAGAACAATAAGATGCAACTTCTCTAAATAGTGTAATGTATTTCCACAACATATTTCAAATAATCTGATCACAGACGTACTCGTTATTTATATGAAAAACTAGTGTTAAAGGAGTAAGAAATTAATTATCGTTTAGATGAAAGGACGATAGTGAAGGTGAAAATGACAAGGAAGGTCAATAAAGCAACCACAAGTTATTAAGTTCATGCCCACGCCTACAGATGGTAGGAAAGAAAATTTGAGAAAACCAAAACACCCTACAACAGACCCAGGAAATTATATTCTCAAAACAAGTTAGACAAAAAACTAAAATTCATTTAAAAATGTCTCAACGAAAAAATGCACATCATAAGAGATTTATTATGAAGCATAGAAAACAAAAGATTCATACAAATAAACAACCAAACATGCACAAGACAATGTCTTCTATACACCTCGTATTCAACGGAGATGCAGTATCTCACCCAATAGACATAACAATCAAACAAGCTTTTCTACACCTAAACTTCTATCACTAAACAACACCACATCATCACTATACCAGTCACACTTTAATAATCAACCTGTTCATCTCATCACCAAATGTATGTATGAATCCACATGAACTTACTTACCGTTGTGGTTACAAGTACATTGCAAGCACTGAGATGAGGACATACAATCAGTTCGCTGGCCATATCGCCAACAATCCGTGTTTCACAGCAAACACAATTCTAACCAGTACAATTAACACACACCTCATACAAACACAACATCACCTTCAAACTTCAGGTGACTTTAGAATAATTCACGTACAGACAATGTCTCGATTACTCACTTCAGTGTAAGTGATTACAATAACACATTTTCAAACTGACATTCGCATACCCAAGGAGAATGCGCTTAATCTCTCAATACATTCATTGGTGACTAGGATTCGATCCTGTTTCATTCACACTTCAATGACATAACTCGTCATTCATTTATTCTCACTATCATCATCATCATTGTTATTTATCCTTTCTTATCACTACAAAACTAGTAATTTTCTTACACGTTATGTAGACTATCTACGATTTCGTTGTACAAATTAAGATTCTTGATTTCTTTATTTTGAAATTATCTCATATCCTAATAACCACTGCACTTTTCGACTGTGTGCAGCTGAAAAGTGGTTGTGAGATAAAATGATATCAATTTCTTCTGCGCATTTCGTTCTCGATTTATTCAGCAGGTTAATAGCACAATAACTTTGGGTTCAAAACCGAATTTTTCAATTAGGGTTTAACGTGATGACAAATTGTTTTTGACTTAAACCTTCTAATGGTTGATGCATCACCACAATTTAAAATACGTCATCAAAAGGTCTTACAGATGGGCTCAAATGACGTTCATATACCCATTTTATGCCTTTTTTCAATAAAATATTTAGCTATTAAAGAAGTCACGTGTTTGTTTCTTCTATCAATTGGGTCAGGCAAATCTATCTATTTCTTATGCTTTTTTGGAAAGTGTTCTGTGGCCATGATTTTTATTGATCACTGAGCTTTCCCTACGCATGTGTGACCACACGCACATTTAAATTGATAAATACAGGTATCTGTGTGATCAGATTGTTCGAAATGTGTTGCGCAAATACATTACACGACTCCGACGAATTACATTATTGTTTTGCCAAAATAATAATAATAATAATAATAGTGTTGGAAATAGTATATTAGATTGCATGACGTGTTGTTAGTCGACAAGTGTTATTATGGATTAATAAACGTGTTTTTGAAATGCAACAGAAAGCCAAGCGCAAAACAATAAACACCTCAAGGTTATAGGAAATTCATATATATATATATATATATATATATATATATATATATATATATATATATATAGGACTGTTGCTGTATTGCATAACAAGATTATACTTCGAAGCGTTTTATTTAGGTGGAAAAAAAAACAAGTTCATGTATGAATATGGATAGAAGATACAAATAGGTAATTTCATCTATTTACTTAGCAGAAAATTCATCAAGTATTACATCGTTTATGCATATTTATTGTACACAACCCCACTACTAGCATAAAATAAACAGTTGCTACATTTGGAATCCCAACAGCAACTGTTATAAACAGTCTCCACATACGAATCAATGATCACAAATGAATTCCACCGACAAAATCAGTTGTAGTTGGTTGCCAAATTAACATTTGACACCAATGTCAAGTCAGTGCTTCTATATGGTTCAGAGACTTGGGGCGTTACGAAAGGCATTTCCAACAACTGCAGATATTCATCAACAACTGCCTACGCTCGTTAATGAGGCTCAGATGGCCAGAAAGAATAAGCAACAAGGAAGTCTGGCTGGTGACGAATCAATCAAGAACTTATCACCCAACAAATATGCAGTGGAAGGAAGTGGAGATGGATTGGGCATACACTGAGAAGGCCCACTAGAAACATCATGTGCTAGGTCCTCGAGTGGAACCCCATGGGAAGCGATGAGTTGGGCATCCGAGGGTGACATGGAGAAGATCGTGAGAGGAAGAAATGAGAGCCTATGGGTTGTCATGGAGCCAGGTTCAAAAGTCTGCAGAGAACAGAGTGCACTGGAGGCGTGCTACTGAAGCCCTATGTTCCAATAGGAACCTAAGGGACAAATAATAATAATAATATAATAATTACAAAATGAGAGTGTAACAGAGAAAATTCATCTTGTCACACCAGTTGACAATGAATGCGTGAGAATAGTGACATAAAAAGAGTGGGAAAGATGTATATCATAAATATAATAATAAAAATCTATTGCTATATGGATAACGAAGAGAATATAACCGTGATGACTATTCTGTCTTTACAGTTACATTTGTAACATTGATTCTTGCAAATGCATTGTAGGCCTCCAGAAAAAAAACATGAAGCATGCTTTTTCAATCAACTTAATCTAGTTAGTGTCATGAATCGCAGCAAGATCTCTTCTTGAAGAATTCTGATTATTAAATTATCAGCTCTGGATAAACACGCAGGCAGACATGAATATAACAACATAGTTTATTTCTCCTCAAAATATCTAACTCTGTAATCGAACCTGTTTAGTGTTCGGCTGAAAGCATTATAGATAAAATTACAATATATTTCCAGTCTACATATCCTAATATTTAGTGCAGACAATAAGAAGGATAAACCAATATATAGGAAAAACTACTAAACCTGCTAATCGAATATTGTACTTTTCTTACGTAATGATGGAAATCAGAAGGTTAGGGAGTCAAAACAAAAATGGAGAAGAAATCAAATCTCACTTCTGAGGAATATTTCTGATTAATACTTATCATAAACAAATTGGCAGTGAAATCTTGATGGTGATATAGACGGACGAAACTATATGAATAAGTTTGCATTGCAATAAAATTCCTGGAATTTTCATATATGTATATTATGAAAGTACGGAACACAGTGTGGTTGTAAACTACAGACATTGAAAGGTTGTTTAAGAACGATGAACTACTTTCCCACCTGGCCCTACTACAGTCGCTAGGTGAAAAATTTCATGAAGAAATTGTGGGATACTAAGTGGCATACACCGTTGAACTTCATAGGTCTTGATAATATGATATCCTCTTATCTTCAAGAATAGTGTCGGATGAAGATGGCAAAGAAGAAATGGAAAATATTCAGGTTATGAAGACTGATGCAAATACAGATATTGTAAATTAAAAGGATGAGGAATAGCGAATAATTCCACTAAACTATGCCCCTCCTCAAACACACAAAAACAAACAAACAACAGGATCAATAGAAATTTAGACAAACTAAAAAAAAAGATATGAATGAAATAAGTTCCCACCCACGACTCCACCAACTTACAAATTCAACTCACAACCTTTAGGTCTCCCTCATGGTGAATGCGCTAACCATTCAGTCTCTGCATCTCAGTTCAATCCTTAACAGTTTCCTACCACTGAAAATTCGCAAATTCGTGTGATTATCACCTAATGTCTTCAATTAGTATCCGCTTCACCTCCAACTGGTTCACCCCACATTACAACTTCGGGATATCCATCTCGAAGCATGTCACCAATGAGCATCATACAGTAATGTATTTTGAGGTTAATGAAGAGTTTGTTTTATTTTTAAGGTAGTATTCATTAAAGAATGACATCCCACCTTTTCTACAGTTCTGCAAGATATATCAGTCCGTGATGAACACTACCTTAAAGATATGTGATTATTCATAGAAATAACCATTTTTTTTTATCGGATCACTTTGTACAATCTATACCTCAATTTATCGGTTGATGAAATACGCTGATATATAATAAATTCAGTAGACTAGGCAAAAATCTTACCCATTTTAGTGCATATCATCAGCATTAATTCTGCTACTGTTTTGCTATCGTCCACTTTCAATGTCTTTCGAGTTCCATCCATTGTACGAATATAAAGCCATCGAAATCGATACCTGTATTCTACTGTATCCTATAGAAAAAGCACGGGAATGATAAAAAGAAACAATAAATATATATGTGGCATTTTCACAGCCGGGGAAAGTAAAACAGAACATCACAGCGTAGTGATCCACTTTTAGAAAATATACTGACTTATCAGTGGTTGGTAGTCAAAGTTAACCTGGTAGGTCATAGGTACTGGTGCAATTTTGCACATTCCTCCCATTATATTTGCTAAAAAGTAAACACGTTGAGTAAGTTAGTGCTGAATTAAATCGCATTTAGTAATAAATACATATATGTGGCCACCAAGTAACTTTGTAACTGCATTTTCTGCTTGTCAGTCAGACAGACTGAATCAACGTAGAACCTCACACACAACTGCATCAGTTCAGAAAGCCACACAGTACAGCAGCATACAACGTATAGGTGAGTAGAAAAAGAGTGATATCAATGTAGACAAACTTGTGTGAGAGAACAAAGAATTTGAAGATGAAGGTCAGTGCGAATATTCAAACTTTAGAAGACGTCATAAAAGAAATACATCTGCGTCACCGTCACCGATTTTCAGCCAAGCATCAAGAGTAAGTCCTCAACTACTGATTATTATCGTGCCCCAGACCCAATTAGATAGTCTACATCTCCCTACACGAGTCAGATCGGTAGTCAGAGATTGCACCGACTGGTGCCACGTCTTGGTTTGGCCACCCTGAACACTTCCAACTCAATCCAGCTTCTTGGTTGTATAGCGTTCTCTAAGCTGGGTTGTTTAATCGTGAAGCTTTCATCATCATCATCATCATCATCATCATCAATATCTCTCCATGAGTGATTTAGTAGATTGCCCTGACGAACTGGTTTGTCATTGGTTGTTTCCTTCGATTGTTGTGTCATTGACTGTTGAGACTTTCCTGTTGGCTGTTCCTCTGCTTGACTTCTGACCTTTCTATTACCATTTCTTCCCATTGGTTGATAGATTGGGTCTATGTCTATACATCTGTTGATTGCTGACTGACCTGAATGCCAAGCTTCTAGGAATTCTCTGATATTCCTTGTTTCCTCTATCCAAAATTTCTAAATTGTCGAAATTGCATCCATGTCCATAATTATTTACGTGCATTGAAATGAGTGACGAAATGTCGTGGCTACTGAAGCCCTATATTCTGCTAGGAACCCAATGGACAAAACATCAGTCAGCCATCTAGATTTTTGGCTATTTTATGTGAATTCAGTTTTCTTCATTCAGTTATGATTATGTTTTTGCACAGAAAAAAGGTAATAAAGTTGTTTATTTTAAAGCAAATACAAAAAGATGTAGATAACACCCACTTACAATGTAGTGGATTAAATTTAATCAGATAGGTTATCCAAGGAATTATTTTGATGCAATACATACTTGGAGTCAGTCGTCTGCTTACTGCCAGTTATCAGTAAGGTGTGTCCTGAGCCATACTGAAACTAATATTTGTTCAGCAATTCATTCCAGTGCCAATCTCTCGTTCTATTAAAAATCTCACCATAAGCTATATGGTGAGTATTGATTGAAATCTGTCTAGAGTGTGCAACTTTGTAGTATGCAATCAGTTTACGGGATCAGAGTAGACGGTGGTATTTTTGTCCATTCTGTAGAATGAAGCGCTTAATGAATATGTTGATTTAGTAACAGCCGCATAATTGAACTCATTTGATTCAGGCTTTAGTGAGACTTGTCATCTGAAATTATGATTAATAACCATGTTTACTGTCATCATTCCTATTCAACCTTCCACGGATCTACTCATGGAGTCAAACCTCTAATTGACAATCTCTTGATTGAAATGGAATATGTTGGTAGTATAATCTTGTCAAGTAAAGAAACTGATATATTAAAACAAGGATAAACGAAGGTGGGAAGCATTACTACCATGAAGGGTAGCGGCATATGAAGTGGAGTCGAATTTAGACTCATATTTCTGAGAAAGAAAGAGGTAATTCTATTTAATTTTGAACCTGCACTAGCTAAAATGTCAGGTAGTTTCTCAAGTGGCAGGTTGTATGTCATTAGGTTGGAAAGTAACTGGATTGTCATATCAAGTTATGAGTACTCACTGCGGCAAAACAACTGTACGGAGAAACGAAGAAAATTACTTGATATCCACCCTAAACAAGAACGGCTACCCACAAAACTTCATCAGAAGATGCCTATCTCGTGCATCACCAACTACAAAGTCATCCACAGAAATCAATAAACGCATCATCCTACCATACATAAAGAATATATCAGAAATCACGACAAGATTACTGAGACCACTTAAAATTGGTGTGGCTCATAAACCAACAAATTCCCTCCAAACACTATAATGCAGAACAAAGGATGCAACAACCAAGGAAGACAAAACGAATATCATTTACAAAATCAACTGCAATAATTGTAGTCAACACTATATTGGACAAAGTGGCCAACCTTTTTGCCTTCGTCTACATGAGTACCAATTGGCTATTAAACGCCACGACATTTCGTCACTCATTTCAATGCACGTGGATAATTATGGACATGGATGCAATTTCGACAATTTAGAAATTTTGGATAGAGGAAACAAGGAATATCAGAGAATTCCTAGAAGCTTGGCATTCAGGTCAGTCAGCAATCAACAGATGTATAGACATAGACCCAATCTATCAACCAATGGGAAGAAATGGTAATAGAAAGGTCAGAAGTCAAGCAGAGGAACAGCCAACAGGAAAGTCTCAACAGTCAATGACACAACAATCGAAGGAAACAACCAATGACAAACCAGTTCGTCAGGGCAATCTACTAAATCACTCATGGAGAGATATTGATGATGATGATGATGATGAAAGCTTCACGACTAAACAACTTGGCTCAGAGAACACAATACAACGAAGACCATCCACCTGAGCTACAAATATTCTCCAGTGTTTCAATCCAGCTTCCCTCAGCATGGCCCATGGAGGTAGGCGGTGGCTTGATATGCACAGTACATATCCCAGCCACCTCAGCCGATGAAGGCTCTTACTTTTTGGTATTCATCAACAAGCTGTATATGGAATCATCGAGACGCTCAAGTTCTTCGAGTGAGGCAGGCAGAAGACCTACCCACTCGGCTTAATTATTCAGTCTACTGGTTCCTATCTCCATAAGAGGATTACTTTTCCAAAAGTTATAAAAATGAGCGTTGTTGAAATGTATTACCATGAAGGAAGAAAACTTGGGAACAATCGGGTTTTTTGATTATTCTGATACAACCACTCACTCACGCACCCACCTCACCACTAACCAACAAATTTCTTCAGTGAAAGTGAAAATCTGTCATTTAAATTTCTTAATTCATCCAATTAAAACAGCGTGTATGGGATGTGAAAAATAAATAACTGATGTGCATAGTCATTAAAATTAACCGAGTAGAAATTGTTTTCTCTCACTCAATTCTATATGAAAACAGCAACTATTTCAAGCGTTATGAAGTAGAATGATAAACTACTAAGTAATAGTACTGCACAACTATTGCAACTAGAAAATTTAATTAATGGTGTATATAACATCACATGCTAAATATTGTCCAAATACTATTTTCTCTTAAAACAAGAGAAAAGAAATACTAATTCCCTCTGCAGGATGCTGAACACTCTATAGGACATAAAGTTAAATAAAATTGAAAAAATAAATTTTAAATTGCATTAAACTGTTTACCATACAAATAAGGAAAGAATGAAAAAAAAAGAAGCAGGATATAAAGTAGACAGAGAGACAGACAATATCAACACAGGACCTGGACATAACTGCGTAGCAGTTCAAGTTGCCACACTTCATATCAATCCATCAAGCTAGGATGCAATAAGATGCCTGAAAAATAAATCAATAAAGGAGGAAGCAGTCAAAAGTAGAACGATTTGAAACACAGTAACCAGGATGGAATCGTGAAAGATAGATAAGGAATAATAGTCAAACAGATAATAATAATCAGTATACATTACAGTAAACTAACTAGTAGGTGGTCATCAAAGATAACCTGTACGTAAGTACACAAACCAGACGTTTTCCTTGAAACTTAAAAAAACGTAAATACTATGGGATCAGCTTGCCGCAGAAAACTTCACAGTTGAAAAGTTGTTGCTATCGCCAATCCAGACCCTTAGAGACGTAAATGATGGATAGTGGATAGTAGTAGAATCCAGCCAGAACTCACGCCTCGTCCTATTTGGTATTAGTAGTAGTAGTGATACAGGTGTTATTAATAATAATCTCACTACTAATGGTAATAATGGTGACAGGGTTACGAGAGAATTCAAAGCCTCTGCTGTGTTACCATACAAAGAAGGCAACTCGGATGCGTTAAGAAGAATTTTCAATAAGGCTGGGATTAGAGTGGCATTTCAACCTACAAACTCGCTTAGAAACAATCTTTGCAGATAAAAAGATACTATTGATCCAATTATGCAGAATTTAGTTTACCAAATCTTTTACAGTGTATGCCAGATTACCTACATATGTCATCGTAGTCTACCAGGGTCAATTAGAACAACAAAGCACAAAAACCTAGATAGATCAAAATTGGTATATCTACTAGTATGAGGAATTTAAAGAAAAGCTCGACTATAGCTCTGTATGAGATGACACACAATCACAAAATAGGGTGGGATAGAGCGATAGTATTAAAAACTTAGTTGGATTGAGGGAGAGACTGATAACAGAATTTTCGTCTCCCTCATGGTGAATGCGCTAACCATTCAGTCTCTGCATCTCAGTTCAATCCTTAACAGTTTCCTACCACTGAAAATTCGCAAATTCGTGTGATTATCACCTAATGTCTACAGTTAGTATCCGCTTCACCTCCAACTGGTTCACCCCACATTACAACTTCGGGATATCCATCTCGAAGCATGTCACCAATGAGCATCATACAGTAATGTATTTTGAGGTTAATGAAGAGTTTGTTTTATTTTTAAGGTAGTATTTATCACGGGATGACATCAGTTGGAGAACCATCGAAAACCTAGGAACACTGAATAACTGTTTCGTTCTACTATGGG